AAAAAAAAAAAAAAAATTATAAATATTTTTTTTTATTTATATAACTGAATCTAATTTTTCAATGGTCAATAAACCAGCACTATTACTAAATGCATAAAATTTCCCAGATTTTTCATTTTCGTTCCATTTAATACTTGTCACATTAATACCATGCACATCAATAGCTATCTTACTTGAACCTGCAGAAGTACATTTAAATGTTTCATAGTGATGATTCAATCTAAAGTTCTTATTAACTTGATCGTAATCCCATTTCCAGAGCCTCAAATTTTTGTGAGTTTCCGAAATGTTTTTAATACCGGTCAAAAACCTCCTTATTAGATTTTCAATGTAAACTGATCCATCTGACCCCCCACAAAGATCGAAGGGATGACATTTAGATGTGCTAATAGCAGTCACAGTTGCATTTGTAGCTCCTAACTGATGGGTTGCAAACAGAGCACGAGGAATTGCTGCCTTAACCGAATTAGAACCATCAGAATATACAAGTGCATATAACTGAGGATTATAGACTAGAGGTGCTGTATTACTACCACGAAACCTTTGATCTAGAGCAGTTTTAGTTGATTTGATATCTTGCGGATCAAACACAAATATGGTGCCATCAACACTATTTGAGGCAACAGATGTCTTTTCATAATCAGAGTATGCAACCACTATATTGAGGACATATGTGTCATGTACCTTCTGAAAGAATGATGGGACTGTCGAATCTGCGAGAATATCAAACTCCCCAATATTACCATCTCTGAATCCACACACAACACTCGATGGTGAAAGAAAATCAAAACATGTAATAAGATTATCGGGGACTGATATACTAGTCTTAATATCATCATATAGTATAATTTCTTCTTCCTCCGAATTATTCGTGGAGGCCTCTATAAACTTCAAGCATCCATCCTGACTAACAAAAAACAAGACACCTACACTATCATCGGATTTACACCCTTCATGCCATTTTAAGTTCCAAATTTCACCACTGTTATGTAATATAGTCTGTACCTTTTTAAACCCAAATGTGGCAGAATTCATTTTAAATATTTGGATACTCGATATATGAGATACTGCATTGAAACTTCTTAATTCGGGATTGGAAGGATTATCTGAATACTGAGAAACAGCTACAGCTAAATATTGGTCGCTCACCTCATCTTGCGATAACCATGCAATATCTGTAACCATACCCCCACTATTATACACAAACCCTTTTCGTTCATAGTTTGAAAAAACTGGGAATTCCACCTTTTCTGAAGTATCTAAAGTCGTTTGCACATCACCAATCAGGACTTCCAATGGTTCAGACCTACGTTTAAATTTTCTATCGGCTTCTTGTCTTGACAATAAAGACCATTTATTTCCGACTAATTTCTCATGTAATTGACCATATATATTTTTCTGACTTGAAGGTGTAATTTTAGGAATATAGTATTCTGAAGGTTTTTGAAGGTGCTGCTCCGGGAAATCGAAAAGGTAAGCTTCAAATCCCTCTTTAATTTTTGCCAATTCCAGTAAACGTGTTTCATTAGTTCCATAAATTCTGCTAATTTTATCTTTAGCCGCACTTAGATCTTTCAAAGCTCTAATAATACGATTTTTATTAATGGGTGTCTTAGTTTTTGTCACTTTTTTCAAAGTTGTCACTGTCTCTGTCTTTACTTTACGTACTTTTCTCTTTGGTTTTTCCTCTTCAAAAGTTTCATCATCATCAGCTTCTTCAAGTGGTGTATCAGCATCATCATCTTCGGAAGGAATTCCATTATCTTGGAACTCTTCGTCATCGTTGTCTCCCACATTTTCAATCATATTTTCCATGAAGTCAGGATCCTCAGTGACTCTTTCAACTGCCTGAAGAGCCTTTACAGCTGATGTAGCCACATCAAACGTTTCATCATCATAATTTGAGTGTTGTTCTGCCAAGATTTTGTTTTGACTAGATGATTTTCTTGGTCTACCCCTGCGTCTCTTTGATATATTGTCTACTTGTTCCATTTCGTTCCGTAGGTCTATAAATCTGAGTGCAGAATGTAGTTATGAATAATTTGTACCTAAAAATATGATATGATATACTCCACTCGCAATTGTTTAATTCTCCTTTAAATTGTTTTTTTATAATTTCAAATTGCATCATTTGTTTATTTACATTATGTATATACTTGACTTATTTATTTTCTCAAGGCGAACCGCGTAAAGTTAATAACAATATATATATATATTAACCATTATGAAAGATGTAGAAATATATGTATACACTTTTAGTAATTGTCGACAGAATCTAAAAGGATCGGAATCAAGCGCTATCTTGTAAATATTGCAGAGCGCCAGCGAGGTCCTTAATCAAATCATCAACATTTTCACATCCAACGGAGACTCTAATCAGAGTTTGATCAATGTATGGATCCGTCAAAGCTCTCCATTCCACTAATGATTCGACACCACCAAGAGAAGTTGCGTGTTGGAAATATTTTAATTGTGGAGGGAATTTCTTACATTGATCTACAGATTTCAAGGTTAAAGCAAAGACAGGTCCATAGCCTCCTTTCAATTGTCTTTTCACGAAATCTTCCGTTTGTAAAGAAGAATGATAAAGTTTATTTAAAACTTTATCATATTTGGTACGGTTCTCATTTAAAAATTTAACTATCTTGGTAGCATTATCTGATTGTTTCAATACTCTCATCTCGAAAGTTCTTAAAGATCTCAACAACATGAAACTTTCTAAATTAGCAACGTTTGTACCCAAATATATTCTATCGTCCCTTAATTTCTTACTGATTTCTTCATCCTTAACCACTAGGACACCACTTAATAGGTCTGAATGCCCACCGAAATATTTTGTAGCTGAATGCATAATCATATCACATCCGAATTCCCAAACGTCTTGCAATGGTGGAGGGGCAAAAGTGGAATCAATAATCAAAAATGCACCTTTTGCATGAGCTCTATCTGCAAAACTTTGAATATCGTAGGAAGTACCATATGGATTCACGGGTGTCTCTAAATGGACAACATCACCTTTCTGAGCAAACTGTTCAATATCATCAAGTGTATGTTGTTTGACGTCAAAGTTTCTTGTTAAAATGTTTGCAATTGCACGACAACCATGATAACTTTGACCCATAAAGACTCTCTTTGGATTGTAATGAATCATAGCTGCAAAAAATGCAGAACAGCCAGATGAATAAATGATTGCATGACCAAGCAAGATCTTTGAGAATAAACTTTCTAATCTAGTACTGTTTGGATGAGCCAATCTCGAGTAAATTGGTTGCTTTTCCATGAAATCTAAATTTTCTCTATCGTTCCATGCTACTAAATCATCATTATCATAACGAAATGTGGTTGCGACATTAATTGGTGGAGCAACGTCGGTAACTCTGTTGTCCTTATCATCACCATGAATCAATTCTGTAGCCAAATGAACCATTTTTCTTTCTTTGTGCACACTTATATGAGATAGATACAATTATTATTAAATTATATTTTAAGAAACATCTAATTATTCAAGAACAGATATTTGATCCTTTCCCCCCTTTATATGAATCTCAAAAACAAAAAAATACTTACAAATGTCCGTCTTTACCGAATACTTACAACAGTATCCAGAACGAACACCAATTACTCGTTCATGTACTCACAGGTGTCTATCACATAATATTGATAAACGTATTCTCGAGTATCCGATCAAATTACCTCATAGTTCCAGCAATTGAAAAATGGCAATCAAAATAATGATCGAAGGATATGATATAATATGAATGCCGCATAAAATGGGTGAAACCAACGTCGCTTTTAAGAAATTGTGTGGATTGATAATTCTCTTCGTATCTGAATATCTATCTACCTGTCTTCCTCACAGCTGTCAAATTCTGACCATTATGTAACCATTGCGAGAGGACAAAAATTATGCTCTCTCTCTCGCACTTTTGGTTCAAAGTGCGAGAGAGCTAAAACTGTTCTCATCAGAAACGCGTGGGAGGGAGACCTCACACAGTTTGTAGAGAGATCAAAGACAAACGCAATATATGTCAGGAATACATGTATCATCTCCGAGCAAAAGACCAAGATGAGGGAACGGGCTGTCAAGTTATATAATATGTATACCTATCGATCCATACTGATTGATTAACAATCTTTGAGTTTATATCAACTGCTCAGAGTAAGTTCTTAAAGGAATAGCAACCACCATACATATATGTATATATCTAGTTTCCTATTGTTACAACAAGTGTGAAATTTCACGTGACTCTGGCGGTGAACGAATCCTGTATAAAGAAACAAGAAATTTTACCAGAGGATTACATCCAATCTTGAACGTTCAAATAATAAGACAAATATCATCACTTGCAATGCTGAACTTGTATACTCTTCAACATATAAACTTCTATTTAGTGAACTAACTTTTTCTTGTTCATCGGACATCCCTGTCGCAGTGAGTTGAGATGACTTAATGATTGCTTACATAAAATATAATACCTTTGCATTCTATCAGGCAACAGCTAGCGAGCGCACAAATTTCACTTATTTTTCCCCGTATCGTTGTTTCGGTAGGTAAGACGGGGAAGCAAGTGATGAGAAGGGCCAGACAACAAACAATAATAAGTCAACAGATTTGGTAAACAATATGAACTAGCACAATAACAACCGATATTACACTTGTTATTACTAAGAATTGATCAAAAGAAATGCATATCATTTTATAAATATCGATATATATATAAATTTTTACATTTGTAAACCCCAAAAAAACGAAGAACGAGCTCACTTACTCAAGGTAAACAGTTTTTTCTATACTTGATAATATATACTATCCGTGGGATGTCAGATTCGGATTCAGACGATGACTTCTTTAAAGCATCTTCTTCTGAGGATGAAAATGACTTGAGAAATCATATAGAAGATATTGTAATAGAATCATCAAAACCTGAGGCTAAAATTAATATGGATGACGAGTTTGATTTGTTAGTGGTATCCAATAATAATAATAATAATGATAATAATAATAATAATAATGTTGATAGCAACCATACCACATTGGATGATGTAAGTCCCACAAATGCTTCACCTGAAGATTTGAAAAGGAATCATAATTCTGATTCTGACTCAATAAATTCCGATAAGAAAGGTAATTCGAAAAATTCAAGAAGGAAAAGAGCAAAAATGAGAATTCTCAATAAAGATTCAATTATGATAGACGACAACAACAATGATGACAATGAAGAAAATGATTCCCTTTCTGAAGGAAGTAGTAGAATAAGTTCACCCCAAAAGAAGAATAACTATTCAGATTCAGAAGATGAAAACGATCTATTTTTCAAAGAATTATCAAGGAAGAAATCGCCTCCAACTATCGAAGCATCAGCCTTACAATCATCAGCAACATCAACAACTGCAGAAACAAAAAGGTTATATACTATACGATTTATTTCTAAATTGGATGGATCTATTAATAAATCAGTAAGAGTGAAAGTTCTTGGAAAATTTACATTTGGAAAAATTTTACCCTCTGCTTTACAAGGCTTACAAAAAGCTTATAAAATACCTGCTGTAATGAAAAAAATTTATCAAGTAGATAATGTTACATTATATTGGAATAGTGCAAAGGTATTGGATTTTATGACTTGTAATTCTCTCAATATTAAACAATCTTTCGAAAATGAAATATCGAATGTTGATATAACGATCATCTCCAAAGAGATGGAAAAGAGTATTGAATTAACATCAAGGACCGAACGACAAGAAGCAGAAGTAAGAGAGGCCATGGAGCAAGCCCAATTATCAGGCCCAAATGATTCAAATAAAGACATAAATGGATCTAAACATAATGATCAAAGTGCAGATTTAATTATAGAAGAATTTGAAAGGGAGTTACAAGATGCGGTACTACCAAATATCACTACTAATACTACCACTAGAAATGATCAAACACCAGATATAGAAAATGATGCAGAAGAAGTTATGAAAATATCATTGGTTGGTAATGATAATAAAAAGATTTTTGTTAATGTTAGGGAAGGAACAATATTATCAAAATTAACAGATTACTATAGGAAACAGAAAAAACTACCTCAAAACACTAATTTTGAATTATTTTTCGACGATGAAAAACTTAATTTATCTATGACCATAAATTCTTACGATATCGAAGATGAAGATATGATTGAAGTAAAAATATTAAATTAATTCTAATATATTAAGATATATATTTACAAACAATTTTTATATCAACAATGTAGCCGCACGACCTAATCATGGTTAGGGCTTCTTATTGTAAACGTAAGTTTGAAATCGAGAAGATACGATTAGTATTCGAGTTGAAATTATCGGACATAGTTATAGATATTCAAATGTATAATCTTGTGGTTTCATTTTATGTTATATAAAGTAAGTCTATATAAGGAATATTGTATATATATAAAGTTAGAATATTGTTAAACAGAGTTGCTGTTGTTAAACTGCTCATCTTTTGTGCATAGTAACGTTGGACTATGTAGCTCCAATAAACCCAATGTAGGGGGAACGAATACTACATTATGCAGTATATATCATGTGTTATTATATATACGACAGTGCAGCACACTCTAAATTCTACTTATATTAGCTACCTTCACCTTCAGTTAGGTTAAGCTAATGTTAGCCTTTTTAGCGCTGCCGCTACATATTTAACATGTCATGATGGGAAAATTGTAAATTAGACATCTTCTATTTAACTGAACAAATTTTATTATATTACAAAATCAACTTATAGTCGTCTGATTTTTTATATCTTATATAAAAATATATAAAGTAAATTATGGAAACAATTATATTCATAAATGAAATATTGTTCCATTTATATATGTTGGATTATCATTGTCGTGATTATAGACTCACTCGACAGTGGCGTAAGTAATCTATTATTAAGTTGTTGCGGGATGAACCTATCAATAGATCATTGCGGGATGAACCTATTGTTAGATCATTGCGGGATGAATCTATCAATAGATCATAACCTTGGTCATTATCCCTTTTATAATATATTTCCGACATATCATTAGTGTTAAAATGTAGCGGCAGCAACTCTGTTTAACATAGAGAAGAAAAACAATTATTGAAATAAGTTCTAATTAGTTAATGCAATAGTAATAGTAATTAAATATAACCGTCTGTTATATGGTTTTCTTCAATCATTTGAGAGGCCCAACTTGAAAAGTTTCAAGAAAATAAGCCTTGTTGGCGCAATCGGTAGCGCGTGTGACTCTTAATCACAAGGTTAGGGGTTCGAGCCCCCTACAGGGCTACTTCTTTTTTGAACCTTGGCTATAACTGTTTTACCTTATTATCATATATGTCGCTACATTGATTTGCAGTTAGTATTTTTTAGTATTCTAAGATATTGACATCCCTCTTTGTCTTTGCAACAGAGATGAAATAGTTGCTTTTGTAATTTATTAAAACTTTATCATTATTCGTAGCTCTTCGATTGTTAATCTTTAGGTCAACCACTTTACACCAATAAACATTTGTTTAGAACCATATAGTTATTCTTGATTGTATCACTATTACCTCGATTGGTTGGAATCTGTGAGGTGTTTTATTATCTCCCTCCCCTTTTTCCTTTTTATAATTTATGTCAACCTCATATTGAGGAAGCTATTAAAGTTACATAGCGCGGAAACCGTGAAAAATGATTTTATAAGTGGCGAATCTGTTACACTAAGGAAAATGGAACTGCTTAAAAGAAGAAATATTATCAACTTTTTAAGTGTGAAACTAGAAGGAATTGTAAGAAAGAGCTTGAAAACAGCAACTCTAAATACAACAACAAATACTCTCTAATGAGCTCTACTACAGATAAGCCAAGCACAACTGCTAAGGAGCAAATAACGACGACCGAAAAACCAGTAAATCAAAATAAGAAAACGTTGGAAGAAGACGATGAATTCGAAGATTTTCTAGTGGACCAATGGCCAGCCAGCACTACGTTGAAGGACTCAAAAGAATTCCACACAAATCTATGGGAAGAAAGTTGGGATGATGTTGAGGTTGATGATAACTTTACCAATGATCTTAGAGCTGAAATAGCGAAATACAAACAAGAACACCAATGAACACTCTAATGTTATATATAGCCATTAGAATTAGATAGTCTAATAGGATATTTTTATGAGACCAGGATTTGATACAAATATTATATGATTTATTTACATTGTGTACTTTCATTTTTTAATAAAACTAATTCATTCTTTTATGTATCTAAATTTGAAAAATTAATTAACTTATATAATAAATTATTAATCAAGTAAATATATTTTACCTGCAGGTCCTGAGCAAATTACTTTACTCGTTTCTTGTGGATGCCACTTGACTTGAGAAATTGGTGATTTTCCTGGAATTGATATCTCTTTTAGAAGTTTCGATGTTGTCCAATCCCACAATAGAACTTTACTTCTGATATCTCCGGAACATATATAATGTCCATCTGGTGCGAATGTAAATCCTATAGCATAACCTACCGATTTTTGTCCTTTGAATATTTTATTTGGAAGTTTCCTAAACTTTGGTTTCATATTATATGTATATATGGCGTTATCCATACTCTGGGTACAAAAATATTTTTGAGTTGGATGTGTGTTAATAACAGGCATAGAATACTGCGCTGTATCACTGATATTTTTAATAGGAATATTAACTCCACTATTCCAAATCATTACAGTCTTATCTTCAGAAGATGATATAAATTTGGATCCATCTTGGAAATATTTGACATCCAGAATGCCTCCGATATGATGATCATACGTTTGAACAAGTCCATTTTGTTCAGTTACCCGTGTATCATAATGCAAGATTCTCGAATCAGAAAGACCAACTATAAATTCGTTCATTCCTGTAGGACGAAATTCACAACAACTGACCCCATCTTTAAATCGTAACCTCTTTAAGACGGACCCAGTTTCCGTATCCCAAACCTTTACAGTTTTATCATATGAACTACTAATGAACGATGTACCGTCATTGACAAAATCCATGGAATTGACTGATTTAGAATGTCCCTCATAATCTCTTATACAAATTCTTTCATGATAAAAATCCCATAATTTTATCTTATTATCATTCCCCCCAGATAGAAATAAATGACCTGTATTTGGGATAAACTTTAAACTTGTTGTACCATTCTTGTGGCCTTCAAAAGTGTATTTAACCTTCTTTGGGAGATATGTTTTGAATGTAAGGCTTTTTTTATCTAAAGTAGTTTCTATGTCCACTGGTGGATTTAATATGCTACTACGACCTCGATAATCTTTTTCCGATTTACCATAAAAATGAGATATTTCAATATCATCGGTGCTAACTGTATCTGAGTCATCATCTACTAATTCAAATTTCTCATCCACTTTATCCTCGTTAGTGTAATCGTCGGGTTGATATTTACCTTCATCTTCACTGCTCCAAGATCCCCATGGACTATTAGTTTTTCTTGCCTGTTTTCTCTTCTTTAATTCTCTTTTTGTGAAGTGATGTCTCTTTTTAGATGTTAAGGGAGTACCATCTGTTCCCTGAACGTTGTTCAGAAATAAACTTTCATTTGTATTTTCGGAATCTGAACTTGAACTGTATCCTTCAATAATCCCCATGGTCTTCAGTTTGTATGTTAGGTCTATAGATTTATTACTAATATTCCATGGGTTAGATTTATTTATCTGTATTCGTCGAAGACATTACATTTATTTCCTATTTGAATTTTGAAGCCATTGAAAAAATAAATTTCAGTCGCCCTATGAAAAATAGTGCAATAGGTAAGGATAGTAAAGTAATTATTTTACACAATTTTGTTACTTCTGTATATATGCTTATGTTATAATGATTTGTATGATATCATTCTCTAAATGAATTTATTTTAATGTACATTATTTATGATTAATTACGGTTTCCTTTGTTCTTCAATTTTTTTACAATATTTTGAATATTACTTTTGGAAGATTTACTGTCACTACCATTATCTCTTTTTTTGTTATTGGTGTATGTTTTCTTAGAACGTTTATTAGACCCTGAATGATTCTTCGAACGCTTGTTACGTTCTTCCAACATTTTCTTCGTAGTTTTAGTAGCTTTAAATTCTGGTCTGGAAGGATCAATGGCAAAGTCTCTATCTTCAAACATTTCCTTAAATCTAGGATCATTCAAATTGGCTTCAAAATTATCCTCAACAATCTTTGTTTTATTTTGATATTTAGATTTTTTACCTTTCTCCTTTTCTGATCTCAAAATTTCATTCATGTTAAAGTGAGCATCTTTATTTATTTTGTTTTCTGTATTTTCGTCATTATCATCCATCATTAATAGTTCTAATTCTGCTCTAGATTTACTGTCACCTACAAATTCTCTATTCTTTTTATCCTTTAATGACCTTAATTTTTCTTTCTTTTCCTCTAAACTGGTTTTCTTCATTTGTTTTAACTTATCTTTTCTGGATTTCCGACGTTCTTTCTCCTTACGTCTAACCTTTTCAATAGTATTTTCCTCCTTCTCTCCTTCCTTCTCTGATGAACCTTCTTCTAGACCAGGAGTAAATGTGATCTCCATATCAACTTCTTCACCATCATCCTTCTTTTCCTCTGATTTCTGGTTAAAGTTCTTACCAACTAAAGATAATAGTTTACTTCTGGAATTTTGATCTACTTCTTCATCGGAATGGTCACTGTCTGAAGCCAAATAAGCTTTGAAATCCATATCTTCAATCTCCTTTTGAGAAAAAGCTCTTTTCGAAATAGCAATTCTGTCAGCTGGAGTTTCATCCCAGGTCAATTTGACGTTGGAATGTTGTAGAGCATCAGTACTAAACTGTAATGGTTTATAATTTTTTGGCGATTCTGTACATTCATCCCTAGGAGTATCATCAAAGGTCATGCCGTCAGGAACGAAACGAAGATCGAACATGTTCGCAGTTGACTCAAATTCTGTACCATCACAGTTTTGATATATAGATGATGCTGTTTCAATGTTATTGCAATATACAACCGCATAATAATATCTTAATCTTTCTAATTGATATTGACGTAAAGCTTTTCTATCGAAATCCTTGTCAGCATCACCTTCTTCATAAAGATCTTTTATACCTATATCATCATCACTTTCTTCTTCATCTTTAGGACCATTTTTCTTACTCTTTTTCTTCTGAAATAATTCTTTAGGAGGTCCTTCAACCTCTTCTCTTTGCATTCTTTCCTTCCCAAATTCGCTCGGATATATAGAAATTCTGCTAATCTTACCACCTTTTGGAACAAAACTAGACAATGTAACAAACAGATCTTCTGCCTTGACATGGTCCCAATCTAAGTTGACGACAGCCAAAGTGTTGGATGGTTCACCAGCTTCAGGCTTTGTCGTTTCAATTTCAATCTCAGATTCACCTTCACTTTCTACATCACTCTCTCCTGAATATTCCGATTCAGAAGATGTATATTCATCGGAACTAACATAATCGTCAGGAACTTCACCACGAGCTCTATCAATAACAGGTTCGGTGGATGGTTCTTCTTCCTTCTTACTTTCATCTTCATCTTCGTCTTTCTCGAAGTACTTATCGAAATCGTTCAGATCCTTGTTGTTTGAATCTGATTGAATCTTTCTACCATATTTATCAACCTTACTTTTCTTTTTAATCTCTAAATCTTTCTTACTGAATCTATTATCTAGTTTGATCTTGATGTTTTTAGAGCTTGTCTTCTTAAATTTTGGATCATTGTAAACTCTTGAAAATCTTGGATCAGAAGATTGACCTTCTTGCTTTCCACTACCACTTGATGACATTGGAATGGCGAATATTCGATGGATACTTATTTGATGAATTAACGAAACCTGTTTTGACTTCAACTCATATATATGATTATAAAATTATGCGATTTAAGTAATTATTATCGTCTGTGAATCGATGCTCATCGATTCTTCTCGCGCTGAGAACTGAAAATTTTTTGGTGCACGTAGAATGTGACCAAAAATTGTACTCTTCAATATCAAAGAGAATTGATTTATAGAAGATGCCAATTCTAAATAATAAAGTAGATAACTTAAGTTATTAATTATTTTGTTATAATGTAAACATTAAGTTAGATATTTAATGAACTTTGCCAGAAAAAATTACTTTAATTCAATGTTTTTATATTATTGCAAATACAACAACACTCAACAGTATTTTTTAATATGCCATTTCATAGTAAATATGTATATATAAAAATATGTGCCAATCCCTTATTTTTTTGATTTAGTTTTCTTAACTAGCTTCTTTTTTATATGCTTTTTCACCTTTGTCTTACGTTTTTCACGCTTAGCTTCTTTAGCTTCTTGTTTTCTCTGTTTCTTTTCATCTTTATCTTCATATTTCTTACCTTTTAGAATCTTTTCTTCCTCATCTGAATACTCATCTTCCCCACTCTCTTCTTCTTCATCAGTTCCTTCATCACTATCTTCCTCCAAATCATCATCTGAATTACCGTCGTCATCGCCATCGTCATCATCAAATTCATTGATATTCTTATCGTAAGAATTAGAAAAATTCTTTTCATTATCATGAGCCAACAAACTCTTTAATAAATCAAATTTACCTTCCGTAAATCTATCAAAATCTCTTTCCTCCAAACCATTCAAATTTCTAACCAAATATAAAGATCTGAACACTTCATCTTCCGCTTCATCCTCAACAGTCTTCTTTACGATTAAATTTTTCTTAATATAGTCCATCAAATCAGGTAGACTTCTCATATCACCTTGAAAATTTGGTAATGTTTCAGATATAACAAATTGGAAAAGCAAACGTTCAGAGAAGATATCAATACCCATTTTTTCGAAATAAAAATTGACATTCTTTATGTCCATTCTTAAGAAATCCAGACTCATTGGATGTTCTGGTTGAACACTTTGGGATACATCGATGACATAAAGTTGATCTTTATGAACTAATGTGTTATATTCTGAAAGATCTGCGTGAACTAATTGACATACTTGGTACAATAACCTTATATCAGCGATCATATTGTAGTAATAGTAATATATTTCTTCACGGTCCTTGTATGGATAATCTCTTAGACGTGGAGAGGCAAATCCATCACCTCTATTTAAAAATTGCATCACTAAGACATTGTTTTTCACTTCAATTGGTTTTGGAACAGGTATCACGCCTGCTTGATATATTCTTTTTAAATTACGGAATTCCTTTTCTGCCCAAATCTTAATCATCTTTCTAGGGTTATGTTGTGATCTTGAATTTCTGAAACGGAATTCACCGTCGACATAACGTTCTCTATCCTTAAACACCAAGATAGATGTCTTATAAATTTTAATCGCATATTCTTCTCTCTTCTCTGGATATTCTTCCGAATTATTACTTTTCTCAACATCACTATTATCATCATTCTTTAGTTCATTATGATTATTTGGTTGTTTACTACCAGCGAAAGCGTGATACACATTTGCTTCTTTCCCTGTACTTATACAACCGTTAAAATCCGATATAATACCTCTATTCATTAATGCTTGCAAAAATCTCATAGTTCTAGGATCCAAGACATTTTCCACTGTAGCCCTATTGGCTTTATCTTTATTGGTTTTCCCTCTACTAAATGATAATTCATCTGTCTTGATCTTATCGCTAAACTTATCTAGAATTTGAGTATTTACATGTTCACGATCCTCACGGTTATCGTGCATACTCAGTTTATCAAATTTATCTTCTAATGTCATATTTCTCCTGGTATACTACTTCTTTGCGGTTTCAATTTTAAATATATCGAATATCCTCTACATGATTAAAAGTAAAGTTAAAACAGAAGAATTGAATAGCCGCTTCTCTCTTTATATATATATATATATGTTCATTTAATCACTAAACTCTTTAAAATGAAGTACAAAATCTCAGCTCATCGCATAATCTCGTTTCATTTAAAATTTTCCAAAGGACAAAATTCATTTCGCTGCCTGCCACTGAAAATTTTCAGTGGCACATAAAAAGAGTGCGAGAACCTCAGAAGCGTTGAACACGCTCAAACGCTTAACAAAGTAAATAAATGTATTGATAACAAATTAGCAGAACCTGTTTATAATTAACAGATACGGAAGAACTGAAAAACATACAGACTTCGACCTGTTTTTAAAAGATATAAGTCTGTTAATTCACCATCTTTTACTCAAAAGAATTAACCATTAGAAGACAATTCATTTTAATTTCAATAGCATCTATGCGAAGAATGAGAGCTTCTGCGTTCAGGTTTCCAAAAACTTTTCTAGGGTTTCTACCATTATACATAGCTGTAGAAATTGTCCTAGGTATAACTATATTAAACAAATGTAGTGGTGCATATGGTATATTAGCCATTTTTACAGGACATCCATTGGATTTCATGCAAGGGGTATCATATCTATGGTCTATATTTACATTGATCGTGTTTGCTCAGGGTCTTTATGAGATCCGCAAGCCTACATTATTAACATTTTCCCAAATATTTGTGTTTTATTCAATTGATACCGTATGCACATGTTTCTTTACACTATGGTTTACTCGTGTTTGGTTTGGTGTTGAATCCTCTGAGTCTGCCAATGCCTCTGATGCCAATGTTGCTGGTAGTGGGTATTCAAAACGTGGTGCAGATATCGCAAGTCAAGGTGCCTCTCAAGCATATGAATATGCTATTACTATGTTAATCACCTGGGTTTCTCTCATCTTTAGACTTTATTTCAATTTCATTTTAGCATCATTTGTTAAAGAATTATTATCAAATCCAAAATTCATGATCGATCAAGATGATGTCGCACAAGATCTTAAGAATAAAATGTTTTACAAGAGATGGTGGGTTAAATTGCAAAAGAATTCGTACAAATTATGTAGACGATTATTGGTATGACAAAATAGCTAATAAAATGGACGTTGCAATCCAATCATACTCTTATTTATGTAATAGACTTTATAAAATATACTTAAATAAAATTACCATTCCTATTATTAATTTTCAAATTAGTCAAATTGTAAATATTACTGTCTTTCTACGCTATATGTGGAAGATGGTACAAGTGGAGTCGTCGGAGACGTCTCCAATAACAACGGTCTCGACAATGTATGCACCATTGGGCACCACAACAGCATAAACAGACACATATTCTCGATCCGAAACCTCTATCCCCTCTCCCCAGATTTGAATATAAATTGTGTATTAACCAACCTTCAAGTTAGTACATCCATCAGGAGCATCCGGACCACTCTCCTCCGTATGTAAACTTGGCGGTGTCTAAATATGCATCACCAAAAGGTTATGACCCCGCTCTCCCTTTTTTATTGTGGCAGGCAGTCAGGGCGATAATGTCATCAAGGGAAAATGTGAGTGTGGGGGGGGGGAGCTAGAAGAGAGACCAGGTGCGAAGAACAAAGTGAATCTCTTCATCTTAAAGAGGAAACATCCGTGTTCCGGGCATCCAGTTTTAGATGCTTAGAAGTTGTGGTAATCAATGATAAACAAAGGTTGGCAAAATTATGTGCCACATAGCCCATAATATAAGTGTTAATCAATATTATAGCGAAGGGGTGGGGGAGAACAAGGAGGGTTAAATGATGAACAACTGCGTGCAACATATTTTGTGCAGCTATGACTTTTTTTTAATTCAATTGGCAGGAAATAAGTGCCAGGACTTAAGATAGGATATAAGAATCTTGAACACTTTTTCGGATCGTCAGAGGATATACCTTCGAAAATTTATACTTAAATAAACTTATATATAAGTCCACATACATACACCCCCGTTTGTTTCTTGTTGTTCTTTCTACCCTCATCCCATAATCATTTATTGTTATATACAAATTAGTACTATTTTCTTTCTTTATATTTTTCTATTATATATCAATTCATTAAGGGACAATAATAATTACAATTATACTTCCATATACGTTAATAAAATGGCTCAACCAAAAAATAACACTGCTCTACTTAAGTTAAACACAGGTGCCTCTATCCCATCTGTTGGTCTAGGTACCTGGAAATCTACTGGTGTAGATGATGGTTACAAATCCGTTATTAAAGCTCTAGAGGTTGGTTACAGACATATCGATACTGCTGCTATTTACAAGAATGAAGATCAAGTCGGTAAAGCTATTAACGACTCCGGAGTTCCAAGATCAGAAATTTTTGTCACTACAAAGTTGTGGTGTACTCAACAACACAACCCTAAGGAAGGTTTAGAACAATCTCTAAAGAGATTAGGTCTAGATTATGTTGATCTTTATCTAATGCACTGGCCTGTTCCATTAAATCCAAGAAGTATCAAAGATGGTAATTACTTGACTATCCCAATAAAGGCAGACGGTACTCGTGATGTTGAAACTACTTCTTGGAATTTTATCAAGACTTGGGAATTGATGCAAGAATTACCAGCTACAGGTTTGACTAGAGCAATTGGTGTCTCCAATTTCTCTATCAATAACATTAAGGATCTATTGGCCTCCCCAGGTAACAGAATTACTCCAGCTGCTAACCAAGTTGAATTACATCCACTATTACCACAACAAGAACTGATTGATTTCTGTAAGTCAAAGGGTATTATTGTAGAAGCATACTCTCCATTGGGGAGTAACAACGCTCCATTACTATCTGAAAAAACAGTTATTGAAGTTGCTAAGAAGAATAACGTCACCCCAGCCGAAGTAGTCATCAGCTGGCACGTTCAAAGAGGTTACGTTGTTTTACCAAAGTCTGTTAACGCAGATAGAATTACAAGTAACTTGAAAACTTTTTCCTTGTCTGACGAAGATTTCAAGGCAGTATCTGATATTTCTAAGATTGAAGGTGAAAAGAGAGTCGTCGTTCCAGACTGGGCTCCATTTGTTCCATTTATTTAAGTATCATATGCAATTTATGTTGTTTTTTGTTCCAAAACAACTCAATATAGTGTATATAAGTTAAGATTTAATGAATAAGATCCTCAATGAATAAATATATATACATTTCTTGTTAAGAAAATTTCAGGAACGAATTTATTCATTCCTATAAGTTAACGAGGTGGTCATTGAAAAACCTATACCATTCGTCTAAATTTAAAGTTAGGTCCGTCGTCAGAGTCATCTGAATCCGAATCTGAATCCGAATTATCGTGTGTCGATGCTAGATTTTGAACTCTTGAAGATACATGAGTCCTGACACGTGTACTGTGTTCTGTAACCTTATCACTATTAACCTGTGGCTCTATATCCTCTATGTCATCTATCTCATCCTCCTCATCTTCATTTGTTACAAACAATCCATTAGAGGCCATGTTGGCTCTTGAAAAACTGAAAGAATTAGATTCACCCTCTGAATCACTATCCTCAATTTTTTTACTTTGAGAAACAATAGACTCTGGGGCATTTCTTTCTGTGATAGGTTTCTGCTCTGTGTCAGAATCAATAGGTTGCTTCGTACTATCAATGGAACTATTATTTCCCCTGTTATTTTCTCTTACTTCATCAAAACTATCGTCAATATTAGGGCCCAATTGTTTCTTAGAAATGCTATCATATGGCCTTGTAACAATATAACTCCTAGTAATTAAAAAAGCGTTATTCTTTATCGAATCATTGGTATTTCTTGAAGAAGGACAAACCTTAATAAACTTTTTAAAATTCTTGCGACCTTGCCAAGGACCTGGTGTACTCTCTGGACGAGACATATCACGTCTAACTACTAACGAAGAGTTCTCTTCAATTTCCAAATTTGCAAACTCATTTATTGCACCTTCTGTTAACTCCTCTGGTCGCACTTCAGCAATATCTGTTTTCAATCTTTCTACCTCTTTAGATTTTGTTGCTTGAATAACATCTACTAGGGTTCGAGGTCTTTCCATAAGAGTACGTTTTGAAGCTAATGAAACTGAAGCGGATGATGTATCCTTTTCAGAGTGAGAGCAGTTTTGGTTCAAAACATTCATGGGAGTATCTTTTGGAATATCTATAACAATATTTTTATCCTCAATATCAATTGGTAGTTTCTTATTATTTTCAAAATACACATCATTCGCTTCTATGTTTAATTGCTCTTCATCTGATTGGACAATATTTGGTAGTGTACTATGGTCTATGGGAATTTGAGTTTTATTTTTAACAAATTCCTCAGAAATATTTTCATCTACTTTTGTAGTATGAGAAGTAGTATGGTTGGAATGAATGGCATCTATCATTGACGGCAGTACAGTTTCATTACCAGCTAATATTGTTGTATTTGGCGCATCGCTGGATAATTCTCCTCCACCTGCAAAGAAACTAAGACTATTCAGGGGTTTTATTTTGGGACGTGCTATTCTTCGTCTTTTAGTAGGTGCCGGATTATCTCTTTGTAGATCATCTATAGGGTGTATATTTGATGATTTACCATCGTTTTCTATAATTGTGGAAGCAGTTGTCTGACTTTTAGGATTTTCAGCTGGGGCCAATGCCAATTTCAAATGCAAGAAAGAGCTTATCAATGTCTCAAACGTAGTATTTTTTAAACATTGTACAAATTCTCTAGTGGTGGTAACATTTAATTTTAATGATGATAATGTTTCCAATTCTGTTGTATCTGTGGGGCAAATTATAATAATTTTCTCAGAAAGACTTTCCTTCGCTAAACTTTCTCTTAGATCATTAATGTTTTTATATAATTTAGATGTTCCATGCAACATCTTTATTGAATTTTCCAAGTATATTTTCTTGGCTTCATCCGTTTCACCAATGATAATGAAAGTCACCTTAGCTATGACTTTTCGTATCTCTTTAAGATTGTCATCATTGTTGTTTATTATTCCAAGTATATTAAACTTCATCTCATCCTTCCATTTCTCAATGAAGTTAATAGTAGTAACATTCATCCAAGTCTCAATACTTTTTAGTGCAGTTAACTGTACTTCATAGATTCCATTCGTGTAAGCAAACAGGTCTCTATAATATTTACAATCTATCAATTCATCGGAGGACAGTACCAAATTTATATTATTGATTGAATTTAAATCTAAAGAGCGTTCTTCTATGCATCTTACTCCATATTCGTCTAAACTATCAAGCAATTGAAGATCAACATTTCTCGGTATAAGTACTCTCAATGGAATCCAGAGTAGTTTGATTTCAATAGGTGAAATTCCTAGGGATATATTGATTTGTTTTGATATAGTATTTTCTTTCTTTTGTAAAGGAATATCATCAGTTACAACACAGGAAAATGATTCCTGTTCTTTTTGGTACTTACCATTTATCGCGGTAACTTTCCCAGTATTTGTAATATGCAATGTAGTTCCTTCCCATACGATTGAAACGTGATTACGTGATATACTTTTGTCATTCTTAATTGGAAAGCTACATTTACCAGATCTCCCCAATGAATAATTAGTAGCCTGTTTAATACATCGTGATACATGCAATATTTGGCCATTAGCCAGCGTATTCTGATATTCCAAGATCCACATAAATTGATGTGGCTTCTGGAATTAAGAATATAGATAAAATTTCAGAAACTAAGGATAGAACAATAACCGTCCACTTATAAATGTTAGTATGCTATAACTCTTACACTGGTGGTTCATTTATTATGTGACGTGCGTATTTAGAATCGAGTATTATTTACTTATTAAAGGTCTTTAATAAGTACGTCTATCAAAGAAAGCCTGTTAAAATGAAAAATAATAATTAAGCGGCAAAATACACAGACTGAGGCATCGCAACAACATTCATATAAAAAGATACAAGATATAAAAACAAAAAAAATATTGCTATTCACTTCTATAACTAATTTCATTATTTAATATGCTTTGTTATATTTATATAAAGTGTGGTATTTCAACACCTGCCGGTGTTGAGTTTAATTTCTTGATAGATATGTTATGACGTATGTCTATCTTGATCTTAAAGGATTGTGGACCTTCGTCCTCATTTGGATTTACATTGACTGTTATTAGTTGGCAGATAGACCTTAGGCAATGCTGAGTCCATTCTACAGCAATGTTAGAGTTATAATTAAAGTCCTTGTTATATGGAGTAAGATTTCTATTGTTAAATTTACCATATAAACCGGTTCTGGAGTATTGTTGTATATCATTTAATATTCCATCACAAGGGTCTCTTATCCCAATAATAATATCTGAATTTTTACATAAGCCTGTTTGTAACCAAGTTTTCAATAATTTCTTACGATGTTGAGGGTTACCCATTTTTAAATTGGCGTAACATTTCAATTCGCTATAAATGTCTTCAGAAGTATTATAGGCATCCATTTCACAACGTAGCACTAGGTTTACGTCATCATCTAATCGAGCTCTAATGATGGAGAATGCAGGATCTTTAGCACCATCCTGACTTGTGATCAGATCTTCAAACGCAAATCCTGAGAAGCATATCTTTTTCAAAATTGGATTCGTGGAGTGTATGCCACTTTTGCCAAATGATTTATTATGAGAATCACGAGAAAACAGTAGTAAACCATTACTGAGATATGTACATATTATTGTAGTATCAGAATTCTTGTCGTTGGAATTGAATAAAGACATCCCGATATCTACTATGTGGTGTCTAGCAGACACAATTGTTAATTTTGAGGTGGTGTTTGACCAAGTGCCTGATTTGAATTGAGATTCGATATATTTTAAACAGGGCTCAATACTATCCAAATCTTTATCATCCATTGCTTTATATATTTCAAGGTTAGAATAGAGGTTACTTCCAATAAATTTGGTTTTCAATTCTTTTGATTCGGTAATAGATTTACCTGCCAAAAGGGAAACATTGTGCTCCAGTACGGGCATTATTGAAGATTTATTCTCTGGGCTAATATCACATGCAAACTTGCCATTTTTATATAGTCCTACTTCTTCGATTGATTCGAATATTTCCTTCGGTGTTTTAGGTAAATAGGTCTTACTAGAATGGCTGAATAAATGATAAGGTACAGAACCATTCTTGTTATCAATGTTTTTTTTTCTCTTATTCTTTGGTTTTTTAGTCGATTTAGGACTTTTCAAGTTCAATTTAGCAATATTTTTGACAACATTATCAATATTGTCAATGGTTGCACAGCTATTTACAGGTTCTTTCAAAGACATTATTTTTTTTCCTGAGGTACATTACCATGTAGATGTAACTTATCGTTAATTAGTTATTAAAAAAAAAAACGATGATTGTATATAAATTTTCTCGCCTATAGTAACCAAAAGCACACTAATCTATCTAACTTGTTTATTGTAAATCATTACTTCTCAAAATTCCATTCTTCATCGGTGTTCTATTTTACTCTTTGCCTCTCTCTCTCTCTCTCTCTCTCTATTAACCATCCAATGGGCAGCCAAGTTGAGTTTTCGTACCGAGAAGTCGAAAAAGGTTGAAGTTACTCCAAAGGGCCAAACGAAATTTTCAACAAAATAATGTAGTCATCCTTACTTATTATATAAGCAGAATGCAGTAAGCAGGTCGATATGAGGGGTGGTGTACTTATTAGTTCTCATATTAAGAGTAAACTATTAGTATAATATTGAAAAGTACCTTCAATATATATATATATATCTCAATATCTAATTTGCTACTAAAAATGACTGAATGGTGTGTAATCGCTTACGATAAGGTTGGTTCCGACAGATCCAAGCTGAGACCACAGCACTTGGCTGGTATCCCACCTCAAGTAGAGCAAGGTAAATTGGTATGTGCAGGTGCCATTTTCAATGAACCTACTACTCCAGGTGGAGAACGTACTTTTGCTGGTTCTCACTTACAAGTTGTTGCCCCCACCAAGGAAGAAGCCCTGAACATTGTTAAAGGTGATATTTTTGCTAGAGAAGGGATCTGGGACATGGATAACATTATTATCTATCAATTTGGTTGTGCTGTTCGTGAACCAAAGAAATAGAAATGTTGAAATGTATAAGGTTGTTCTTTTTTACCAAGTCTGTTGGTTGTTCTATACCATGAATGACCAAACTACAAAACACTGTTAATTTTCTTCTAACGCAAGGAGAATACTTTAAAAGGTATATAACAATTCTCAATCCTTTTTATTTACTTACTGTACATAATATTATTATATTTGAATAAATGACCATTTATTTTTTGTGTGTTTTCACTTTAAAATAGCCTCAGCATTATATGTTCTCCTATTGTTTAGCTTTTAAATTTTGTCCCTGACGTAATACATTAGACCTTAATCCATTTTGGTTGACATGTTTTTAAAAATAAAACAAGAATAAGTATTCGAAGTTTGTGTAATGATCCTGAGATAAAGATAGCAATCTTTATAAACTCGTTCAAGGACTGGTTGTCTTATTTTGCTAATTAAAAAAAATGACGATTGACGATATTGACAAGTACGATATTGCTAGAGCACTAGAAGAAGTATCATTTATTAATTCTTCTAGATCGTCTCTCAGAGACGATGACCAAACCAGCCACAAAGTAGTAAGTGGTGTATATTATACAAATTGGTCCCCATACAATGAGTTAGGCCATTTTCCGAGAGATATTAATTTTTCCAATGTCACTCACATATTTTATGCTTTCTTTCATGTCGACGGCAATACAGGCAGCCTGAAATCCACAGATTCATGGTCAGATTTCCAGATACCAATTACACCTTTTGAAGGTCATCCAAATCATCCTGAAGGTTGTTTAGGTGAATTATTTATTCTCAAACTACATCAAAATTTTAAGGTCTTGATGTCGGTAGGTGGATGGTCGAACAGAAAAGAGTTTACCCAGGCTATGCAAGATGAAGATAAAGTTCAAACTTTAGCTAAATCATGTGTGGAAACTATGTTCAGGTATGGTTTCGATGGAATTGATTTGGATTGGGAATACCCAAGAAACAATGAATACGAACCAAGAAATTTTGTACATTTAGTTGAAAACATTAGGTTTGGTCTAGATGCCCTTGAGGCTAATGTGTTCAATACACCCAAGAGAAGATTTGAAATAACAATAGCCACTCCTGGTACAGAAGATAATTTACAAGGAATACGGTTTAACCGATTGATTCCTTTAGTAGATTATTGGAACGTAATGGCCTATGATTATTATGGAGAATGGTCAAACAGAACAGGGTATCATAGTAATTTGTATAATCCTGCTTTTCAAGGTACATTTTCAAGTTCTGATACTTCCGAAGAAGATCAAGAGGATGACGAAGAAGAAGAGCATAGTCTCAGTGCAAGTGGAATAATTTCAATACTTTGTAATAAGTATAAAATTCCAAGAAATAAAGTTGTGATGGGAGTAGCATCATATGGCAGAGGGTTTACGAATGTTGAAACTAAATTGAATAGTGCGGCATATGTTGGTAAGAAATATCATGGAGTAGGAGGAAGTGGACCTGATAAGGACGGCACTTGGAAATACAATGAATTACCATTACCTGGCACAGAAGAAGAATTTGACCCAATGTATGGTAGTGCATATTGTTTCGATAAGGCGACTAGAACGTTTATTGGTTACGATAATTATCAATCAATCAAAATGAAAGGTGAATACGCTTGGCGGAGTGACTTAGCAGGTATATTTATGTGGGAATCAGCTGGTGACGACTACAAATACCCAAATTTATCACTATTGGAGATATACGCGAACGAAGTTCATTATAGATTGAAGAAAGAACGATCTCCTTTTACAGAGAAACCATTGATTGAATTCTATATTAAGAGGTACCCCAAGAATGGATTTCTTACCAGATATCTTAAAACAATACTTCAAAGTATTGGATAGGTTGGTTCGATCGTCATAAATATATACATATAACAATAAATAAAATATACAATTACGAGTTAAGTTTGGACTTTGATAATAATTTGATATTTTTCCATTATTCTTTGATAATGACAGCAATATTCAGTAAAAAATGTAACCAAACAAACAGTGAAAATAAAGGTCATCTCGCGTTCAAAATATATTGTAAGCAAAAGGAAAATATAGATATGTTTGTAGTACGTAAAACAAAAGAGAAAGGATACTGCAACTCAACGATATAACAAGTTAATTTATAGAAGTTTATAGCATAATAACCTAAAAAGGCTTCAAGAAGATACGATATTCTTCTGATAGCATTCCTATATTTTGCAATCAATACATTTAGACAACGATATATTAAAATATGGGTGCTAAAGCTTCAAAACTTTCTAAGGACGATCTAACCAGTCTCAAACAATCCACATATTTCGATCGTCGTGAGATTCAACAATGGCACAAAGGGTTTTTGAGGGATTGTCCGAATGGTTATCTTACAAGAGATGATTTTGTGAAGATATATAAGCAATTTTTCCCCTTTGGCCAACCAGAGGAGTTTGCTAATCATTTATTTTCAGTGTTTGATAAGGATAATAATGGATTCATCGAATTTAAAGAATTCATTGCAGTATTGAGTACTACATCCAGGGGTACATTAGAGGAGAAACTAGTATGGGCGTTCCAATTATATGACTTGAATCATGATGGGTATATTACGTATGATGAAATGTTGACCATCGTCAGCAGTGTGTATAAGATGATGGGTTCTATGGTTCAATTAGATAAAGAAGAAACTACACCTGAACTTCGAGTTAAGAATATATTCAAATTAATGGATAAAGATGAAGATGGGTATATAACGTTAGCAGAATTCAGAGAAGGCTCCAAAGTTGATCCATCCATTATCAGTGCCATCAGTCTATATGACGGTCTTGTGTAACGTCATCTATATAATTATTATATATGTATATATAGATATACAATTATCAGCATCATCATATCATCATCGAGCGTTAACTATAAAATTTTATTATTAATTTATATATCCTTATTATAAAGTGATCTGATCTTAGTTAATACTCTATGTTATTATTATTGTTCTGGATCTAAGAAGGACGTCACTTTAATATGTTTAGAGTGGAATATATTTAACATACTGATTCCTACTTCCTTTGGTAATATTTGAGTGTCTCTTGAGTTTGTTACAGGTTTATTTTGATTATCTGGAACAATCAGATGTTTAAACATTCTATTTTCAATATCCCTAACACATAACCATTGAATTTTGAATGCAGAACCATATTTAGAATTATTATCCCATATTGTAGTATCCAAATCCTTTGATACATCGGAGATCATTTGAGCAACACCACAAAATTTACCAGATCCATTAACAGAGAAGAAAAGAAAGATTTTAGAGTCTGAAGTTCCAGCTTTAAAACAAGCCGATAATTTCTTGTTACCAAGATGAGTTGATGACCATATATTGTAAGTATAAGCACGTTGAATATGTTCCAAAGTGAAAGATTTAATAATGAAAAATTTTGAATCTGGTGGAATATCAAAATATTGGGGAATAACTGCAAAGTTATTATTAGTATAATTTTTCATTGATAATTTTTCTTTGTATGAATAGTTATTATTATTTTTATTATATGTTTGTTTGTTTATATTTTGAGTATAAAACACTTGATCGCAATTTGAAATCATTGATTGTTCGAAGTTATTATTGTCGATATTAAATGTAGTAGTAGAGTTTACAACATTTTCATTAAAAAAATGTGTACCAAAACTATTGTTATTCGTATTATTATTATTCATAGATCTAGGAATATTATTCATATTATTTGTGCTCCAACCACCATTATAAAAATTATTCTGAGTATTAACCTGAGTGTTTAAGAAGCCCCCATCTAATAAATCATCTTCTACAAATTCGAATTGCACATTATTTTGAATACAATAATTTCCTTTTTTTGTTGAATATTTTAATGGTGTTCCAATCGGAGCTTCAAAATCCCAAATATCCATGGTGACACGTACAAATAAAATCAAAAGAGACTAACTCTGATCTTAAATAACTTTCCTTTCTTAAAGCTGGTATCTTCACAAGAAATAATAACTAAAATTACAGTTCCCAAAGAAATATACCCTTCTTTATATATATATTTGTAACCATATACAGGTGGGGAAACTCAATTAAATCGCAGTTCCCTCTTTGTTCCCTTAAAATAGCCGCTCAATAAGGTCACCGAGAGACAAAATCAATTTGTTGAACGTTTTGTTTCAACGCGTTGCAGCTTTTGTTTTATTCGGTTTTTATTAATTTCAACAGCAATTAGAGAAATGCCATCCATTTTATTGTGCTCGTTTTGGGTTAGTCATTGGTTTTCATACATCAAGATGTGCGAGTTGAGTTGGAGATTCATAAGTGGTCTGTATATGTGTGTACTTTGGGATTAACAATAGCAACAAAACTAGCAAGTTGGAAGAACGATCATGAGCCCGAACAAGAAGTTAAGTAAATATATATTAAAGGAATTGGGGAATATTTCAGATGACAATGTGGTAGATGTCACAAAGAGTGATGAACGATTATTATCAGTATCATATCAGTTACTAATAAGACAAATTATTAATCGTGCTAATGAATTAGCAACTCTAGATCATTCTATGGAGATTTTCCCAAGACATATTGAAACCGCTTTAACTGAATTAATTGAAAAATGAGAGAAACAAACGAAAGGAAAAAAGTAAATTAAGGTAGAGAGGAGTTATACATATTTTGATGTTATTAATAGTGAAGTAGACAGATTTGTTGTAAAGGAAGAAGAGTATTCTATCTATATATGGAAAGAGGTATTACATTACTTTGCTGAGTGTTTTTTTTTTGTTTCTGTTGTAATGAATTCTCTAGTGAGAAATATTTCAATTATTGGATCAGGTCCATCGGGATTATATACTGCATATCATTTAATTAAAAAGGCTAATACTGTCAAGATACCATTTAATATTAAAGTATGGGAGAAATTCCCCGTACCGTTTGGTTTAAGTAGATTTGGTGTTGCGCCAGATCATCCGGAAGTGAAGAATTGTGAATTAACATTTGAATCGATGTTTAAAGAATATAAAGAATTGAGTAATGGATATTGTCAAAATTTAGAATTTATTGGTAATACCATCATAGGCAATAATAATAATAATAATAATAATAATAGTGAACCTATAAATCGATTTGAAAATAGGATCCCTCTAAATGAATTACACGATTCTCAGGATGTTATTGTGTTTAGTTATGGTTGTAATGGTGATAAAAGATTAAATATTCCAAATGAAAAATCTACACCTGGGGTATTTACTAGCAGACAGTTTGTTAATTGGTATAATGGACAATTTGATATGTCAATGAATGAGAAATTTATGAATTTCGATTGGTCTCGTGTCTCCAGAGTGGGGATCATTGGGAATGGAAATGTAGCTCTTGATTTATCAAGAGTATTGATTAGTAATCAAATCGATTCATTATGGTCAAATACAGATATATCTAATATAGCTTTAAAGAAACTTAGAGAAGCACATATTGAATCAGTTCAAATATTTGGTAGAAGAGATTTTTCACAATCAAAATTTACAAACAAAGAATTCAGGGAACTCTGGGAATTAGAAAAATTTGGGATTTTTGGAAATATAGAATCAAATGAATTTCGAACAATGATTCAAGATGTAAATAATAAGACAAAGACAAATAATTATGATCGTGTGATGATGAGACGTTTGGAGATGTCTCGTGAATATATGTTACCATTCGATCAAAGAACAAAGAAAAATTATAAGAAATTTAAACCTCCTGTAGAGAGAAATGATGCAAGAAAGATATGGGAATTTCAATATTTAAAGAGTCCGCAGTCAATTAATGTTTGTGACGATGATGGGTCGTTAAAATCGGTAACATTTACAGAAAATATAGTAGGTTCGAATGGTAATGTCAATGTACAGAATAAACCCACCACTGTTACTTATGACCTCGACTTATTGATAACATCTTTAGGTTACAAAGGTGAACCACTAGAAGGATTCAAAGAAATGGGGGTTCATTTTGAAAATGGCCATATTAAAAATATTAAGGGACGAGTATGCAACCCAGATGGTCTGCCATTAAACGGATTATATACATCGGGATGGATAAGTAATGGCGGGCGTGGTATTATTGCCAACACTATGCAAGAGTCATTTCAAGTCGCCGATCAAATATTGGCAGATTTGCCCATTTTACCTAAAACTTCTTCAAAGGAAACCACTGTAAGTTCAATACTTCATAACACTACATCATGGAAGGACTGGGAAAAGATCAATCAAATTGAAATGAATAACGGGGTACCTTATGGGAAACCAAGATCCAAGTTCTTAACGGTGGATTCTGTCATGAAGCATATAGAGTAACCTGCATATATTTTCTTTAGCACTGTACTTAAACAATTCAACCAATAACATTCGAGATGTACGGCCCGCTCGTGCGGCGTGATTCGATATTTGTATGTTTTTTTTTTGCCCTTCAATATTACTGAGCGAACAAGGAAGTGCAAGTTGATGGAACTTCTACAATGTAAGTATATATCACTCTTTAAATACATAAAAGTCTCCGTAAAAATTTGTGATTTATATGTTGAATAATAGAAGACGTCCTACAATATAATATCATTTATAAGGAACTAAATTGTTAATTCAATTACAAATAAAAAAATATTACTGGAACTTCAAGATAGGTTTGGAACAAACAAAACAAGCTCATAGATAATATCCCGTTTTTTCCCCCTTCGTTTTCACAACAAATAATTAAAAAGCAAAGAATTATAATGTCCATGATCTTGAGCCGTCGTCTGTCTACTCTCATCCCACCAAAGGTTGTGTCTGCCAAACAGTTAGGTAATGCACCAAACGCTAAGAGAGTCGCCAATATGGTTAGTTTTTATAAGTCCCTTCCACAAGGGTCTGCCCCTGCATCTCAAGGTAAAGGTATTGTAAACTGGTACAAGGCCAAGTACTTTGATGGTGATAAAGCTAGTGGTAAGCCATTGTTGCATCTAGTTTTCGGTCTAGCTGCTTTTGGTTACTCCATGGAATATTACTTCCATTTGAGACATCATAAGGGTGGTGAAGAAGAACACTAAGGGTAGTACTCAACACAGATTTGTTTTGGGTACTTTAAATAGTCATTCGATGTAATTGGCGAACAGTCCCATATGATTTTTCTTTTCTTTCATCCTTATTCCATCTTCCCCTATAAATTTAATCAATTCTTACCATATCTAGAACAACCCACATGTAAAAGATATGACTATATATTCCTTTCATAAAATTACAAAAATAGTAAATAAGAAAATAGAAAACTATCCATTTTATAAGAATCTTTTCAAAACTTTTTTTTCTTCTAATGTTATTCTTATTATTATTACAAAATTAATTGCTATGTATATCTATATATGGATATGGATATTATACGTTAATAACAATTATACCTCACTTATATACATGACTTGAGTACCTCTCAAAAAGACGTCACTGTTATAAGTATTGATTAGCCCGTTGTTTTTGTTTTCGTAGTGTTCAGTAGCACTAGATAATGCAATATTCATAAACCCATCAATGGACTCCAAAGTACCCACGTATAGCATACCGGAATGTAACTTGACATTCACGGGCTTACCAATTATATCGGAAAGAAATTGGGTAGAGGCACTGGTTGGTTCTTGTTGTGCTACACTTGACATTGTAAATGGATATATATATGTGTGTGTATGTGTGTTTGTATGTGTATATTAATAGGAATTTATATTCTATTAGTAGAGAAGCCTTGCAAATATGCTAATGTAATGAAAATATGGGCGTTGTAGACGACGGAATCAGTACTTCTATAAATTAAAGATATATTAATGCGTTGAACAAAACAATATAAACGATTCTACTGAAATATATATCAATGGATCAATAATGCAAACCTTCACTTTGAAGAATGGCTAACGTATGAGCTAAACTGACCTGAACTCCAGTTGCCCTCTACAGATCTGCTCATTCAAGTTCTCATTCCCAGCTCAGCTTACTGTAGCTTAGCTTAGCACTGTGAGAAGGAACTGAAATTTCAATTTCTAACTTCCCGCAGAAAAATCTGAATTTTTTGGTCAAAATTTGGGCGTCGTGCCACGTGATGTGTGGTCCCAGTGTAAATTCTATCTATGCTTTTATAATATAGGGAGCATACAAAGAACCAATTATATATGTAGTTAAGATCACCACAGTGTCAGTGTTGTAACCACATTAATGTTCTTTAGCTATGGTTATACGTTAGACTGTTAGGTGTTGCAAAGGGCTGTTACCTACTAATGTGTAGTTTATAGTAATATATATACGTATATATCCATATATTATGTAATTACTACCCGATCCGGGTAGTAATTACGCAGAATGTTAAATGTTCGGTACTTTCATGCGTTATTAAAAATAGATTCAGTAATTAAGATATTTCAGATAGAGCTCGAAATGGTATTCGACACGTTTTTAGAGACCTTTGCTAAACTCTTTCTTGTGCTGTTAATAAGAACATCTGCTCGAATATATATAGAAGCATCTGGTGATTGTCAGATAGTGAAAAGTCAAACCGACATAGGTAATTTTGCTAAAATAAGACTGTTAGATAAGGAATACACTTCTTCTCTTTTTTTAAAGAAATATAATATAATTTTCCAAAATACTTCATTATTTGCTTGATAGATTGATCGGATTATAATGTCATCAAAATTTACATCGTTGCAACAGCAACAGCCGCAACCTGAATACACATGCATAAAATGTAATAAACAGATTCAATCAGGGAACTTTTATACCATCAACGATTTTCATTATCATAATGATTGTTTCCATTGTTTTAAATGTCAAAAATCGTTAGCACCACATGGGACGGCAGATAACAACGATAAATTATTAGTCCTGGAGAATGGTACATTGATTTGCTCGGATTGTTCTGATTCTTGTAAAAGATGTGGTAAGAAGATTTATGATTTAGCTATAATATTGTCGAATAATGAAGCTTACTGTCCCGAATGTTTTAGATGTACAAAATGTGATAAAGAGATTAGTGATCTTAAATATGCAAAGACTAAGAATGGGATATTTTGTGTAGATTGTCATCAAGTTTTATTACAAAAGAGAAGACTTCATAAGGAAAAATTATTGAATAAACAGAAAAATAATGATGATACTAGTAATCAGGATAATATAGCTGTACCAATACGGTCCCCAAGTCGTAATAGGAATCGTGATAACCCAATATATAGCAAGATTCCAAATACTTTGCCTAAATTGATACCTAAAAATACTTCATCTTCATCGTCATCGATATCCTTGTTATCGTCAATGGTTAGTAATCAATCGATTGCAAGTCATAGGACAACAAATTCTACTACTGATGCATCGTTTTTGAAAGAACCGACAGGTCTGAAGAGACCACCGACATTAGTTAAAGATCCAACGTTTTCTACAATGAAGGACGTATCATCCACTTATGATGATGCAGAGAGTAGACCATCGACCGAACATTTAGATTTAGAAAACAGAGGGAGTCATGCTCGTAATGTTTCTATTGATGATATGTTGAATGCAACGCTTGATCATGACGAAGAGTTTAAGGATTCCGACGAAAATATTGATGATAATGAAGAAGAAGAAGAAGAAGACGACGATGAAGGGGAACATGACGCAACTGATAGAAGTTTTATGCATTATACACCTGTGAAACACAATATGGAGTCCATATTTTCAGAGAATTCATTAATTGACACTTATGATCATGAATCTATGTCAAGGACGCCTGAACCTATAGGGATTATTCCGCAAGTTTTGCCCGAATTACCAACCAGTATAATGCCGGATATTGATCACAGGGATATGTTGAATACTCCAAAATTATTAGCAACACCTTCATCGAAGAATGCCACGTCAAGTATTCCATTGAATAGTCCCATGGCCATTGATTCGAGACAACCCGGACAAGCTAAGGGATTGGCACTGGATCTACCAATGTTTTCTTTCGAGGATAAAGATTTATATCGCAAAAGAAGTCAGTCGAGTAATGGTAATACTGGTAATGGTGCTCCGCATCATAAAGAATCATTACAAAATGTATTCTCAGGAGACCATAACGAAGATAGTTACAATAATCATAACGTTGATAATGATGATGACGATGACAAAATCATTCAAATAAGACAAGATAATAATGTAACATCTAATTCTGCTCCACAAAGTTCTCATAAAAATAAGAAATTGAACAGATCGTTTTCATTGAGAAATAATAAATTTTTCAATGGATTTAGAAATAAATCTTCAGAATCTCCAAAGAATATTCCAGTGTCTCCAAATAACAATAGTGGGAATATGCAAGGTGCAGTAGATACCCATTCAGGTTGGGGTGTTACAAATAACAATACATCTAAAATAGTTTCAAAAGAAAAACCAAGAAATTCATTTAAGGGTAATAGTGATACATTAATCTATCATAGACATAATAATGACACAGACACATATAATACATCAAATGGACCTATTAGTATCTCATCACCAATAAAAGTAGTAGATATTGGTTCAGGTAGCAGGCATGCAAGAGCTCAGAGTACTACAAGTCAGTCTTCCCAAACAGCATCGAATATAGCAATGTTTAGAACACCTCCCCTGGATAATACTGCCATCTTTAAAAGAGGTGGGGCATCATCCACTACATCTACTGATCATAGTAGATCTAAAAGTTATGACGCATCTACCAGACCTCAACATACTATTTCTAAAGAAATTCCTGAATTACCAAATACACCTTCTACTGATCCTATCCATGAGAGTAATGGAAATATGTCATTACAATCAACAAATGGTATGGATTCTAATAAAATTGCAGCTCATCATAGATCTATTAGCTGGCAGACAGCGTTACATTTAGGGCATAAAGGTATCAATGAAACAGATGAAAATGTTGATCCAGAGGAATTGCCATTACAAACTCGAACTTCTTTGTCAAATAAGAGACCATCAAGTAGAGGTGAATTATTGAATTATGAAATTAAATTAAGAAATGCTAAGTTAGAGTTGAAAAGTATTGAGAATTCTAAACAACAATTATTAATAGAGATAGAAAGTTTAGAACAATATAAAAAGAATTTAGTTCAAGATATCAATCAAGCTAAAAAAGTAGATTTAATAGAAAATTCCGGTGATCAAAGGATGAATTCATTGGATAATGGATTACCTTCCACTATCCGTTCAGGTCATAGTAGAACAGGTAGTGTGACGAATGATATGAATGTATCTAGTATATCTACACCTATGACATATACCGCATCTTCACCTCAATCGACTTCTAAACAGAAATTCTGGAAAATATTTGGTAAAGAATCTAATGGGAATCATCAACGTAATAAGACCACAACTCCATTAAATTTTTCTAACTCAAGTGGAAATTTACAAGATTCGATTGGTAGTGCCACTTTTAATTCATTTAAGACAAACTCTACAAACTCAAACAATGGTAACGATATGACACTAATGAATAGTAATCAAATGAATATTAGTCCGAATCGTTCAAATATTAGTGGGTTACAAGAGATTGTTCTAACAGACCTCTGTCGATATGAAGATACTGCAGTTCCGCATCTTATTACCACATGTATAGATTATATTGAATCTAGGGATGAATTATTACAAATTGAAGGTATTTATAGAAAATCTGGTTCACAAGTTCAAATTGAAAATATTGAAAAAGAACTTTATACTAATAATAATATTAATTATAAATTTCCAAATGATATTGATATTAATGTTGTTACAAATATTTTAAAAAGATTTTTAAGAAATTTAAAGAATCCGGTTATAACATTTGAATTATATGATCCATTAATTCAATTTGTTAAAGATAATGAAATGATTCAAAAATTATCATTTAATGATAATCAATTAAAGAATCATGATCCACAATTAATTAAATATATCAATGGTAGATTACAAAGTTTATTATTTCAACAGATGCCAAGAGAACATTTAAATCTTTTGCAAATTTTAGTGACTCATGTTAATAAAATTGCAAATTGGAAAGAAGAAAATTTAATGTCATTACATAATTTATCATTAGTCTTTGCACCAAGTTTGATTCATGATTTAAATTTTGAAAAAGATATTGTTGATATGAAGGAAAGAAATTATTTAATTGAATATTTATTCACTTACAAGATAATTGTTTGAAAAAAGAATGGAAGTTATGAAATTTTGAAAAGAATATGTGTCTATATGTATGTATGTATATATGAGCGTGTTTAAAGTAATGAATGTTGGTTGTATATGCATGAAACAATTGAAGAAAGAAAGAAAACAGGGGGGAGGGGAGGGGAGGCCAAGACAATGAATAATAAGAGTTAATTGATCAAAAAAAAAACCCTACTTTAATGAATATCTTTAACGTCATCTTGAGAATACATTTGTAATCTTCTTGATCCTGTACGTAATAAATATTCTATTGTAGTAAAATCTTTTCTTGGTAAATCTCTATATTTGCCAAATTCTTCATGAATAAAATTCATAAATCTTGGTTGAGTATCTATTGGTTTAGTATGAGCCATCCTAACCCATTGTCTATATAAATGAATAACTTCTTTTTGTAGCCCACTTAATTTTTTAACACCTGGCATATTATCTGTTTGTCACTTTGGAGCAGGTAGAGAGGGTGAGTAGAGGAGTGATGGGTATCTCTTAATAATACTAAAGGGTGGGTGGGTGTGTAAAAATAGTATTATATATTCAGAAAAGGGGACTAATTTCTTCTTGCGCTTCCTGTTATTGTTATTGTTATTGTTATTACGAATGAAATGGTATAACTACTAACTATCTATGGCTCCCGAGGCGTATATGTACTAACGTTTGTTGTCCTCTGTTAATCATCGATGATTAACAAAATAAAATAATAAAAGAGTTTGTTAATAGTAAATATTATTAGTAAAAGTGGAGATTTGGAAATATGGAAAAGAGATGGAAACGGGAAGAAAGACGCTTCCCGGATGCATCTGTGTAATTCTGTTTCTTTTTGTCTCCCGAGAGAGAGAAAGAGAGAGATTCGGTAATTGTCGGCAAGATAAGTGGGTTAACCGTAATTTGCCGAATTAACAATAAACAATTGTTAGAAATTGAAATGTCACAAAATTGCAAAACTAAAAAAGACGTATACACTATGAATGGCTGTTAAAACAGAGATTTCCATGATTTCAATGCGATTTGGTTTATATATTATATAATTCTCGGTTAATCGCGGTTATTATTATTATCATAACTAATACGATATGATCAGACGTTCTTTAATATCGATATAATGTTTCCCATTTATTAGCTATTTTATTTTTGTAATACGTCAATTAATAACATATAATAAAAGGTTTGGAGTATTTGAACGGTTTATGATCAATATAAGAAATGATTTGAAGATCAAAGAGATAATTATTATTTTTATTTTTATTTATATTTATATATATATAGACAGATAGATAGGTAGATAGATAAATAAATATATAAATATATATTTAATTCTTACAACTTTTCTTATTTATTATAACATTACAAAAACTTTGAGACAAAAATAAAAATATTTGTTTGTTTCATAAAATAAATCATTTCAAAAATATATTATAATGACACCAGTAACTTATGATGTTGAACAATCATCTAATTACAATTTTATTAATTTAAAGACGGGTCAAAAAGAAATACCATTTGGTGAATATTTATTTCAAAGAGTACTTGATTCAGGTACAAAATCGATATTCGGTGTTCCAGGTGATTTTAATTTACCATTATTAGAATATTTATATGAACCTCAATTAATTAATCAAGGTTTAAGATGGATTGGTAATTGTAATGAATTAAATGCAGCTTATGCAGCAGATGGTTATAGTCGTTATTCAAATAAAATTGGTTGTTTAATTACAACGTATGGTGTTGGTGAACTAAGTGCAATGAATGGTATAGCAGGTGGATTTGCAGAAAATTCTAAAATCTTACATATCGTTGGTGTTGCAAGATCTATTGATTCAAGATGTAAAAATTTTAAACAAAGAAATTTACATCATTTAGTACCAAATTTAATTGATTCAAATTTTAACGGACCAAACCATAAAATTTATTATGAAATGATTAAAGATAAAATTTGTTGTTCAGCAGAATATTTAGAAGATATTGATCAAGTTTGTAATCAAGTTGATAAAGTTATTATGGATATTTATAAATATTCTAAACCTGGTTATATTTTTGTTCCAGTAGATTTTGTTAATATGACTGTTCCAATTAATAATCTTTTAAAAACACCAAAAATTAATTTAATGGATTGTATTAAACCAAATTTTGAAGAAGAAGAAAACATTATTCAAATAACTAAATTAATTCAAGATTTATTATATAAAAGTAAGACTCCAGCAATTATTGGTGATGTTTTAACAGATCGTTATGGTGGTAAAGAATTAATTAATAGATTAATTAATGAAACACATTTATGGAATTTTTCTTCGGTAAATGGTAAATCAATAATTAATGAATCTAATCCAACTTATATGGGTCTTTATAATGGTGATGAGGGACCAACATTGGTTAAAGAAAGATTTTTACAATGTGATTTAATTTTAAATTTTGGTGTAGATATAAATGAAGTTAATCAAGGCCATTATACTTTCAAATATAAACAAGATTGTCAATTGATTGAACTACATCCAAACTATATTAGATTTAGTAAACCAAATATGGATGATGGTAATAAAGAAGAACAAATTTTTAAAGGAATTAATTTTATTCATATTCTTAAATTATTAGTAGAATCAATTGATGTTGGTCAACTAAGACATCAATACCCCGTTTCAATTAAACCTTTCAAGACTGAAGAATTAAATTTTAACCATGACCCCGAGTCTCAAATTATTACCCAAACATACATTCAAAATAAATTTACAACTTATTTAAACCCAGGTGATGTAGTAGTATGTGAAACAGGTTCTGTACAATTTGCAATGCGTGATTTAGTATTGCCAAATCAATTGAAATATATCTCTCAAGGATTTTTCTTATCCATTGGAATGGCATTACCTGCAGCTTTAGGTGTTGGTATTGCAATGCAAGATTTTCCTCGTTATCATTTATCAAAGGATAATGATAATGAGATACCAAAGGATTATATTCCAAGATTAATATTATTAGAAGGTGATGGTGCGGCTCAAATGACAATTCAAGAATTGACATCAATGATTAGATTCAATGTTCCAATTGAAATTATGTTATGGAATAATAATGGTTATACTATTGAAAGGGCAATTTTGGGACCAACAAGATCATATAACGATGTAATGCAATGGGATTGGACTAAGTTGTTACAAGCATTTGGTGACTTCGATAATCGTACAAACAGTTGTATCATTAAGACACCTAAAGAACTTGCTCAAAAAATGGAACAATTAAGAAAGGGTAATAAGACGAAGAGTATTGAATTAATGGAAGTTAAAATGGAGACTTTAGATTATCCTAAACAACTAACACACATGGTAGAGTCTGCAAAGGTCAAAAAAATAAAACCGTCTACCATAATATAATGTATCTTCTTTCTTTTAGATTATTTAGTTTATAATAAATATATTTATTTAAATTTCACTTTACTTTGCATCATTTCTTTATCTTTTTCATTTATTATCTTCAAATATGAAATATTTAAAACGTTACCCTCTCTTAGTCCATGATTTTTCAAATTGCTGAGTTTTTTTTCGGGGTGGCGTAAAAGAATGAAATTTTTCATATATAAAAGAAGAGACCATGGACGACGTCGTCTGAGATGAAAAAATACTTCTTTTCATCTTCTTCTTTGGGTTTAAAAAGTAAAAGAAACCATTGATTCAAGAAGAAATATAACTCTCCATACAGTTTTATTTATTTCCTTCAACTAATCTATTAAAAATAATACCAATCTCCCTCGATTTTATTTATTTTTTCCCCGTATATTTCTTCCTTAATTCCATATCATTTTAAACAATGTCCAACAACCTAGATAAATCTTTAGACGAAATTATTGGCAAGAAGCCAGTTAGAGCTACTCGTGACAACAGGAGAGGCCCAAAGAAGACTTCTAAGCAAGTCGGTAACCGTCGTAACGCTGCTACCAATGGCAGAGGTAACAGACCAGCTAGAATTCCAGCTAGTGCTGTATCAAGAATTGTCGGACATCAATTAGTCAAAGTAAATGTTGAAGGTTTACCAAGGGATATCAAGCAGAGTGCTGTTAGAGTATGTGATTTTATTGTAGATAAAATGTGCATCTCATGATATGACAAGATATGTTATGTATTTTTTTTTTCCACTATTTTATTTTTTTGGTTTCAAGCCAGAATCTATATGGAACAGAAATGGAAAATTCGATTTTACAGTTTACGAATGGATTCGTGAATTTGTAATTCAATGAAGTGTCGATTTTATTATATTATCCAGTGAATTGTATTTCGTTGGTGAAATATGTATCTTCAATACAAGAAGTCACTATTTTTTGTTACGAGATTTACTACGATGAGAGTAGATTATAGTACAAGAAAAGATTGCTTATTAGATTGTGGTTTTCCCATTACTATTTATATTGTTTTATTTTCTTATAATAAGAAAATACTGGGGAAATTTTATTGCCAGGACTTTTGAATATTTCTATTTCATATTCTGGCAAACAAGTATCTATAACAATCAGTGACTTAGTAAATGATAGTCCTTCCTTTTTTATAATAGTCTGGGCTGTACTTTGATGTGGTTTGATGTGTGACGTTATCCATTTGATTGGCATTGAAATATTAATTAATTTTTAATATAAAATAATTCTATTCGACGACCAAACAAAAACAAATTGTGTGTCTATTATTCTTTTTTTGCCTTGACACTGGAGATCCCGAAGGAGCAATTAGTTTTGTTATTCTTTCTAGAGGGAGTGGGTCTCTTATGACGTTTTTAACCGAATACGACTTTGATAACGTTTGCTATAATTCGTTAAAACATGGATAGAAGAATTACAGAATCATCTAGCTTATACTACTTCAATTGGTAATAAACTATTTGATTCATGGTTTAAATCCTGGTTTATTAACCTTCTTTTTTTGAATCGGTTAATCACACATCCACACAAAAGCCTAATGAAAAACTATTATAAAATTAGGAAGAATTTTTATTACTGTATTAAAGATTAGGGGCGTTTTATGTGCAATGGGTAACTGCTTCTTCTAACATTTTGTTGATGATTGATTTTTTACCTATTTCTCAGAACGCTTTATATCTTCCAAATTTAATAATAAGTTTATTTTTCCATAACTGTCAACATAATTTCCAATATATCGTGAGAGCCTTTTTTTATTGATTTTTTATTTTATTTCCAATTAGTGATTATTGAAACTAACAATTATATTTTATTGAAATTATTTTTTTAATTTTTAATTTATTCTTTTTATATAGGAATTCTTCGCAGGTCAAGTAGGTGGTGTCCATGGTGTCTTATTGAGTTACAACGAAAGAGGTCAATCTACTGGTATGGCTAACATTACTTTCAAGAATGCTGACTACGCGAACAAAGCTGTCTCCAGATTTAATGGTGCTCCAATTGACAATGGTAAAACTAGATTAAGACTAAACCTTATTGTTGACCCAACTCAGACTAACCAAAACTTGGCCCAAAGACTAAGTGGTCTACAAGGTAGAGTTGGTAAGCCAAACGGTGTTGTTGCTGGTAGACCAAACGCCAGAAATGTAGGTAGAAACGGTAGACCAATTTCCAACAGACAACAAGTTAGAGGTCCACAAAGAAGTGGTCCACAACCAAGAAATGGTCCACAACCAAGAAACGGTCCACAACCAAGAAGTGGTGCAGCTCCTCAAAAAAAGAAACAACCAAAGAGAGAAAAGCCAGCCAAGAAAAGTCTAGAAGACCTCGACAAAGAAATGGCTGACTATTTTGATGATGGTAAATAGATGTTGCAGCTTTGATCCTATTCCAGTTTATTACAAGTTTTGTACTATTAAGTATTATTATATACAGTTTTAATATGTAAGTATCTATTTTTTTATGTTATAATAGACACTATCTTATTTATGATTTTTTGGATCTAGTTTAGATCACTGATATGATACATTCCCTCTCAAAGGGTTTATTATAGTGGTGGACTTTATGTGCATGTAATCTTATTCATTATTACCTCTTCTTCTATCTAGAAAACCTAGTCTATCTCCATGTTTTCTGGACGATACACTCATACCACTCCCTTCATATTGACTCTTTCTCTCATAGCGTTCCTTACGTTCACCTGTTATGGCATCTACATCGTCCTGAGGTAATGGGAATCCAGGTCTAACTTTAGCTAGATTAGCATAATAATCTGTTTCCTTATGAAGCTTTTCATTTTGGTAGAGTTCCTCATTGGCCTTTGCAGTTGGGTTAAATTGTTCTTGTCTTCTCCTCCTTATGATAGATTTGGCAATAAAAATAGACGATAAACCAATGGTTGATATAAATAAAATATTTTTCCTGTATATGCTATGTTAGTCTCATGATAAAAGAAAAGTGATTTTAAAATTCTAGGTAAATTTCTTTCATTATTATGATACATACCCGACATTCTTATAAACTTGATATTCCATATTTCTTGTTCACAGAGTTATTAATACGATGTTATACAGAAATAATGGTAGAGGTCTTTTTTATGTCTAAGATAGATATCTATTTTTTAGAAGAATACCTTTAATTTATCCTCCTTTAAAAATATTTCACATCAGTTTATTTATTTTAGATCGCCTTCATCGCTTCGGTCAAATGGTGTACCTCGGAGAATAACTCTCCAGGATATATTCCTGTCATTTTATATTCAAGAGTTAATGTGCGACCAATAATAATAATAATAGATAAAACAACAAAATCTAGTATCACTCTCTTTGGCTGCTAGTGATCTTAGTAGTCGTGTCTTTAACTTCTTGGTATAAATTAAATGCGGTGCTATTTATTTTTGTCTCTATAAAGATGTACATTAAAATATTTATGATCGAATGACTATATATACATATATATATTGCTATGTCGCCTTGGACAGCGTTTCATATGTGTAGAATACAGTGGCATTAGCAGGGATGGCTCTTATCAAAGTGATACCGAGGCCACGGTAAAACCCTGGAATACCTTTGGTTTTGAACACCTTCAGAATTGCATTTCTTAAACCAATATGTTCTGTTTGCATCACAGACTTAACAGTGTCAGCTGGGAATATACTAGCATTGAATGCAACACCAGCACTAGCACCACTGAATAACAATTCCCATGTCTTATTATCTTCATCACCATGTCTTTCCTTCAACGTTTTCTTCATTATTTCATACGTGGCAAACCATGCTACACCACCAAATGATTCTCTGATAAAAGTACTACTTTGCCCTTGCCATAGCCCAAGGATACCTCTTTCTCTTAGAATAGATAGTATGGTACCAGATATTTTGGTATTCTTAAGGCCACTGGTCACATTCTTATTTAGATTTGCAATCTGTAATCTACATTTAACTAATTCAACTGGAGTCAGAACAAAACTTGCACATGAACCTGCTACAGCACCAGATATTAAAATGTTATTTAATTCTGAAATTTTCGAGAAATTCCTTTCCAACAATTTCGATGTTTGGTTGTAAGCTACAAACAAAGTAGCATTCTCCAAAGCTGCCCCAAATATAGGAGAACTGATACCTTGAAAGAACCCTTTTAATATACCCTCGTTTTTATATGTGTATTTGATACATGACCATGTAGTTGGAAAGATTTGAGCGCCCTGGGTTTGAAGTCTAACCTTCACAGTATCAAATGGATATTCTATTATTTTACCTAATGCACCTGCAATAGAGCCGTTCATAATATCAGTTAAAGGTGATGATGGAACATTAATTGGTGAACTTGATTCTGCAGCCATTTTTATGATGTGTTATGTAAATGTGCTGAGATATACTATGCGATGTTAACTTGTAAAAAAAAATCTGATATAATAAATAAACTTGATGTTGGTAATTCTTATAAATACGAAACAAATAGAGATGGATATTTTACTAACGGATTCAAATATCGTAAATGTTTTATGTATTTCTTCAAGAACTACTTAGAGTAACGTAATTTGGAGTATAGTATGTTGTTGTATTCCGAATTGGTAGTTAAATTTGAAACCAAAACAGCAAGCTAAAGAAGAGTTTATCATCTCGGAATGTAGGCAGATTATCTTGAAGATATAATGATAAGATTGTCTGTTTACATTATGCCATCGATCAACATCTTCTTTCTCTTGATTAGTCAATCATGGTAAATTTTTCAGCACGAAGTGTAAAGAATTATGTCCTCCGCATTTTGTGTGTGAATCTATGAAATCGGAACAGCAAGCAAGTCTAAATGACACACACTCACACATATACAGATTATGTATCCAGTGAAATTGGTACTCCTCCTTGTCGAATATGCCAGTGATGTTGTCTGGGGTATAAGGAGTTTGTACCCAAATCTTCATCGAATAAGTATATGCAAATATTTAGCTAGTGCATGAATCGAGAGATACAGAAATTGGGTTTGACTTTGTCTGTCAACAAATATGTGATTCGGAAAAGGTGTTACTTGGGCAAGATATAATAATATACTACTTGAAAGAAGTGGGTTATCTATTGAGTAGTATCGTTCGTGGATTAGCACACGTTATTGGACTGTTCCCTCTCGATTTATATTCCTTTTTTCTTTATCGCACCCAATTAAGATCAGTCAAAGAGAAATTACCCAAATTATCGCCAGTGACTTACACCCCCATCATCCAAATGTTAAGTAGTTCTTAGTATCGAGTTTCAATCGATGAGATAACGTCTGAAAATTATCGATTTGTATCTATATAAATAGCGTCAATGTATCAAATATTATTAATATGTCACGTGGCTGTTCTCATAATTTCGCTTAATGAGAATATTTGGTCACTTGTCGTAGAATATGACACAAGCACTGAATTTTCAAGAAAATCTCAATTTTTTGCGTGTGGAAATTTTTCACCAAAATTTCATTCAATATCTTCTTTCTGTTTCATTAACAACTCAAGTATCAAGTAAGTTTACTATACTTTTGAGCTTCAACTTATGTATATATTAATATAACTTATTTGTTGAAGGTTTATATTTATCATTTCTTTTTTTGTATTTATTGTTCATTTTGAAAAGTACGTTAAGGAATAGTCTGCTTGATTTTATCACTGCTTAAATTGATTATTTCACATATACCAAGAAGGTCAATAATACTAAGAAATTGAAAATGAAGTACCTAGCCGCTTACTTGCTACTAGTCCAAGGTGGTAACACTACCCCATCTGCTGCTGACATCAAGACTGTTGTCGAATCTGTCGGTATTGAAGCTGATGACTCCAGAATCTCTGAACTATTGTCTTCTCTAGAAGGTAAGGGTTCTCTAGATGAAATCATCGCTGCTGGTTCCGCTAAGTTCGCCTCTGCTCCAGCTGCTGGTGCCGCTGCTGTTGGTGGTTCTGCTGCTGCTGGTTCCGCTGCCGGTGAAGCTGCTGAAGAAGCTGAAGAAGAAGCTAAGGAAGAATCCGATGATGACATGGGTTTCGGTCTATTCGATTAAAGAGTTTAAAAACATTTAATATAATTATATAATATCATTTTATATTTTGCATTTACTGTATGTTTTTTTTCTATAACTTATAATCCTAATATCATTCACCTTTTTCTTTAAGATTAAATATTTGTTTTTATATAAAAATAACTTTCAGGTTAATAATGTTTATATAATTTTAAGTATAAAACTCTTTTCATTGGTTATTAAACTCAGCAAGGATCTTTTCAATATGTTGCCTCTTTTCAGGAGATGTATTGGTTGATTTAACCAATTGTTCTAATGAATCTCTCATTTCATCGAGACTCTCATGTAATGTTTGAAAAAATTTTGGTAAATATTCTTTTAAATCGCAATCACGACCATAAGTTTCCTTTATCGCACTCTCTAAGGATTTTACCTTATTTGAGATGTCTTTTGTATTTTTTAATTTCTCCTCATTTACTTCAATCAATATACATTGTTTTATGAGAGATGTTCTAACATTGTTGTATTCTTCTAAAAGATGATGCTCGTTATCTTCCGCATCATTAGTCGTCTCTATTGTAGCTCGTCTAACAATGACAGGTAGCTTATATATATCATCAATCAAGTTTGTCAAACTGACCCCACCTTGACTAACGAGCGATTCTTGGGTATCTAATTTCTTATTAATTTCTGTCCCTACGGAGTATTTCGGTATATCTCCGATGAATCGTGCGACATCTTTCAATCGTTGTATTTTCCAAGCAATTTCTAATTCATATATTCTGGTGATGAGAATATCTTTCGTAACTCGATTTACTTTATCATTAAAGGCTTTATGAACTGTTTGATTAATTAATTCTTGTATTCCAAGGGGTATTTTATCTTCATCAAATTTAGAATTGTTCCATTCTTCTATTTGTTGACATTGTTCTTCCACTAATTGGGAAATTTGATTGAATGTGGAGCCTTTTATTTGGGAATTTCTAGTATTCATTTATCCAATATTGCAGATAGGTTGTAGGGGCGGTATTAGATTACTTTGGGATTATGCGTTGTCGTTAAAAGGTTAGTGTGTTACTTTTTTCGTGTTTTGTTTATTTATTTATTTATTTATTTTTATTACTAAATTTGGCAAATAGTGTCAAAATAATTAAATTCCAAAAGAAATATTTAACCATCAAATATATATTAATTTAAGTGTAGTTATCTCTTATATTTTACGTTAAACTGAAATTGATTTAGGTACTGAATATTTTGAATTTTGTTTTATATTTTGTTAATTTTGATGGAATTTCCCAAAAAATATTAAAAAAGTTAACTTTGAATGGGATCATGGAAAGACAAGACGTCCTATATTAAGTAAACAAAAATTCCAATCTAAAAAAGATTATCTTATTACTACACACTGAATGCTATTAAAGATTTCTCAACTCTCTTTGAAAGAAGAGACCAAAATGTCTATAAATATTTAAATATATTTCTATAATTGTTATTACTTTATGTTAATCTTCAAAAAAGAAATTCAATCCGTGGTCTGCTCTCAGGTTAAGGAATCTAGATTTTATTTTCTTAGGGGTTTTAATATTATTATTACGATTATTATTATGACGATGACTATTAGTTATAAGGATGACATTATTATGTTTCATCAGATTAAATTGCGGTGAAGGGAGTTACATGTTCTTTGAAAATAAAAAAGAAGGAATTATGATACGTGAAGACAGAATAAGTGTATTGTTTTTTATTTCCAGTCAACAACACTTCATTGCTTCCATTACTGTTATGCAGGTAAATCAAACTGAAAAAACACAAAAAAAGGATTATCAATGATTTTAAATAGTTGGAGCATGAGGCATCATGGCTGCATTCAAATTAATATATGAGTTCTCAGGACTAACTACCATACAATACAATGAATACCAACCACAGCAACTTGATAAGATACCGAAATAACCACCGGCCATCTTCACATTATTGTCATTAATGAAAGAACCAATACATAGCATTAAGAAAGTTAAATCCAGGAAAAACAACAATAGGAATAAACCCCATGAACTCTTTAAAGTACACATCAACATCAAAAAGGTGAATACGGTCCAACCTGCAAGGAAGAAACCTACACAATTATCAAACATTGTAGTGTCGTCACCATAACCTGTAATACTATGGAATTGGTCAGTATTAATACAACCCCAAGAAATCCAAAACCCACCGAAGGAACTGAAAACAGTCATTGCATAAGTGTCACCAGTGACAAAACATAGCAAACCTGCAAATAATTCGATAGCACCACCAAAGAACATGAATAAACTGATTAACACCTTAACGTTTGTGACACCACGAACGTTAGCATTACATAGAGATAAAGTCAAACAGGATAGAGAGAAAGAAGCTAATCCTAATGGGACAGGATTACCTAGAACTCTTCTATTAGAAGGTGCTGGAGGGTAGGCATTAACATAAGGGTTTGTTCCATCATTCGGTTTCAAAACGTTTAAAAGATCAGTACGTCTGTAAGTATGTGGACCTAAAGTGATATAGTCATCATCGGCGTAAACTTCTTGAATGTTCTTACCGATGGCAATGGCGTCCGAGTCAGTCTTTGAGACTTCGGATGAAATGTTTCTAACCTTCTCGATATCCGAAGAAGAAGAAGTCATGCTGTTTATCATTTAAAGAGAATAAATTAATAAATAAAAAAACAACAATAAAATGTGGTGGACTAGTGTTCGTTTATTTTGGCAACTATTTCTGGTGAGATAAAGATCAAAATATAAAACAGGAAAACAACAAAACAATGGTATTAAAATAAGTAAAAAAGGCAAAAAAGTGATAAGACTTTGGCCAAGAAAATAAAAATTTCAAATTGCTTAAGCAAATAATTAGATTATATTGTATATTTATATATTAAACACAATTAAAATAAATAAACTGAAGATAAAGTGGGATGGCTGAGAACAAGAAGACGCATTAGCTTTAAAACTGTAACCCACATACATGAGAGAATATATTCATCTCTATATTTCATGAGAATCGAAGTTTTAGTTTACCAAGATCATTAAAAAGAAAAAACTAAAAACAAACAAACAAATTACAACAGAAAACTCGATAGAAACCTTTTTGCAATATTGCTGAATATGTATGTTTAATTAGAATAGGCAATAAATGACCAAGACAATAAAAAACATTATATAACTAGATTGGGCACATCGATATAAAAGTATTTAGAGGAGAGGACCGAAATTTTTTTTCTTCCATCAATAATGAAAGAATAACAAGAATAAATAAAAATACCGGAGAGACGGTACAGATAGGATTCCAGTTCCATAAATCCATCCATCATTATCATCATCATCAACATCAAAACTGCACTGGTGATGGATGAACTTACCAAACCCACAACAACTAACATGATTCAAAAAACAATGACCTCTTTCTGTATTTCTTCTTGTCTCTCATTCGAGGTTGCTAGTTCTGCTTGCTTTTTTCGTCTCTCTTGTGCGTCGTGTGACTGTCACAGGAAAAAACAGTTGAACAGTATGTGTGAATATTACCAAGACAGGCGCGTACAGAGAGCGTGTATTATATAACACGGTCAAGACGAGTGACAAAACAAAATTGCTTTTTTCTCTCTCTATTATATAATTAATTTTTATATAGCGACCGACCTCTGCATGGGGGCAGTTTACTGGAGGAGAGGACTGATTTACAGCTGTGGAGAGGTCAGTAAATGAGGATGTTCACCTCTCTTCTCTCTCTTTCCTCGGAGAGCGTATAAAATGTCACTAATTTCTAGTGGTAGGGGAAAGCAAAACAGTGAATAATCCTGCAGAGTAGTAGAGCAATGCCTTAAGAACCGTTATTTACTCCATATTCCCTCTTTGTAGGTTTTTTGGGAGAGAATCAAACAATTAAGAAAAACCGGAAGTCCATACATTAATCGTTGGATTTGGATCCCCGTTGGTATAATAATTGGTGACAATTATCCTATTGACAGAAATTTCGAACTTATTTTTTTATTGTCCGAGCAGCTTTATATATAATATATGCGATGCATGGGTGCTCTTAAACAATAACAACTGGTAGATGGCATATTTTCTTGTTAATTATATAAATTGAAAGAAACATCGAGACATCTTTGTTTTTATATTCTTCATCTTTCGCAAAATTTGGGATGGAACAATACTACTATGCCACTATTGAAAGTACTGCTTTTTGATCACTCTTACTTGAACACAATCTCAATCGAGACATCTTATATTTAGAGTCATAAAAATTACGATCCCTATACTATGACATACCTCTATCTCTCAGAAGTAGCTGTTATGGTTACAATGCTGATCAAGAACCCTTTTTTTGATAAATTACTGAGGGAAAAACTGGTTTTAATTGGCAAGAATCGTGATATATGACATATTGTGCGGACTTTTGTTAGCCCGAGTCGTTTGTTCCGGAGAGGAACATTCTTACTTATAACAAGCTGCTTTCCGCGGGGAAGATGGAATTTGTTGGCGAATATTTATGACAGGGTTGTCGCCATGCACGACAGAGGCACATATATAACTACAGGTACTCAGAGACGCTAGTCCAATATTCTCTTTTAAATTTATGCTTGACCATTGACATATTGCGCATAGACGTGTCTCCCAATGGTTAAAACAAAAGAGAAATCGTTTGTGACATTTCCCACTTCTGTTATGTTATTGCTGTACCGCACTGCTTTTTAATTTTTGCCAGCCGATAGAGGCAGCTTTGAGAATAAAGTGTAAATAGCATTTATATCACATACGTATCGCTCAGTACGAAAACTCATCACATGAAACGAAATTCATGCGAATATTTCAGAACAATTGGCAGTACCATATATTCACAGACGCACAACAAACCAAATACAACTCTTTTTTTGGTATTGTGGCACGATATTTAGAAAATTCCCCGAGGCCCCCAAGAAGTGAAAAATATATGAAAATGGAAATGAAATAAAGGGAGTGCGGGAAGCGAAAAGCGATGAGCTGCTGTTGCTTATGAAAACCAATACTAGGATAGCAGTATCATCCGTACAAAAAATGGATGAATTAGATGGCTGTTATTCAATGAACATGCTTCTTGCTCTGTAAGAAGAAACGTGAATTATTTAAGTTAATTCTACTCTTCTTATTACCATTACATATTCTATTCATACTAGAAAGCTTGTCCCTCCGCCCATCTTAAAATGTAGACACACATCTATATATGTCCTTGTAACTCTCTATGCACTTCAAACAACTAACCTCTTTTTACCATGTATTAGAACAATTGATCACTCTTAATCTCCCATATTAAGACCTAATTGAAAAAACAACCAAACAAATTTACCAGTAAATACTACAATGAAATGAATGTCCTTTTTTCATTTTCATTTTTGACCTTTCTTGTTTTCGCTTGATATTATTGCATGTTCAATTTGCAATTCTTTGTGAAATATACGTACAAACCTTTAAACTAAAATAATTTTATGCATCCAAATTGGTACAACTTCATTTTGTTTTGTTACATATTATACTATTTACTACGTGTGTCTCTTACTGTCAAAAGATATATAAACGTATCCTTTAATACTATCTTATATAATGGCCCTTTCTCTTCTTATTTTGTATCGCTTCAACTATTTAATTGAATAGTTTGAATTGCTCTTTCTTCAAGTTTACTTAATAAATTTGATATCGTGCATAATTATTATCCTTCTTCTTGTTCTTCAAAGAAAATTTTTTCTTTCTCTCTTTTACTTCTGCTCATAAATGTTTTTTGAAAAATTTAACTGATAAAATTTTTTTCTCCCTCTTTCACTAAATTATATTCATTCACTTTTAGATTCATGATATATATATACGTACTTAAAGGAATTTTTTGTACTAACTATATTTACTCCCACTTACCTTTTAAATCTCTTTGGATGACTTCCTTCTTGCTTCTTCTTCTTAGATCCCTTTTTATATCTTTTATTCTTTCTTGACAATTCCTCGAGAACTCATTAAATAACACACAATTCAAAATGGTTGCTTTCACTGTTGACCAAATGCGTGCCTTAATGGACCATGTTACTAATGTTAGAAACATGTCCGTTATTGCTCACGTCGATCATGGTAAATCTACTCTGACCGATTCTTTAGTTCAAAGAGCCGGTATTATTTCCGCTGCCAAGGCTGGTGAAGCTCGTTTCACCGATACCAGAAAGGATGAACAAGAAAGAGGTATCACTATTAAGTCTACCGCCATTTCTTTATACTCTGAAATGACCGAAGAAGATGTCAAGGAAATCAAGCAAAAGACCGATGGTAACTCCTTCTTAATCAACTTGATCGATTCCCCAGGTCACGTTGACTTCTCCTCTGAAGTTACTGCTGCTCTTCGTGTCACCGATGGTGCTTTAGTTGTCGTCGACACCATTGAAGGTGTCTGTGTCCAAACTGAAACTGTCTTGAGACAAGCTCTAGGTGAAAGAATTAAGCCTGTTGTTGTCATTAACAAGGTTGACAGAGCTCTATTGGAACTACAAGTCTCCAAGGAAGATCTTTACCAAACTTTCGCCAGAACCGTTGAATCCGTTAACGTTATCATCTCCACTTACTCCGATGAAATTCTAGGTGATGTTCAAGTTTACCCATCCAAGGGTACCGTTGCCTTCGGTTCCGGTCTACATGGTTGGGCTTTCACCATCCGTCAATTCGCTAACAGATACGCCAAGAAATTCGGTGTTGACAAGGAAAAGATGATGGAAAGATTATGGGGTGACAACTACTTCAACCCAAAGACTAAGAAGTGGACTACCAAGGACACCGATGCCGAAGGTAAGCCATTGGACAGAGCTTTCAACATGTTTGTTCTAGATCCAATCTTCAGAATCTTTGCTGCTGTTATGAACTTCAAGAAGGACGAAATTCCAACTTTGTTAGAAAAGCTAGAAATTGGTCTAAAGGGTGACGAAAAGGACCTAGAAGGTAAGGCTTTGCTAAAGGTCGTTATGAGAAAGTTCTTGCCAGCTGCCGATGCTTTGTTAGAAATGATTATCCTACATTTGCCATCTCCAGTTACTGCTCAAAACTACAGAGCTGAACAATTATACGAAGGTCCAGCTGACGATGCCAGTTGTATCGCCATCAAGAACTGTGACCCAACTGCTGATTTGATGCTTTACGTCTCCAAGATGGTGCCAACCTCTGATAAGGGTAGATTCTACGCTTTCGGTAGAGTTTTCGCTGGTACTGTTAAGTCTGGTCAAAAGGTTAGAATCCAAGGTCCAAACTACGTTCCAGGTAAGAAGGATGATCTTTTCATTAAGGCCATCCAAAGAGTTGTTCTAATGATGGGTAGATTCGTCGAACCAATCGATGACTGTCCAGCCGGTAACATTATCGGTTTAGTCGGTATTGATCAATTCTTACTAAAGACTGGTACTTTGACTACTTCTGAAACCGCTCACAACATGAAGGTCATGAAGTTCTCTGTTTCTCCAGTTGTTCAAGTCGCTGTTGAAGTTAAGAACGCTAACGATCTACCAAAGTTGGTTGAAGGTCTAAAGAGACTATCCAAGTCCGATCCATGTGTCTTGACTTACATGTCTGAATCCGGTGAACATATTGTTGCTGGTACTGGTGAATTACATTTGGAAATTTGTCTACAAGATTTGGAACACGACCACGCTGGTGTTCCATTGAGAATCTCTCCACCTGTTGTTGCCTACAGAGAAACTGTTGAAGCTGAATCTTCTCAATCCGCTCTATCCAAGTCTCCAAACAAGCATAACAGAATCTACTTGAAGGCTGAACCAATGACTGAAGAAACCTCTATTGCCATTGAAAACGGTGTCATCAACCCAAGAGATGATATCAAGGCCAGAGCCAGAATCATGGCTGATGACTACGAATGGGATGTCACTGATGCCAGAAAGATCTGGTGTTTCGGTCCAGATGGTAACGGTGCCAACGTTGTTGTTGACCAAACCAAGGCTGTCCAATACTTGAACGAAATCAAGGACTCTGTTGTTGCTGCTTTCCAATGGGCTACCAAGGAAGGTCCAATTTTCGGTGAAGAAATGAGATCTGTCAGAGTTAACATCCTAGATGTCACTTTACATGCTGATGCTATCCACAGAGGTGGTGGTCAAATCATTCCAACCATGAGAAGAGCTACTTACGCTGGTTTCCTATTGGCTGAACCAAAGATTCAAGAACCAGTTTTCTTGGTCGAAATCCAATGTCCAGAACAAGCTGTCGGTGGTATTTACTCTGTTTTAAACAAGAAGAGAGGTCAAGTTGTCTCTGAAGAACAAAGACCAGGTACTCCATTATTCACTGTTAAGGCTTTCTTACCAGTTAACGAATCTTTCGGTTTCTCTGGTGAACTAAGACAAGCTACCTCTGGTCAAGCTTTCCCACAAATGGTGTTCGATCACTGGGCCACTATCAACTCTGACCCATTGGACCCAACCACCAAGGCTGGTGAAATTGTCCTTGCTGCTCGTAAGAGACACGGTATGAAGGAAGAAGTTCCAGGCTGGCAAGAATACTACGATAAGTTGTAAGGAGTTTTCACTATTCTAAGTGAATCTCTATTTTATAATTTATTTGTAGTTTATTTCCATGACCCTAATTGTTATTTTAGTGTTAACATATTTAATTAAATCTCATATATTACTGTATATTTGTAAAGAAAGTTAAAATTTAAGATATTTAATCTATTAAGAGACCATCTTCAGATATAATTATGCAATATCTGTTGTATCACTACTATTGGTAAATAAATATTTTTGATCTGTAATGATACGCGTTTAATTAGAAATTATCTGAAAATATATCTTGAAATTACAGTTCGACAAAGATAATGGTAATTGTTCTTGCCTAAATATAGAGTGTAATAAATAATCTAAACAACATCAAACTACTACTGTACTATAATCAGTTATTACAAAGACAAACCCAGATGATATAGCATGGAAACTGATAATTTAAAGTTTGTGTACCTCGAATTATTGCAGGGCATGTTAGATACATTAGCACCTCATCAGGAACAACTCCACAAGACATATTCAAAGGCCAAAGCGAACCTACAGGAATGTGAAGGAATATTCTACCATCCAAAAGATCTAAAAAAGGTAAAAGGAATTGGAGACACAATTATCAAACGACTGGAAACGAAACTCGAATCATATTGTACTCTGAATAATATGGAGTTTCCAACGTTTGAAGCTCCACACAGAAACGCTTCATCCGGGTCTTCAAAGAGGAGTGTCACATCCTTAAGAGTTGATGGTAATAACAAGGACGATGAGCAACAACCTACTAAGAAGAAAAGAAAATACATTCCGAAGAAAAAATCTGGTGGTTATGCAATTTTGCTTGGATTACTAGAATTAAATGCCATTCGAAGACCATGCATAAAAGAAGAAATTATTGAAATATCCCAGAAATATTCGAATGGTAGTATGCATAGTAATTATGCGACCAAGGAATTTTATGGTGCATGGTCGTCTATTAGTTCTTTACTAAAACATTCCCTGGTGTTGGAAGAAGGTAGACCTAAAAGATACAGTTTAACTCCAGAGGGCCTTGAAATGGCAAAAACTTTGAAAATGGCAGACAGCATTGAATTTAATAACGACACTAAAACCAATACTTTAGATATTTCACTGGATTTAGCAAATGAACGGACTGTTAATTTAAGTGATCTGCTGAAACAAGACGGAGAAATACGGCGGAACAATGAATCTTCATTTAATTCTGCATTTAGCGATGTATCTCATGAACTTAGTCACTCCCTAAATGCAAGTACCCCTCAGAGGTCGAGAGTTCTACAAAATATGCCCCCTTTACATTCTACTCCTACAACGAATATAAATGATAGACAAAATAATTCCACAACACATTCAAGTGCAAATGAAAAATACTTAACTGGAAAAGTTCATATGAATAGGAAAAGATTTACAGGGATAAGTTATGAAATATGGAAAAATGGTTCATATGAGATATATCCGATTATTGATCATCGTGAGGTAAAATCCCAACAAGATCGTGATTATTTCTCAAATGCATTAAAACTAAAGGGGGTCAAGATGGAAGTACGACAACTTTCCCTAGGTGACATCATTTGGGTTGCTCGACACACAAAAACAGGATTCCTATGTGTCCTTAATACCATAATTGAAAGAAAAAGATTAGATGATTTAGCAGCCAGTATAAAGGATAATAGATTTATGGAACAAAAAAATAGATTAGACAAATCTGGTTGTACCAATAAATATTATTTAATAGAGGAAACAATGGCAAGTTCTGTCTTTAGTATGACTGAGGCTTTAAAGACATCTCTATGGATGATCCTCATTTATTATAGATTTTCAGTGATACGTTCGCAAAACAGTAATGAAACAGTTCAAAAATTACACGTTCTTCATACTGTTATTAAACATAATTATAGTAAGAAAAATTTGTTAGTGATGTATCCAAACAATTTAAAAGATCAAGATCATTACCGCAGAATATTGGAAAAATTTCAATTAGAATTTGGAAACCATACAAGCCTTGAATGCTGTCATACACTAGATTGTTTTCAAGAAATTATGGGCAAAAATGATTCTCCTACCGTAGGTGAAATGACTATTCAGATTTTGATGTATGTAAAAGGCGTTTCTTTAGAGAAAGCTGTCGCGATTCAAGCCGAGTTTCCCACTTTAAATCACATATTAACTGCATATAGGAACTGTTCATCTCAATTAGAGGCAAAAATGTTAATGTTTCAAAAACTAGGCAATGCCCCAGGTAATAAGAAAATTTCCAAGTTATTATCTGAGAAAATAGCTGATGCATTTATGTGAAGCTATTATGATAGAAAAAGAAAAAGAAGAATATAGATATATATTACTTGTAATTGCTCTCGAGATCTTATTAAACAGAAGATCGTATATAATTCATTAAATATATCGATACATGCATATCACGAAAGTCATCAATAGTAGTTCCTGTATATATAATGAACATCAATACCATCTGCAAATACCTCCCCTATTTCTTCTAATGATAACCCTTTTACTTCAGGATAGCATACAAAAACAAATCCCCATGCTAATAACATAAAAAATGCAAACCCTAACATCGTATTCTCATTACCAACGGAGTTCATGACACTTAAATAGGTTAACGATACTAATGTATTTGTAAACCAGTTCGTACAAGATATACATGAAGCACCGAAAGCCCTTTGATTTAAAGGCAAAAACTCTACAGAACTCCAAGGGACAGTTCCCAATGCAGACGCATAACCTGCAACATATATGATTAAGGATACTAGTAATAAGTTAATGTTGTTATGATCAAATCCTATGCTTGCTAGTAATAATCCTAAGATCATTACCCAAATGGTATACAATAATATTGCCCTTCTACCTAATGAATCCACAAGAAACAAGGCAACAAACGTAAATACAAAATTGGTAGCAGCAATTATCATTGCTGGGATTAGAGGATTCTCTGTCTCCAGTTTTGAGAATATTATTGGTGAATAATACATGAATGCGTTAAAACCTGACATCTGTTGGAAAAACATAAGAACACATCCTATAACCAAAGCTCTCTTAGTCTTTGGTTCCATTTTCTTCCGCTTATTATTTTGATTGGAGAGTTGCAATTGCGGTCTTGTTGAATGTTCGTCATTACTAATTCTTGCATCTGTCCTTGTACGTGCAAAATTTTGGGCTAAAATAGAAGATGGCCACGTTTGACTATTAGACCTCTCAAATAAAGGTGTCATTGAGTCTACTTCTGGACGATTATGTCCATATCTCTCTAATTTATTAAGCGCCATCAATAATTTCCTCAGTTGTAAGTTTATTTGAAGTGAATTAGCATTGGGATATAACATTCGTAATGAATTTTGTGCCTCGGCATACTGATGCGTATGAGCCAACCACCTTGGTGATTCTGGAATGAAATCGAGTATTAATATGAATAATAAAGCTGGCAATGCGGCAATACCAAATAAATATCGCCACGAATGAGAAGAGTTTCTTAACGAGTATGCAATAATATATGATAATAATTGACCTCCAGTGATAGCAATTGAATTTAAAGTTAACATGAACCCACGTATACTTGCCGGTGATATTTCACTTAAATATATCGGGATACATTGAGCAGCTACACCAATAGCTATCCCAACGATAAATCTTCCTAGTATCAATATATTCAAAGTACGAGCCATAGACATCAACACTGATGCCAATATAAAAATTGCGCAACATATGGCTAATGTGATTCTACGACCATATCGGTCAGCAATCTTGAAGGCAACGATTGACCCACTAAAGGAACCTATACCTGTACTGGCAGTAATAAATTCCTTCTGTAGGTCTGTAATACTCAAACGGTGTAAGTCTGATGGTCTAAGATATAATAAAACTCCGGATATAACTCCGGTATCATAACCAAAGAGAAGCCCCCCGATAGTGACACCAACGATTATTGTGAGAGTCCGTATATTTAGAGTGTATGGTAAATGATCTATATCATTCATTGTGGAGGTGGTAACTTGTGAAAATGTCGAGTAACAATCTGAATAGAACTCTTCATGCGGGAGGGTATTTTGTTGTGGTAATTGAGAGTTCGTAGCCAAATGGCTTTGTTGAGAGCTGTGACGATGATGATGTTTCGTTTTCTTCGACATTAATGCCTTAAACTGTGGATTAGTTGGATTACGATATTTTATGATGAACTATTCAACTAATGGGAGGCCAAATGAGAAAACAAACCGAAGTTAATAACTATGAATCAAAATCAAATCAAATCAACTTAATGCTATTGAGCTTGTGCTATTACATGTATCAGAGGGAAATGCCTCTTAGGTGATATTATCACTAAATTTCCGACTCTTCGGGGATTCGAATTTGATGGAACTTGAAAGGGAATTTTTTTATAATAAAAATGGCGACAACGAACAATACCTTTCATTCATTCAAAACAAAAAATGTATATGCCACTAGATAACTTAATATCGATTTAACTAAGTCTGTCTTGTATATCTTTATTTTTACATTTTATGTCTTGTTGTACACTAAAGCTAAGGCATTGAAATTCAGTTGGCTCAATTGGAAACATTATTATCAGTTAGTGTGATAATGATAAAAACACTGCTAAATCTTGTACCAGTTTCCATTATGTCTTGATAGTAACTGTATCTGAAATAGAAACGATTTATACAAGTTACAACCTGTGCTATTTTTTTTGGCATGGTTGTCTAAACAAGCTTAGCAATTGAAGAGCAAGAGATAAGAGATCGATGTAAGTGTCGCAAAATAAAACGAAAAAACATCAAAGCTCTTTTATAAATATACTATCACAATCAGAGATGATGGCAACTGGTTCCTATACATCTCATATATCCATATCATTAAAGAATGCAACTTTGAATAAGAAGAACATAGTTTCGTACAAAGTGACTACAGAGCGAAATGGACACTTTAATGGTAACTCTGTAAACCCTCAATCTATTGAACTAGCTACGGTCCGCCTTCCTGATACCACGAATTAACATCTGTGATGTTGACAGATTAATAAGACCACATCAACTACAGAAAACCATCTTCTATAACCTAAAACGAAACAGTCGGTGTTGTCGGTTAGAACTGCCATTTATACCTGGTGCAATCCCTTTATCCTTTTACTAAAAGGGACTCGGCGAAGCCAGAAGACAAAGCGAACTGACGACAATAGAGTAAATTGAATTGAATTGAGCTCAATAAATAAAAGAACATTAATAAGAAGTGATGAAGCAGAAGGGTGGGATTTTGGGATATTTAGCAATCGAATACAACGCAACAAGAGCCTTTGACAACAGGTCTAGGAATATATACACGAACATAATACATTATGAGTTTTAAAGGTTTTACGAAAGCAATAACGAGAGCACCTCAAAACTTCCGTCAGAAGTTCAAGATGGGAGAGCAAACCGTGGATCCTGTATATGAGGATGCAGAAAGACGGTTCAAAGAACTTGAAGATGAAACCAAAAAGTTAAGTGAAGAGTCTAAAAGATACTCGACAGCTGTGAATGGGATGTTGACTCATCAGATTGGCTTTGCTAAAGCCATGGAAGAAGTGTTTAAACCTATTTCAGGGAAAATGAGTGATCCTAATGCTAGTGTTCCTGAGGATAACCCAGACGGTATTGAAGCTAGTGAACAATACAGAGATGTGGTGGCAGAGTTACAAGAGACTTTGAAACCTGATTTGAAGTTAATCGAAGAGAAGATTGTCAAACCATGTCAAGAATTATTGAAGATTATCGGGTATATTAGAAAAATGGCCACTAAAAGAAACCATAAGAAATTAGATCTTGATAGACGTTTGAATAATTACCACAAATACGAGAAGAAAGACGAACCTACCGCTAAGGATGAAGAAAGAATGTATAAGGCCGAGGCTGAAATGCAAGTAGCACAACAAGAATATGATTATTATAACGAAATGATGAAGACTCAATTGCCCGTATTGTTTGGTCTAGAAGCTCAATTTGTTCAACCATTGTTTGTTTCATTCTATTACATGCAATTGAATATTTTTTACACTTTATACAATAAATTCCAAGATATGAAGATTCCATATTTTGATTTAACTAGTGACATTATCGAAGCATTCACCTTGAAGCGTGGTAATGTTGAAGAACAAGCTGATTCGTTGACCATCACACATTTCAAAATTGGTTATTCAAAGGCGAAATTAGAGATGACTAGAAAAAGATATGGCGCAGGTGGTGATGACAGTGTTCCACCTGGATCTCCAGTTGCAGGACAACCAGGTGCTTACGGAGCAGCAACAGGGATGGCTGCTCAACCTGGTGTATATGATCCAAACACAACAGCCATGGCTACCCAACCTGGTGCCTACGGAGCCGGTGCCACAGTGGCTCAACCCGGTGCATACGGTGCTTATGATGACAAAGCTGCAATGGCTCAACAAGCATATGGTGCAACACCTGCTGCTGCTGCTCCACCAGCATACGGTGCTATGGCGGGTGCTATACCAGGTGCCCCTGTTGCTGCTGCTGTAGCCACCCCGACTATGGCAGGCGCTGAGACTTGCACAGCCTTGTACGATTACCAAGCTCAAGCACAAGGTGACTTGAGTTTCCCGGCAGGTGCAGTAATAACGGTTGTACAACGTACAGCCGACGCCAACGAATGGTGGACCGGCTCTTACAACGGTCAACAAGGTGTATTCCCTGGGAATTACGTCCAAATCAACCAGTAGTGATCCCTTGCATTTTTATTCTGCAGTCTACTGATGTCGCTATCACGTACCATCTAAATTTACATTCTGTTTATTTAATCTATGTATATCATACATAATTATAATTATAATTATAATAATCTATTACGGTCAACCTACTGTTTTCCTATCTGGGAAATATAATTCGCTTGGGAGATTCCCCAAAACGGGAACACGCTTCCTCTTCCGGCCACGCGATCTGTGTGAGATGCCCCGATTGGGTAATCGTCCGTGGAAAAAGCAAAACCGTTTCGGACACCAAAAACTTTCTATCTCTTTCTTTTCAATTTAATTTAGTTTCCCTCATCGTGGAACACCAAGCTGGATAACACTTCGACATGATGGCGTTGAACCCCACATATAGTATACTCTTGAAAGTATTTTAACAAGTATAAAGAAAATATTGTTAACTGATTATTAATTTTGTAGACAAATTCATTAAACTTAACTTCAATTCCAACAGTTTACTTCTTCCATTGCAATACCCATATTATTTTCCCTCTTTCTAAATAATATTTTTTTTCTATTTTTTCCTCTTTCTAAAAGTTAACAAAAGGGAGAACGAAAGAAGGTCTTTTTTTTCTATTAAAGTAAATCAAAGATAAAGGAAAACTCTAAGCCCCAAAGAAGGAATTCGATATTATTTTTCTTCTTTAATAGTTTCTTCACGTAAAGTTACATTTTCAATCAAAACACAAAGCCGTGCTATTAATAACACACAGCCTCAGCTTCTGTTCATCAAAAAACCGTTATTTTCCAATTAGAACCGTGAACCTATCTTATAAAGAGATATAGTTAGACCTTATTATCATATCATATAACGCGTTCTAACGGTTATATATCTGTATTTTCAATAGTAAAATTCATTTTATTACTACAAAATTTCTAATTAGTGATAATTTAATATTTTTTATGCATATTTTATCCCCAATACTACAAAACTAATCTAAGCCCTACATTCATCAGTAATAGTGCTTTCACATATAATATACCATTATATTATCTGATTTATTTGTTACTAATCCCTATTTTTTTATCATCTTTTTATTTTACAAATTTAGAAACCTATTCAGATCCACGTTTGTATATATACCTTCATTTAGAATATCGATTTAATCCATTAAAAAGTACACAGTTGAAACATATTAAAAAAAAATGCCACAATTTTGGAAACAATTACTTAGTAACCCAAAGAGTGCTTCATCAGAATCTCTTCCGACATCTGAAGACGCACACTCATCTTCACAAAATATTAAATCTCAACCGAGACCCATTCTAACAAATAGACCATATTCATACAGTTCAATATCAAGTTCGACAATGAAACAAGTTTCGCCAAATAAACCACGTAATCCTTCACATTTAGGTTTAAATTCTCATAAGAGTGATCAACCAGCTCTCGGTACAAGTGTAGGATCTGCAGAGTTTAAAGATCATAGAGACAGATTCCTTACCGACAGAAATGGATTTGTTGGTCGTGTCTTTGGTGTATCATTATCTGAATCTCTGAGCGTAGCATCTGCCGAAGTTATTGTTCAGAGTGAATTAGTAAGTTTTGGTAGAATACCTATTTTAATTGCTAAATGTGGTGCTTATCTAAAGGCTAACGCCTTGGAGACACCGGGGATATTTCGTATCGCAGGGAATGGGAAAAGAGTTAAAGAATTACAATTCATTTTCTCCACTCCTCCTACATACGGTGCTAAATTTAATAATTGGGACGCATATAGTATACATGATGTCGCATCTTTATTAAGGCGATACCTTAATAATTTAGAAGAACCTTTGATACCATTAGAATTCTATGAAAGTTTTAGAAAACCCATACAGGATAAACCAAGAATCATTAAACATATGTTAAGTCGTCATGTATCTCACCCAAACGCGAATAAAGAAAATAGTGTTACCATAGAAGATAAATCCAAGGAAAAAAATGGCGCATTTCCAGTCACTAATGGAACTACTACATCACCATCGGAAGCCACTATGGACCCTCAAGAAGTACTTGCAAGGTCTCATAGACACGAATCTTATGAAGCTGATAAAGAAACAGAGGCCGAAGATACAGATGATGAATCAAAACGAAAGAGGAAACAACGTCATAAGAAGAGACTTGCCCGTGATATAAAGACTACCATTAAAGAATATGAAGAACTATTTATCCAGTTATCAAATGATACAAAACAACTAACAATATATTTGCTTGATTTAATGAGTCTTTTCGCCAGACAATCACAACTGAATTTAATGACGGCCAGAAATTTAGCTGCTATTTTCCAACCATCAATGTTATCACATCCACAACATGATATGGATCCAAAGGAATATGAACTATCCAGATTTGTAGTAGAATTTTTAATTGAATACTCGTACAAATTGTTACCGAATTTGCTTAAAATTACCAAAGAGGAACAAGACAGGAACATAAAAAAGACCTCAATAGAGAATGGTCACGACGTTGCCATACCTACCCCAAGAATTATTACACCTAATAATGCTTCACAAGCAAGAAGACCTACCGATTTGGAGAGAAATTCTTCAAAACAATCTGTTAGGTCCATTACACCAAATTCATTACTGGGATCTGGATCAACGAATGCGATAGATATACCCAATAGACCAGCAAATCAAAGAAATTTATCAAACTTATCATCTTCTCCAAAAGTTAGTGATAGATCTCCAGAGAAACAAATGCAAGATGCTCATAAATTGGGAATGTCATTGCAATTACAAATCCCAAAGACCAGGACTAGACCCCATTCACGATCAATTGGTTCAGCACCGGTACCGCCTGATGTGATATCAAGTAACAAACGGAAAACTAAGTTATTTCCTTGGCTACATAAACCTGGCATTCTAAGTGACACAGGTGATAATTCTGGTACTGAAGGTGAAGGAGATGATTTCCTAATGTCTAATGATGAAGATGGAGACGTGTCAAATTCTCCAATATCTAAAAAAAGGTTAGATATACCTAAAATTGCTTCAAATATGGAGAAATCCAATTCCTCTTTGGGACCTGTCTATTCTAACGACAGCTCTCCACTAAATTCAACTAGCTTATTAAGGGTACCTCAAAGTAAATCACCAGCCAGAGTTGGTTCTAATTCTTCAAGCAGAGTTAGACCAATGTCAATGTTTTTAGATAAAACGAAGAGCAGATCAGTTGATGAATTAGGCTCTGTATCTAATGGTGGTGGTTATACATCGAAAGGTAATGAGAGTGATTCACGTTCATCTAGAAGTAAGAAAAGAGAATCGTGGTTTCAAAGGTGGACAAGTAGATCCAATTCAGCAACTAGAACTTAGGTTATAATTATAGTAAAAACATATATACTGGACACTTATTTTACATAAAAAGTAAGAAAAATTGTTTATTTCTTCTTAGATATTAAGAAACATGATTCTTTTAAACAACAATACCCCAAATTTTATCTACACATTTATATAAAAAATTATATAATATCTGATATTCAGTCTAATTCAATAATATCATCCTCTTCTATAATCTCTATATCATCCTCTTCTTGTTTACTCTTTTTGTTCTGAGTAGCTTCTGATGATTCATCCGATAACTTGCGTTTTTTGATGTCTTTATCATTATCATCCATATCTAAAGTTATAACTTCATTTGTCTGCAATACTGGAGTCTCCTGCGTTGAGCTTTCGTTATGCTCTTCCTCCGCAGTAGTCATCTTAACAAAAGGAATTTTGATATCTGGTAATTCAATATCACTTGTTTTTCTGCTATCAATCTTCCTGCTTTCAATATATAATTCCAATGGTTTTAAGCCCATTCCATTATTATCTTCAGTTTCGTCTGTCACCAATATAACCGAACCAGGAAGAACTTTAATTTCTTCCAAAGTTTTCTCATCCAGACTATCAAAATCAAAATCACTCAGCAATCTTTGACCTGTAGTATCCAAAATAGATAACTCCTCTGTATCGAAATTGTACTTTTCAGACAGTGTAATAATAAGATCCTTCAACTTCAAGTGTTTAAACATATCTGATTGAATGTTCATGACTCCACGTACAACTTTAGAACATACAGGACAGTTACAATTAGGTTTTGCTAAAGTTGGATTTGATAAATATCTGTTTTGAGAAATATTACTTGCCTTGGCTGTAAAAACCATATTCAAGTCGGTTGGCTTAGTTATCTTGGCAAAATCTAGTAGACTTAGTACACGAAGAGATACTAATGATGAGAGACCTGCAATAATAGCGTTAGTGGTAGCAATAGCTGGAATAATATTACCTGCAATTTGCTTAATATCGAAAACACTTTTTAACGGAATATTAAATATTTGTGATCTAATATTTGCTGCGGTTGAAACAAATTCAAGAGTGTCCTCGTCATCTTTGTCAAACTCAATATGATTATCTTCCTCTTTCATACGTTTCATTAGTTTACTGGTTATGCTACTAAATTTTTGAATCTGGTCTTGAATAGGCCATAAAGCACTTAGATCAAGATTTCTGTCAATCAAGTCTGTTGTTATTTGACTACTATTTAATGGAGTTGGTCTCGTTCTTGTTTTCCATAAATTTTCAATTCTCAGTAACTTTTCAATATCATGAATAAATATCTTTTCAATGATGTTTGGGATCAAAGTAGTATCTCCAGATAAAATGATATCTTGTAATTCCTGTAATTCATTTGTCTCCTGCTTGATTCTTTTGATTTCATCCTCATCAGTAGTACCCCAGTCCTTATTTTCAGAATCATTGTTAACAGCTACATCTGCAGCAAATAATTGAGCAAACAAAAAGTTTTTGGCCCAAACTATACAATGGATTGGCTGTGAAGGTGTTGATCTAATAGTGCACACAGGGAAAGTCTTCGGAGTTTCCTTTTTCGTACAGTCAAAGCATTCTGTTTCATTTGGAATAATGGGTTGCATATAACCATCAAACCCAGAGGTACCAGATTCTAAAAGAGGAATGGATAAAAATTGAGACATCTTGTTTACATATCTTCTAGCTGCAAGGTTATCTAATGCATTGAAAATAATATCGAATTCACCAAACCAGTGCAATGGAAATTGAGAAGTATCCATGATATTACCCTCATACGGTACCAATTTAGAATTATTAAAACCCTGGACAGCTTTCACAGCTGTAGTAGACTTTGGTTGTTTAATATCACGTTGTCTAAATAAAAACTGTCTATTCAAATTAGATAAATCAATCGTGTCAAGATCTACTAAATGAATTTCACCAAATTCCATCAATATCAAGTCTTTCAACAGTTCAGAACCAATCCCACCTGCTCCAATCAATAAACATTTGGTTGCACGTAATTTTTTAAGGTTTTCTTCACCAATAATTTTGGTAATATTTGAGTCTCTAGACATAATGTATATAAATGAATCAGTTAATATCCGTTGGTAATTATAGCACTAGATTATCTACGATATGATACTAAGTTTAGTTTTGACTATCAGGTCTACGTTAAATATATATGTTTTTTGTTCCTCAATACAAGCTATCCCATCCATTTCATTTCCAATATTACTCAACGCAAAACGTAAGAATGATGTCGAAAACAGTCTAACAAACAATAACCCATATAGATGTTATATATAAGATTCCCAAAAAAAAAAATTGCGAAAGCCGGGAATCGAACCCGGGCCCCATCGTTGGGAACGATAGATTCTAACCACTGAACTACTGACGCTTTTCAACTTTTGTTGAAAAATGTATGTTTTCCATGTCGCCAATTACTTCTGATCACGTGACCTAAAGTCAATATTAAAAGTTTTCCATTCTATTAAGTGTTGCCTTATTTAAATTTTTAAAAGGGATAAATAACGTAACACATTCTTAAATGATGGTACAATTAGTTTAGGAATGGTAGTACTTGTTAAACACAGTTACTGTTGTTAAACTGATCATCTTTTGGGCATAGTAACGTTGGACAATTCTCCAATAAACCCAATGTAAGGGGAACGAATACTACATTATGCGGTAAATATCACGTGTTGTTATATATACGGTAGTACAGTACATTCAATATTCTACTTATATTAGCTACCTTCTCCTTCAGATAGGCTAAGCTAATGTTAGCCGTTTTAGTGCTGCCGCTACATTTCAACAGTACTATCAATTGCAGAAAAACAACCTCTGCACTAAAGAGGCTACTATTAGATTGAACTCTCAAAAGGAGAAGATTATTGTCGGAAATATATTATAATAATGACCAAGGTTATGATCTGATGATAGGTTCATCCCGCAATGATTTAATAATAGATTGCTTACGCCACTGCCTAGTGAGTTTATAATCACGACAACGAGAAATCCAACATATATAAATGAAACAATGTTTTATTTATGAGTATAATTGCTTCCATAATTTACTTTATACTTTTTTATATAAGATATAAAAAATCAGACGACTATGAGTTAATTTTATAATATAATAAAATTTGTTCAGTTAAATAGAAGATGTCTTGTCAGAAATTAAGAGTAATATGCACAACACTTAATTTCAATAGGTAAAGAACTACCTTTAAGCACAGTTATTATGAAGCGTGTTAAAATATGAAACAAAATATGTGGCAACATGAAACAAAGTTAATCGCATTATGAAACAAAACATAATTCGAACCTCAATTGAGATTAGAATAAAAAATATATAAAGACAAAGAATTCTGAACTTGCATTCGAAGTTAGATTCTATTTGTTCTATAAATTATATATAATATAAAGAGACTGATCAATTATCGTATTAAAAAATGTCCGAATTAAATAAAGTAAAGCTTGAAGAGACTAATAGAGGCAAACACTCTATCTCAGATTCTCTACATGTCTAATATTCAATTTTTCCATTAATTATAAATGTACAATTAGAATTTACAATGGACTGTACTGTTATATATATACGTGGAACGTTATTAGTTTACTATATAACGTATTAATTTGTCCCGCTACATGGTGTTTGTTGGAATCACAGTGCCCATTGGTACTATGTACAGAAGATGAACAATTAAACATCTGTAACTCTTTTTAACATGGGATATCGTTAATGTTACAAAGTATAGATGACACCTCTCCAAAAATCTAGCATTTGGCTCATCGCTATTTTATGTTGAATTCATTATCTGCCTATTACTGAAAACTTCGATATCTCGTAATACCGGAGATTTATACGCTATTCGCGAAGCCTGAAAATTGTTGATATTAAATGTATGGAACGCTCTTGATTGACATCTCTTAAGTAAAGGTTAAAAGATTGAGTATTGAAACTGAAAAATAGTCATTTAACCAAGAATCTTACATATAAACTTATATTCAAAACTGTACCAAACCACCCATCGTCATGATAGACAACAAGCATAAATACAGGGTGGAGATACAACAGATGATGTTCGTCTCAGGTGAGACGAATGATCCACCTATTGAAGTAACCTCATTGATCGAAGATATAGTGAGAGGTCAGGTGGTAGAGATCCTGTTACAGGCGAACAAGACAGCACATATTCGGGGTAGTAAAAGTATTCTTCCTGAGGATGTTATTTTTTTAATTAGACACGATAAGGCGAAAGTTAATCGTTTGAGAACCTATTTGTCATGGAAAGACCTACGTAAAAATGCTAAGGATCAGGATGCCAGTGCCAGTGCTGCAGGTGCAGGTACTGGTGGTGATGATGATGATGGTAAGAAAGGTGGCGATAAAGTAGATAAAGATGATAAAGACGGTGTCAACATGATGAAAGTTAAAAAATCACAAATTAGACTACCATGGGAATTACAATTTATGTTTAATGAACAACCTTTAGAGAATAATGAAGATGAAAATGATTTAGATGAAGATGAAAGAGAAGCGAATATTGCTACCCTGAAGAGATTGAAAGCAGCAGACGATCGTACTAGGAACATGACCAAAGAGGAGTATGTACATTGGTCTGATTGTAGGCAAGCTAGCTTTACATTCCGTAAGAGTAAAAGATTCAAGGATTGGTCTGGGATTTCTCAGTTGACCGAAGGTAAACCGCATGATGATGTAATTGATATATTAGGTTTTTTAACATTTGAAATAGTGTGCTCGATTACAGAAACAGCATTAAAGATGAAAAAAAAAGAACAAATATTACAAAGTCAAAATGCAAAAAATAAACAAGCTTCACAGGATTTAACATTTGAAGTGACAACTTTAAATAAAAGAAAAAGGTTATTTGATGGACCAGATAATGTTGTGAATCCTTTACAAGCTATTCATATAGAGGAAGCCTGGAGAATTCTGCAAGCAGTAGACATGAAGCATAAGGCATTAACTAATTTCAAAGGTGGTAGATTATCCACAAGACCTATTCTTTTATAAATATATCCATATATGTGTATATGATGAATTGTATGTAATTTGTTTTATATTACGGGTTTATGCACATGGTAACATGGTCAATGCATTTATTTATATTAAAAAAAAGAGCGTCATCATTCTCATGATTTGATATATTTTATTTATCGATATAATTATCTATATCATCTATTTATTTAATGTACATAACAACAATAGTAGTTAAGGAAGAAAGAAAATGTATGCTAGAATTTTTTTTGTTTTGTTTTATTTATTTGGGAATGTTTTTCATTGTCTTCAAAACTAAGTTTAGTAACGTTCCTTCAATCTTGATGCGACAGTACGCAAATTACCGTAAACTTTACCTGGTGGAGAACCAAGAATCAAACTAACAACAGATTCTCTAGCCATTCTAATATGTGTGAACCCGCCTAGAATATGAATTTTACTATCAGCAAGCACAATTCTTGTTCTTGTAGCGTTTTCAATAGCAAACTTAGTCTTACCATCTTTACCGGCAATACGACCAATGGCTCTTGACAAATGATCACCATTTAGAGTCTTAACATCCTTAACTTCAAAAGTTTCAATATATAGATCATCTAATCTTAATAATGCAATAGCATCATCTAGATCAAACCCAAGAGTAAAAGCTTTAATGAAATCGGCACCCTTCTGTAAAGCACCTGGATCTGTTGTAAATTTAGGATTAGTTCTTAATTCGACCGATTTAGTTTTTAAATTCATTCTAACTTGTAGTTTTAAATGTTCCACCAAAGGTGGATATATTTTAGTCCAATTATTTCTTAGTGGGGTCATTCTATGTGGTGGAACTGCAATTTTTCTACTCTCCAGTTTAATCTTTGTTAAAGTAGTTTTGTTAGCTTGAGCAAAACGTGGTTTCCCAGATTCATCAAACACTACACCTTTAGATTCTTTTTGTTTTTTAATTTCTTCAGTTGGACCATTTTCAGTCGAGACTGCAACATTGTCATCTTGATCTATCAAAATATCCTCATCATCTTCGATCATCTCTGTATTATCCATACCTATTATTCTACTTGAACTAATAGAAGCAGCATTATTGCCAGTTTCTGGAACAGTAGTCTTCTTCAGAGCTGTTGGTGCAACCATCTTATTTGTATATGTGAAAGTAAGGTGTTTGTTGGTGAATATCAATCTTCTATCGCAAAGCTAAATATTTGTACATATNGTCAATTACAACATTCATACAATAATCATATATATATATATATATATATATATATATATTTACGTAGTCTAGGGCCAGTTGGTTTGAATATTAAAAGTAAGTTACTGTGCATTGAGATGAGATGAGATGAGTTCAAAATTTCATTAACTGGGAAAAAATTTTCATTTTTTTGCGCTAGAAGCAGTTCGCCGTTGCAATCAGTGGGAAGGCGATGAGAGCGCGCGCGCGGAGATTCACAGCCAGAAAATGAGAAAATACAGTGCTATCTCTATATCTAACACTATATTATTGCTAGATTTATATATATATAATACTACATTATAGATGGTGTTTATATTGGTTAGTCATTCACGTTATCTAAGCGAGTTGGTTATGAATGGTGTGCTGGGACTTTATAATCTGATTGTACGGTGGGAAGATTGTGTACTGTAGCCCGTGTTTCTCTCTTTATCTTCTGTATGATTTGTTTGTTTTCCACCAATTAATTTTAACGAATGCGATAGAGAGGCGGGCATTCGGTACTTTCACCGGAAACAAAATTAAGAGATGACTGAAATTGATTGACAACAGTACTTGTAACAAAGAGGGAATCGCGATTCTCTTTTACCAGAATTGTTTGTTTCCATGTATATATTGCATTGAACTTTATATGGTTCCAAGATGTTTTTTTGATCGAACTGTTTTGGAAAAGTTTACTGGAAGAGGTGATCTATGCATGTATATTCATATTTTGTCAAAAATATAATAAAAAGAAATTGAACTTCGAGAAGTAAACAATATTTGATTAATAATAGAAGATGAATGGATTGGTACGACATGGAACCAGCAATTTAATGGGGACCATCAGAAATCCGATAATTATATACGGATTGGTACATGCCAGATCGTTTTCATTATGTGGAGGTCCCCTTTTATTCAGCAATGACTCGTTTAGGTCAAAGGACAATAGCAAGAACAGTAACAATATTAATAATAGTAATAAAGTATGGGATAATGTTGAAGATAAATTGAAAGATTATAAATTGAGATATACTGATCTTCAAGGGAAGATAGATAAGTATAAGACACAAATCTCTTCTCAAGTTGATGTAATTAAAAAATCTATCAATGAAGCAAATAAGAAAATTGAAGAACAAGAGAAAGAAGGTACTGATGTGAAATTGAATTATAAGAAAAATGCTCAAACGAGTGGTAATATTGTGGGGTTACCATCTGATAGAGAATTGAATAGAAAACAATGGAAAAGAAAATTGGAATTTTATTTGGATTCTTTACAAGAGACCATTTTCACAGCAACTAGAGCATTAAATGACGTTACGGGCTATTCAAGTGTCCAAACATTAAGAAACTCTATAACTATTATGGAGAAACAATTGGATATTGCAAAACAGGATGTGAAAAAGTATAAAGCTCAATATGATAAGGCAATTGACTCTAGGGCGACTTCTCAAAGACAATTAAATGAATTGTTACAGAGGAAAAGTTCATGGACACCAGGTGAATTAAAACAATTCACAGATCTATATCAAGCTGATGCTACTAACTCTCAAAACGAAAAAAAATTAAAGGCTAGATTGGTCGAGTTGGAAGCTGCAGAGATTAAATTAGAAGATGAATTATATAGAGCAATTCTGACAAGATATCATGAAGAGCAAATTTGGTCAGATAAAATTAGACGAACTTCAACTTGGGGTACCTTCTTGCTGATGGGGATGAATATTGTTCTATTCTTAATATTTCAATTGTTGTTGGAACCATGGAAGCGGAGAAGATTAACCAGATCATTTGAAGATAAAGTTAAAACAGCTTTAGAAGATTATTCGCAAGAACAAAATGAAAATACATTGCAAATTTTAAAAGCATATCGTATTACAATGGAAGGAAAAGAACATCTTGTTGATGAATCTGATATTAAATCCGATCTGTCCCAATTAGAAAAGACTACGTCTACAGCAGATTTGTTCTCAGTACCAGAAGAGACGACAGATACAACACTTTCACCCGGAGACATATCGGAGAGGATACAGAATTTTGGTAAGAAATTGAAGAGTATCGCACCGAATCAAGGAGCTTCTGAAATTGTTCTAACTAATAAAGAATTTTATATATATTCTTCATGTCTTATCACAGTCGGTGCAATTATAAGTAGTGTATTTTATAATATGTAAATAAGATACAATTGAGACAATATTGAAAAAGAGAGCATAATTACACCGTCAACTTACTGTTGGATCTCAATAACCTAATGCATAGTGATGCTGAAATGAGATATATATATCTTGATTAAGTTTTAGTGATAATGTTATTACTCTATCGATCTCCTTAGTCGTTAAATATGATAGTTTTTCATTATAATATTTGCGAATAAGTTACGGGTATCTATCTCTTGTATTGTAACAGAGCCGGTGGCAAAAAACTAATATTGAATTTTTAAAGGTTTGGTAGTGACGGATAGTAACTATTCTGGAATATAGGTGAAATAGAAATAAACCACACATATAATTCAACAACAATAGATTGAATAAACCAAAATATTTCGTTTTAAAAAACTTTTGGATATTAGAAAACAATAGCTGTCCTAGTATATAACTTTGAAAACCAAATCTAGTACACTTCACCAGATAAACACACAGGGGTTTACAATTAGAACAACCGCATTACATACCATAGCACAACATTCAAATGGAAGAATTAGGTATCACACCATCTAAGGAGAATATAGCAGAAGAAAAACGTGAGTTTAAGTCATACGGAGACTTATTGGCGGAATTGAGTAAGAGTAACAGTGTTGCATCATCTGGTTTAAATAGTGACGTTTATTTAAGATTAAAGAAATTAGAAAGAGAACATGAACTACTGACTTTACAAGAAGATTATATTAAAGATGAACAACGTCACCTTAAGAGGGAATTATTAAGAGCTCAAGAGGAGGTTAAGAGGATCCAGTCCGTACCTTTAGTCATTGGCCAATTTTTGGAACCTATAGATCAAAATACTGGTATTGTATCAAGTACCACTGGTATGAACTACGTTGTTAGAATTTTATCAACTCTTGATAGAGAATTATTGAAACCATCTATGTCAGTTGCATTACATCGTCATTCCAATGCGTTAGTTGATATATTACCTCCAGACTCTGACTCGAGCATATCTGTTATGGGTGAGAGTGAGAAACCTGATGTCACATATGCAGACGTTGGTGGTCTGGATATGCAGAAGCAAGAAATTAGAGAAGCTGTGGAATTGCCATTGACACAGGCTGATTTATATGAACAGATTGGTATTGATCCGCCAAGAGGTGTATTGCTTTATGGTCCTCCAGGTACAGGTAAAACGATGCTGGTTAAAGCTGTTGCCAATAGTACGAAGGCATCGTTTATCAGAGTCAACGGTTCTGAGTTTGTTCATAAATATTTAGGTGAAGGTCCAAGAATGGTTCGTGATGTGTTTAGATTAGCTAGGGAGAATGCACCATCGATCATTTTCATTGATGAAGTTGATTCTATTGCTACCAAACGTTTTGATGCACAAACAGGTTCTGATCGTGAAGTTCAACGTATATTGATTGAACTATTAACCCAAATGGATGGTTTTGATCAATCTACAAATGTTAAAGTCATTATGGCTACCAACAGAGCAGACACTTTAGATCCGGCTCTATTGAGACCTGGTAGATTGGATAGAAAGATTGAATTCCCATCTCTTCGTGATAGACGTGAACGTCGTTTAATTTTTGGTACAGTAGCGAGTAAAATGTCATTAGCCCCGGAAGTTGATTTGGATTCTTTAATTATCCGTAACGACTCATTATCTGGTGCTATAATTGCGGCTATAATGCAAGAAGCAGGTTTACGTGCTGTGAGAAAGAATAGATATGTCATTCTTCAAAGTGATTTGGAAGAAGCTTACGCTGCGCAAGTAAAGACAGATAGTGATGTTGACAAATTTGATTTCTATAAATGATTAAAGAAAGGCATCTCATCCGTCATAATTAAACAAAACAAAAAGAGAATCGCATCTATTGACATTTACTCAATTATATAATTCTATGTGTAAAGTTATTTTAAGATATGTTTCAACCATGAATGAGTAATAACAAAATAAAAAAGATTAAAAATAAAAAATCTTTATGCGTATTGAAGTTCCACGACGGAAAAGCCAGGAATGAATGTAGATAAATCATTGATATCGAAGTGATCAAGATCTAAATGTCTCCTTGTGTGGTAAATTTTCTTATGCTGTATATGAGTATTGTTTAGAATCTGTAGCACTTTGGACTCGACGGAACTTGGGTAGAATAGTGTAATCTTTCTCATAGCATCATTCTTCATAAAATTCCATATTGTTTCATTTGTAAGTTTTAGGTCAGAACCTTTTAAATCTATGACATAATTCTCATGCATATTAAAATCGATATTATCGATTCTTTCAATATCATCAATGAAATTTGTTGTACTTACTGTTAAATTATCATTCATATACATCCACGTGGGTGGAGAGTAAGATTTCCACCATATATGTACATTGATATCACGATCGGCGTAAAATATTTGTTGAGTTAAAATATCCACTATCCCACTCTGATGGAATACTCCAATAATAATACCCATGGTTAAATTGAACATTACCCATATCTTGAAGAATATTGGCGACTTACACTTCGCTAACTTAATACATATGAATGGGACCAATGGTGTCAAAAATCTTAATTCTTGATGTGGGAATAACGATAATATAAGTATCGCAGAATAAATAGATAACATGGGTAATGACATGAAAAATGATTTTATTTGATTTTTATGATGAGGTATCATATATAGTATACCAGGACCTATTAATTGCGGTAGATTTACCAATATATGTGTGTACCTTGGATGTAAACCATGCTGGGATAAATTATCAACAGATACATTGTATAATAAATTGTTCATTGGTGCAATAATGTAAATGCTGCTACCATAAATATTGGTGTCAATCAAAATGAAAATAAAAGACGTAACAACTATTGTTAGAATTAACAGCATAAAACTCCTCCAATGGTTTAAGTAATATTTCCAAAATACCATCAACGAGGGTAAAAATACGAATGCAGGAAATGTCATTCTATTAAAGATACCCAAAGTTATTAATATACCTTGAAATATCGAAAGCAAATAATAATTTTGAGTGGATTTTTCTAACTGCATTGAAAATGTAGCTATCGTTGCTAGTAGAACCAAGGTTTCTATGGAATTTGAAAATGAATGACTTTGAAACGACCAAGTCACATATGAAGTAATCACATAAACGTAGGCTTTTGATCTGCAAGCCTTGCTATTAGGGACAATATAAGATAAACTCATGTACGTTATTAATAGGAATGATAATGCGTGTTGTAACCTCACACAATACAATAGTATACTCGGATTATTAATATGCAGGATGCATGCCAAGAGATAATAGACAGGTCCATAATACAAAATCAAAGGAACAAAGCTACGGGCACCATTTATTAGATCATATTCCCATGGGATAGTACCGTTAATTCCATAGAATAGTTGTGCGAGTATCTCTAAACTTTGAAAATGTTCATCTGGATGAATATAGGAAGGTTGTATTGCAATTAGTATACCAATTGAAATGGCTAAAATTTCAAACTTCGAGAGGTGCATCTTTTAAGTTAAATTCAATCAATGCGAATAAAGTGACATAGAACTATCAAGGCAAGTTCATAGTATGCGTGTATACAGAGATATTTTCATTCGCAACCTGTGAAAAGTAGTGTTATTAGCCGTCTATCACTTTGGAAGTTTCTGATTACTTGTATTAAGTTAGGATGGTGAAGTATCCAAAATCAACATCATATTGCACGAGCAAGGGCAACATCCTTTTTTTTACAGAACAATTCCCACTCAGAAATATCCGCACAAATGACGACGTCACAACCAAAAATTGAAAATTTATTTCATTTTTTTTGGCAGAATTTGTTCAATGTGGTCAGACAGTTTCTTTTGTATGCAATTAGAGAGAGAGAGGATCATCAAATAACGATGAGCTTCTGAAATATTTTCAAAGAACTTCAATTACTTTCAAATACGGTAAATTTATAATTATAAAGAAAAAGAGATTTAGAAATTATCATATATTGTCTTTACTTAAAACATTCGAAAACATTTAGAAGATATATAGTTTCAATAAAGCAGGTATTTTCTTTGAAACTACAATTGATCAACACGAAGAAATGTTAGACGAACAGGCTATTATAGCCTGCACTGGGCAGACTATGGTTGCTGATGCTAAACTAATTAAAGAGGCAGAATTAAAATTATTTGAGTTTCAAAAAGAAGCTGGGTTCACTTTCTTATTATTAAAGATTGTCTCTAACGTTGAAATTCCTTTAAACATTAGAATGTCATGCGCGATTTATTTTAAAAACAAGGTATTTAGATCTTGGGTCAATTACAACATTACAAGTCAAACAGTTAGTGCTGATGATATTAACCCAGAAGAACAACAAATGATAAAGGATAATATAATTCAAATCATCGTTAGTAATGTTAACGATAATCATATTACACCTCATTTAACTGAAGCATTGTATAATATTCTAATTAGATGTAAGGACTGGGATCTAACAGGTCCTATCTCTGAACTATTGACTAGCGGGAAGCATGATTACACTTATGCTGGTTTATTGGTCGTTTTTGAAATTTGTAAAGTCCATAGATATGACCTTTGCGATAAAAGGGAGTTTTTTGATAAATTTATTTCTACTATATTTCCAACCATTGAAGGTTTACTTTCTCAATTGGTTAACCAAACAGATTTTAAATCCAGCGAATTGTTATATCTGATCTTGAAGAGTTTCAAGTACGCTTGTTTGAATAATTTCCCAGCCTATTTCAATGATGTTTCTAAATTGGATTCATGGATTCAATTACATTTGTTTATTTGTGCTAAACCTGCACCAAAGGAAGTTTTGGAGATAGATATATCCGATAGATCCTTAGACAAGAGAGTCAAAGTCAACAAATGGGGGTTTGGTAACTTAAACAGATTCATTCACAGATATTCAAAGGTCACTAAGCATGTTAATGAACAATTTGTGGCAAACGTTTTCTCAAATGTGATCCCAAGAATATTGCAAGAGTATTTCAGTATTATGAATACTTGGAATCAAAAATCTTTATGGTTAAGTGATGCTTCGTTATATCACTTGATTAGATTTCTTGATAAATGTCTAGTCACAGATGGCTTATATCCATTGATTGAACCTCATCTAGAAGGTATCTTCAAAACTTTGATTTTTACATGTCTATGTGCAAATGAAGAAGTGGCAGAGTTATTTGAAATCGATCCAGAGGATTACACTAGACGTTATTTTGATTTCAATAAAGAAGGGTCTACATCAGATGTTGCCTCTGTTGATTTTATCGCACGTACAGGTACGGGACGCCCAGAACAATTATCTGTAGTTATTCCATTTGTTAATGATATTTTTAATCAATTTGTTCAGACACCAGATAATGTTGAAGTAGCTTATAAACAAGAAGGTGCCATGAGGTCTATTTCTTCATTGTTTATGTTCTTTGAAGGTAACACCACTGAATTGGAAGGTATTTTTACTCATTATATCATCAATATTCTCTCCCAAACAAAATATCCATATTTAATAGCTAGAGGGCTCTCTACAGTAGCAGATTATCAATCAGAATTTCAAAATATGGAAACATTATCTAAGATTTATGAATTGGCTTATAAACATTTAATGGAGACTGACAGTTTACCTATTCAGATCGAAGCAGCCGATGCTTTAAGGACATTAATTATCTCCAATCCAAGCATTCGTGGTCACATTTCTGGTCAAGTTCCTGGCATTGTGGAAAGATTATTGAAATTGTCTAAGGAATTTGAAATTGATATTCTATCTGAAGTAATGGAATCATTTGTTGAAAATTTTGCAGATGAATTGACACCATTCGCCAAGGATCTTGGTAGAAGTCTTACAGAACAGTATTTAAGATTAGGTCAAACTATGATCGAAACCGGTTCCGATAACTATTTTGATCAAGATCAAGAGTTGCAAGCTAGTTCATTATTACAAACCATGACTACGATGGCAATGTCCATGAATAAAGTTTCCTTGGAAGAAGAGTTTATTCCAGTATGTAAATTTATCATTCAAAATGCACAAATCATTCTTTTAACTGAAGTGGTTGATTTAATGGATGCATTGACGTTATCATCAAGAAATTTGAACGGTGGGATGATTTCTGAAAACATCTGGTCATTATTTGGGGAAGTATTAGAATCCTTTGAAATATATTCAATGGATTATTTTGAAGCGTTTAATATTTTCTTTGAGACTATTGTATTACATGGATTCCCAACTAATCAAACATATATCGAACCATTTTTCCAGATTTTAAGTGCGAAATTAACTAGTGGGATTGATTATGATATTGAAAATGTTTTCAATTTATTAACTATGTACAGTTTATCCATGCATGATATCCCATTATTTGGTGAATGCCTCAAAGTTGCTAATGATAAAGATTTAGGTATCGATCCAAAGCAAACAATGAAATTATTTTGGGCCAATCTAATGACAAAACCAATGGAAACGTTACAAATTTGTGAATTAGAAGGTCAAACATTAAATATGATAACTATGTGGTTTGATTTAAAGATTGCATCAGTATTTGGTATTAAATTGCAAATCATGGCAATTTTAGCAATCTTTAAGATGGAACAATTACCAAGTAGTATTGAAGGATTTTTTGTTGCCCTAAGTAATAAATTAGTTGAATTGTTAGAAAGTTTACCAAGAGCTATTCAAAACCGTGATTCGGCTAATAATGATGAAAATGTTGCTAACTTGCTTGTTGGCAATGACGATGGTAATAATAATGTAGAAGATGAAGATGATTATTTTGATGATATTGATGATGATTTCAAAGAGACCGAATTAGATCAAGTGAATGCATTTGAGACCGTTCATCAAGTATTTCAAGCCTTACAAACTCAATCTGCCAATAAATATCAACATATTGTTGAATCATTAGATCCAAAGAAGAAACAATCTTTACAAGTAATCTTTGAATTTGTTGCACAACCCAAATAATTGGATAAACTTTTAATATATATATATATAAAATTTATTATTACATTACAAAACTTCTATATATATATACATACATACATATATACCTAGTTTTCTTCTTTAATATTTTCACTAGGTATGCTTTGTGGTGTAGTTTGTTGTAACCTTGATCTTGATTTTCTAAATAATTCTTCTTGTTGTCGTAAGAGTTCTTCTTCAGATAACCCTGAATTTTTGAATTTTGAATCTCTTCTTTCTCTAATCTTTTGAGTACCTTTAAATTCTACCAAGACTTTTTCTAAGATCGGTATAAAATTATCGAATTCCAATTCTCTCAAAGCGTTTAGTACGTGTTCAGGTGCAATAGTTTTCTTTGCATCATTTTCTGCCATTTCTGACGACATTGATGACAAAATCATTAAGAATTCTATTCCTGATTTAATAATAATTTCTCTCGCATCTTTATTAAACGATAAATCTTTATCTAATATTTCAGAGATGAGTTTCTGTACTGTAGCCTTTGGCAATGAGACATCGTCCTTATCCATACCTGCCATCATTAATAAATAAAATAATTTAATATGATATAATATAATATAATATAAATATCGTTGCTTCTATTATGGGTTTATGTGTAATTAACTCTGTTTTCCATTTCACATCGCATGCGGCTGTGAAAATAAAGAAGCTTCCAACTATACATAATATTAATATGTCAGTTCCACCATCGAGAGCGACAGAGACAGGAAATGAGAAAGAAATATTATGTGGAAAAGCGATGTATATTTATACAACCAGCGATGGGAAGCTGTCCTCCTCCCACCACGCGCCGTTCAGTCGCGAGAACAAAATTTCTGTTCAGTCTTGTCTTGTTGATTTTTTGCCGTTGTTGTTTTTTACGTTCAGTGGAGCGCTGCCAACCAAAAATAAACAAATGGAAGAGTGGGAGTTACCCTGACGCTCCACGTGATCGGAACGGTCACGTGCCTGCCGTTTGAAGTGATCTGGAATTTCGTAATTTCATTCTTCCACTCTTTTGTGACTTCTTTTTTGGTGTGGAAAACTTTTTGTCCAGAGGGAAACAAGTAGAGAGAGCGTGTGTGGGTGTGGGTACATGTAAAGCAAAGGATGAAGAAAAGCCTGCCGTGGTATTTTCTGTGTGGTGGGGGTAGATGAAGCACTGCATAGAGAGGCAATCTATATATATTTGATTATTTAATTGATTATTTAATTAATTATTTAATTAATTTAAACATATATTTCAGTTGGAAGTTTGACAGGTTTTTTTTAGATCTTGGGTGTGTGTGTGTGTGCTCCTTTGAAAAACTAGAAATAGAAGCTGTTCGCAATACCAGATACTTTGGTGAAGCTGTGGTTTTTGCTGTATTTTGTGGGTGAAGTAAAATAACAGTAGTTAAATTAGTAGCAACGTTATACCTTCTTCTTCCTCCGGTTTTGTACATTTTTTATACATTAATCAATATTAGTAGGAGGTTGCATCAATGCAATACTGAAAATACACATTGAATTTGTTTATTATTGTTCTTTCTTTTTTCTTTTTTTAATTGAAGTACAATTATATTCTTGTTGCTGTATTGCGATGCCCCATCTCTTGAACGTATATATATATAAAGAGATGTAAATAAATGATAAGATCAGGTTTATCTTTTCTCATATATATGTAAGTTATATAATTGGACTCTAACAATAACTCACATCACATCACATATATATATATACTGTACATAATGTCTGAGGAGAAACAATATATTTCATATAATAACGTACATCAACTGTGTCAATTGGCCGCAGAAAGAATTAAAACATTTAAACCTGATTATATCATTGCTATCGGCGGTGGTGGGTTTATCCCAGCAAGAATCCTAAGAACTTTCCTAAAGGAGAAAGGTATCCCTACAGTAAGGATTTTCGCTATCATCTTATCATTATATGAAGACATAAATTCTGTTGGCTCGACTGTGGAACAAGTTGGTGTCACAGTGCAAAGAACTCAATGGATCGATTACGAACAATGCAAATTAGATCTAGTTGGTAAAAACGTGTTGATTGTAGATGAAGTCGACGATACTCGTACTACTTTACATTATGCATTAAGTGAATTGGAAAAAGATGCAGAACAACAAGCTTTGGCTAAAGGTATCGATTTAAATAAAACCCCAGAATTAAAGACAAAATTTGGGATCTTTGTATTGCACGATAAAATGAAACCAAAGAAAGCAGATTTACCTTCAGAAATTTTGAATGATCCGAATCGTTATTTTGCTGCAAAGACAGTCCCAGATGAATGGTATTCTTATCCCTGGGAATCGAAGGATATCGTCTATCACACAAAGATGGCTATAAAACAAGGTAACGATATTTTTATGGATTAAGCATCATATTTTTCTGCATGTCTATATATATACATACATATATATATATAACCAACTAATTTGATAGCTCCATAAAATCTTTCAACTCTTATCATGTGTTTGTTATTCATTGATTTTTTAATGTAATATAATCTAAATATATCTAAAAAAATAATTATGTAACTCTAGAATGATCTTTTCTGGGTCATACGAAACCCAAACCAACATCATTGGCAGTAAACATTGATATCGGAAGATATTCAGTCATTATGTCCAAAAACATCCTTATTTATTGGAGTAGGTGTCAAATCAATAGTACATTTAGTTTCAGACGACATTTGCAAAATCATTATTGAAAATACCAGAAAATTAATCTAAGTTTCAAAGTTAAGACCTTGGTTGATTTCCAATGGACAGCAGTAACAGCGACTCTGCTTGGAAGTCGTTCTAAACACTCTAGTAATTCAGATATGTCGAGCAAATGGAACTACCAACAGATAAATAAAGACAGTATCTGCCTTTTTCAGGCTTGTAGACTGGGTTATTCAAAGACATAGTTTTGTTTGGGGACGAGAAAATTAATGAAAAATTATTTGTTTGTTATTTGATATTATTATATCTTTATGGTTATGTTGTTCGAAATAAAACCAAAAAGATTTCAAATAATAAATTCAAATGCCCCCATCTATATATATTTATAAATAAACTCTGATGTTTGGTCTACCTTGACTTTATTGAACTTTACATCATTGTTTCGTATTACTGACATTATAAATTTTGCTTGTATTACCTATTAAAATATTTCGGTGATCTGATATCCTACTCTTTTTTCTCAGGAATCCGCGATGAGTAAGACTCGTCAATTTTTAGTAATCGATGATCATCTGCTTCTGTTACTATCGATTGATGATGATGATTAATGACAGAGGGGAGAATTACATTAAACTATTGCCTAAATAGTTAGATTCACAGAAGGACAGTGGCAGTAGTAAACTGAGAACTACTAACAACCCATTATTAGTTCGGATGGTGGACAAGATATAATGAAAGGTTACCTAATATGTATATTTATAATGAGTCCTGGGACCACCGATATTGTATGTGTTATGTACTGATACATTCCGTTTATTCGAGATTGGAATTTTATTATAGAGAAAATACGTTTTGTAAGTTATGTTAGAGTTACTAATGTTTCTCTTTTCCTATTCATAATGTAATATATTGTGAGCACATCTGCGGGAATCTAAATTGCGCCAGTTAAAATCCACGTGGAAAATGAAGCTTGATCCGAAAACTACTAAAAATGTACTTAAAGATTACGTACTTCGACATAAATAGATAAAATTAATGATGTAAGAAGCATATGTTACAAAACCTCAAACAGATAGTGATACAGAAACGCTACTCTAGTTAACGTACAAACACAATATATATATTATAACATAAAAGTATGACTATTACAACCATCCCAATTTGGCTGGATTGTGATCCCGGTCATGATGACGCTGTGGCTTTATTATTGGCATGTTTTCATCCAGCTTTTGATCTAAGAGGTGTAAGTGCATGTTATGGGAATGCATCCCCTGACCATACAGATTATAATGCTCGGTCGTTACTGACGGCGATGGGTAAATCAGGTAAGATCCCAGTGTACAGGGGTGCTCAGAGACCATGGGTACGGTCTCCTCATTATGCACCTGATATTCATGGAGAATCAGGGTTAGATGGAACAGATTTATTACCAAAACCAACATGTGAGGATATGATGGATGTAGATTATGTGGAGGCTATCAGAAGGGAAATAAATGCTTATGACGGTCAACTGACAGTATTATCAACAGGTGCAATGACTAGTATTGCTAATGTAATGAAATTACACCCTGAATTAAGATCAAAAATTAGATATATTAGTATTATGGGAGGTGGTATTGGTATTGGAAACGTTAATCAAAATTTAAGTGCAGAGTTTAATGCATGGATAGATCCTCATGCAGCAAATTTTTTATTTCATGATCCTATATTAAAATCAAAAATTATTTTATGTCCATTAAATTTAACTCATACAGCTATAGCTAAACAACATATTATTGATAAGATTATTCAAAAGGGTAAAAATAGTCATCCCACAAATTTTAGAAAAATGTTCTATGGATTATTTCAATTTTTCCAAAAGTCTTATAAAGATCATCAAGGATTTAAAGATGGGCCACCTATTCATGATCCTATGACGTTATATCCATTATTTGAATTGTATGGATTGGAATCGAATGACATCGTACAGTTTCAATATAAGAGACTTGATCTGGATGTCATTGATGATCTCGGTAGCCCAGATGTAGGAAAAATTATTGTCAAGGAGACTTATGCATTGGATGATATAAACCCAAGGGGCACAATGGTTGGGTTTCAAATAAATATAGAATTTTATTGGGATCAATTCTTTTTTTGTCTAGCAGAAGGGGAGAAACACTCCACCATAGAATTATGAAGATATATAATAGTGATTCATCCTACATGTGACTTTGAAATTTGTAAAAATTTTGAAGTCTTCGGAAACGTTTATATTCAAGTAATGATCATAACTATAATATTTAATAAAACCTGCATATATATCCATATTTGAACTATTACTTTAGGTATAAATTTTTGTCTAGATGTTCCAAAATAAGCACCAGGACTGATTATGAATGAGGATGTATGTCCTCTGTTGATAGATGTTGAGTCTTTAAATTTTTTGTATTAAATTCAGTTATTAAAAAATAAAATAAAAATACATTTTCAATATATTTGTATTCCCTATTTTCTTTCTATAAAATTCAACTGTAGACCGGCAGGGCACAATGGACCGGCAGGTGTAACTCTATCTTCCCATTCAGATGCCAACGTTATTTCGAATTGTTTCAATACTTCCCAAATAGTAACCCTCATTTCAGAAAGTGCTAATTTCTCACCCAGACAAGCACGTTTACCACCATGAAATGAACTTAAACTACTATTGTTTTTATGGTGCCTCCAACTCTTCGTTATGGATTCAATATCGTCACCCCAGCGTCTAGGTTCAAAATCATCTGCATAATCTCCCCAATAATTTTTATTGTGAGTTGCACTATAATTATGATATCCAACGTATGTGTTCTTAGGGATTACAATGTCGTTACCTAATCTACATTTTCTCGACGTGCATCTGTTAATAATTATATTGAGAGGTGGGTACATTCTAGTAGTTTCGAGTATAAATGAATTTAGGTGTGGTAAAGAAGCGAGATCCTTCGTATCTATTATATCTTTTACTTCATTCCATATCTTTTTCTGCCATGTATTGTTATATTTGGCCAAGAAATATAGTAGCGATGTTAATAGTAGTTGTGGATTTTCATGGCCAGCTACTAGCATTATTACAACATTATCTGTCAATTGTTTATGATTAATAATGTTATTAGTGTATGATCTTATCAGATCACTAGAAACGTATTTTGTTTGTTCAAATTCATAGTTTTCTATTAGTTGTGTTTGAACTTTGTCAACTAAGATATTTCTAAACTGTTCAATATCCGAAAAAGCTTTCTTTCTCTGTGGTAGTTGTAATAAATCAAGAAATGGGAATGTTAGGAATAATGGTTGAAAAATTTGTCTCTTAATTCTAATTAAATGCTCATGTAAAGGCACACAGTCATTTGTCAACGTTCCAAAATTAAATCCTAATAAAGTCTGTGAAATATTATCTAAAGCTAGACGTTGGATTAATGGTATCATTGGAATACCAGTTTTTGTCAAAGTAGTTTTATCTATGTCAGACATTTTAATCCTGATGAGTTTAACAAATAATTTAGCATTTTTCTCAAATGGAGTATCATCAAATTGTTGAAGTCCAGTGGTCATAATGCCTCTATATTTTTTCCAAACATCACCATGGGCACTAATGATATTATCACCTGTATAAGCAGCAATTGCACTATATGGAATTTTTTTTTGATTTCCACTTTTTGCAAAAATATCTTCTTTTTTAAATATTTCTGATAAATATTCAGGTCTACCTACTAATATATTCCATCTGGCACCAAAAAATACTTTAACAGCGCCATATTTTTCTAATGGTTCCTTTAAATATAATTCATATAATTGAATTTGATCCATCTTGGTTAAGGTGGGTAGGAAAATCACATAAAATGGAATTGTTGGAATATTTCTTGGAAAATTTAATGGTGGCAAAACAATCTTAAATATGATTACACCTATCAAAATTAGAGATAACGAAGAAATAACCTTGATTAACGACATGATTTTTTTTTTTACTTATAGGATAGGCTTGTTAGTTATCACAGTGGTCTTGTTGATTATGTAGTATTGTTATTTGGTATGGGCAGAACGAAATATCAATGTACAAAGGAAATCGAAAAATATCAAATTCCTTAACAAAAGTTATATTACAAATTATGTATATATATATTTGAAATATGTATCTTGTGACAATTTACAAAGAGAGGTAGAGTTAGAAATATTAGACGAAGGTAACAAAATTTGTAATTAGACATCATGCGTTAGTGCTAACCTGGACTACGGTTAGCAACCTTTAATAACATATCTAACACTAAAAGAACAAACTTCTGCAGCTTTGAGTACAGGAACCGTTTCTACTTAAAACATGACCAGTTTAAAACTAAAGTGGTTTTGTTCTCTCTCCATCAAAAAATATTTCTAACCTTCATTTTATGCATATTTGTTCATTTGATTATTCCGGAGTTTATTTTCCGTTGACGGACTTGGTTGCCATGACATATTTTTCAAGTACAGGAGGGAAAAGTTCATTTAGAATAAGACCTAAATGGGGAAATAACTATAATGAAATTAAGGTAGGTTATCATCAACTGACCTGATAACGTCATCTTTGAAAGTAAATATTTAGAGTAAATTGGGGAGGGGCATGGGGAATTAAAAAATAGACTAGAAAACTTTTAATGATAATTATTCTGTTAGGAACACCTCCTTTTTTCTGTATGTCAACAGTTGATGTCATGTTCAGAACTATTATTCATTTTGGTAGGTAGCCCCCTTAACAAGTTGTTTTGGTTATAAGGTAGGGAGAGTGGGGTTGATTAGCTGATTTTGAAGCAGGGATTTGCTTACGAATTATTTATCGCCAACTTCGTTAATAATACAGTCATAGTTATATTCAAACAAAGGTTACCTGTTCATGCAACATTTAAATATTTGAGTTAGTAATAATGTGCAAAGGAGATTATGTGGAGTGTTCAGGCAGACTATTTTATAAATAAACAGTGAGACCCTCCCTATCCATTAAAGATGCTTTGGGGATTTGACTTGTCAGGTATTTACATCCATAATATTCGACTGAACTTATAGTTAGGTAAAGCTGCACAGATATGTTGAATTATAAAATTGGAGAAATGATATCTCTTTTCACCTTTGAAATTTGTCATTGGAGGAATCATGTGGTGTGGTATTAAGGATTACAGGTTAACCTTCATAAGGTCATAAATATACAAGAATGATATGTCTATAAGGAAGGTTTATAGAAACTGAAGGTTATGATATGTTTATTAAAAGAATATAAAAAGGTGATATAAAATATATCACTTTTCTTATATTGATTGTTTCAATTTTAAATTTCAGCATAATAAGATAATTATACCATTCATGCACTCATAATTATCAAACAGGTTCAAGACGATAAGATTACAATGACAGTTACTGAAAAGCCTAAACCGATCACAGATATACTTACTGTATCCACCCCACCTGATGCTGAAACAGAACGTGAAATATTGCATAATAAGGGTACTGATATTTCTACCTTTTCTCGGTTTCTAGCTATATATACTAGAAATAAAGAGAATGCGTCACTATATTGCATTGAAGAGAAGAAGGGTTGTGATTTTTCTAATAATTGGACTTATCTTAAGAATGTTCTAACAAGCCAAAATTGTTACTCCAGGGATAACGGCAAATTAACTGAATATCTGATCCCTGCTTGTGATGCACATATCTTTAAGGATTCCCTTTCTCATCAATTGAAGATTACTGAGTTTCAAAAGGAAGATGAAACTCAAATTAGAGGTTGCATTGTGAGAGTTGAAGTTGATGATCCATTCAATGACTGGTTCATATATCATGTATTAGATCAGGCAAGATTACAATTCCATGACTACGATCTTTTAAATGTTGATCAAGGTAATGATGTTAGGTATCACGATATGTTCGCTGATTTCTTTGCTGCTAATTTAAAAAATACTATTAAAAATGACGAGTGGGATGACTCAGGTAGAAAGTATTTTGTTGAACGTGTCAGGTATTTTACAGACCGTTTTATTAGGATTGAGTGTATTTTACCAGCATTTCCTTGCAAATCTTCTAATATCAACAAAGTTGGGGGTGATATCCCTGACAAAGGTGAGGAGTTAGCCCTGAGAAGATTGCTTCAGATTACCAAGGAAGTCGAGGAATTTTATCCCCCAGGTTTGAAGATTTGGATTGTTAGTGATGGGCATGTCTTTTCGGATTGTATTGGTGTTGATGATGATGTCGTTGACAACTATACTTCCAGATTACATGAATTATATGAATTATGTAAGGATAGTGGATCAGACACAATTGGGTTTTGTGGGTTGAACGATCTTTTCTTCAATGGTGCTTCTTCGGAATCATTTAATCCAGAGTGGGTTGAAAAATATAAAGTTCTACATTACACTGGTACAATGATATCTTCTAAATCAGATGCTTCAAGACAAATTTTGATGAAGGGGTGTGACACTGATGATGGTTCCTTGAGAAAAGATGTCAATATACCTGATCATCCTCGCTTATATCTGTATAGAGGTTTCTCCAAGTTCATGATGGAAGATTTGGCTGTATTACCCTTTTTCCAATCTCATTCTAAAAAGGGATTCAAAAAAGTTATTTCTAAGATCGCTTTTAACATGATTAGGAGAAATGACGCATATTCTAACCTTGTTGAATTGATGTTTCCCCATCATATGAGAATTTCAATTCATGCACACAAGAACTCTGGGCCAAAATTTGGGGTTAAAGTAATTTCTCATCAACAATGCAGTATTGTTAAGGATCTCCAAAATATTGAAGAGCCAACCTTTGAAGATTTACTACATATACCAACACCATGGCATAATTGTATCGTTAAGGTTACAGATTCTGCAGATTCTGAAAAACAAAACTATTTTTTAACTAAATCAAGAGTAATTAAGGATGCTCTTGCAAATGGAACATATAAAGGTGAGTGGAAGGATACTTGTTTTCAAAGTGGTAATGGTGGTTGTTTCGAAATTATGAAGTATAACTAGATATTATACTCAATCTATTTTATTTCTAATCCCCTACGGTTTAAAGATTTGCTAGATTATATAATATTCTAAAATCAATATCATTACCTCTATTGAACTCATTTGATACATTTCTATTTTGTTTTTTGTCTTTTTGTCTTTCTCCAGTTTATCTTTTAATAGTTCTTACAATTTAGTTAATTAACTATATTATATCTAATTAATATGATAGGTTTGTTACATATTTTTTTTAATATATTTTTTGATTAAATATATTTTACTACACAACCTTAATCAACTTTCCTAATAAAATGTAGAGTAAAGTAATCCCTGATTTAGTGCTATAAAACCTCAACGATATATAAATATATCTTTGTAACAAAAAAAAAATATAATACATTAAAAATGGATATACATGCAAATGAAGAAATAAAATTATATTAATTGTAGGTCTACTGGTCCTACTTCCTCCCTAGAATACATGTTCGATCATGATATTAGCGATGAGTATTCTGTAGGAACGGTAAAAAAAAGTAATTTAAACACCTAAATAGCACCTAAATAATCTTCCTTAATACTACCAATTGCGTGGATGGAGCTGACTTGACTGATACAACCTTCAATTTTTACTCTAATTCTACTCTTAATTGTTATAACATCCTCAGAGTTTTGATAAGAAGGTGGGTTAGAACCTGCATTGAATTGAAGATCCTGAGGCATTAAATGTTTTGTTACAAAGACCTTCATAGGTCCAACTTGAACTTCAAAACCATGTTGTGAACATGATACAACAGTACCGTCGACCACCTCACCTTTAAACGGTTTGAATACTACAGCTCTGTATTTGACTGTGAATTCTGCAGAACCGTCGGTTGGTAATATTCTACCACGTTCAATCTCTATCTTGTCATAATCTAGGACACATAATATATAACCAAATTTACCTGTACATGAACCTTCAACTTCCTGAAGCAATTTACTTTTTAGAAATTGTTTCATTCGTGGACCGAAATATGAGGGATGTAAGGTAATATTAAGCGATAAATCTTTGATGAAAAACATTGCAATAGAGTGGAGTCAAACGTTATGGAATTTCGTTGTATGCTAACGGAATGTGCGTATTAATTGATATAGTTATGTAATCCTTTGAAGAAATTAAGGATGAGACTGTTTAAGTTATGGGATTATAGTTCTGCAAAAATAAAAGATAGGAGAAGACACAGGACACTTGTCAAACAGTTATAGTTTTCAAAGTAAGAAAAAGAATAATCAGCGTTAATGTATATCACTTCAATTGCTAATATCTTCTACTTTCTTTTTGTTTCTTACACCTTAACCGTTACTTCTAATCAAGTATCTTCTATTCTTTCTCAAGTTTTTCAAAAATAGTCAAATTGTTTGTTTGGCTGAAATTTCACGACGTTCCGCTCTTCAATGTACCGTTCAAAGCGATTAACTTTGCAACGGGAAAGTTGGAATCTGGAAGGAGAACCAAACCACAACTAATTGAACAGTAAACTTAAAGGTATCAAAAATAGGTTAAGATATAAGAAGAAGTGCATGGTCCGAAGTTTGAAAGAAAGAAAAGCTTTGTTTAATCAACAACGCATTACTAGAAGAAACCATTTGTTGAGAGATATATATATATGAAAGGATGCCTAGATTGACTCCTTCAACGGTTCCAAAAGTTGCAAACTTTAGTGAGAAAATATTGAATTTAACTAGAAATAGTATAGGACCTGCAGCCAAAGATGTAGGGCCAGCAGTGGATGAATTGCTTCCTCATTTCAGAATTGGTGAAAAAGAAATATATTTCCCAAAGGCAAGAATTATTCTATTGAGACCAAATGCTAAACATACTCCATATCAAGCCAAATTTATAGTTCCTAAATCGTTTAATAAACTTGATCTGAGAGACTACCTGTTCCATCTTTACGGATTAAGAGCATTAAATATTACAACCCAATTACTTCATGGTAGATATGTTAGATTGAGCGCGTTTTCTGGTAGATTCAGAGGACCCCAGATTAAGAAGATGACAATAGAGATGGAACAACCTTTTATCTGGCCTGAGGAGCCTGAAAGTAATGAGGTTGCACGTTGGAACGAAAAATTCCAAGAAGAACTAAATAGATATAAATCAGAAAACCAAATGTCTGTTGGTTCTGATATAAATAAGCCCTCGACTGCATTTGACGGTACGTTAGGTAAATACGCCGAAGGTGCTCAACCGTTTATTCCAAGATTCTGGAAGAGTGAACTTATAAATAAAAGAGACAGAGCAGAGAAGAAGATTAAGTACATGGAACAATTGTCTAAAATCGATAAATACGCTAAAGACAACGAGGTAACTCACTGAATTGAGTGCTATTAAGTTTGTTAGCATTTGGTGGTATTAATGAAATGTCCAATTATAATCTTTGTTAAGCTTGTTGAACTCATTTTATCCAAAGTACAAAGATATGTTAAATATATACATAGCAACTTAAAATATTCTTCATGTAAATAAATATAATAAAATAAAAATAAAAATAAAATACTACGTACTCATGTCTCTTGTATGTTGCTATATATATCAAATTCTTATGTTTAAAATAACAACACAATATTTAAAATTGCTAAAGATGCTATAAAGTATATAATATAATAATAATACTCTATTCAAAAACTGGTCGATTCACAGTTAAAATTATACTTTCTGAATCGAAATGTAATAATGGGTCTTGACTATCCAATCTAGCAACCGCGGCACATATTTCATAGGTACCTGGTTCGACTGGAAGTAGAACAAACTCTGCACTAAACGGTTTATCAGTAGATACTGTTTTGGACAATGTTCCATTATATAGAATTCTGCCGTTCGATCTTGGTAATATTTTTGAGGTTTTGTGATCTATAATCCAAATATTCAGTTTTCTTTGTAATGGAATATCATCACTGGCAATTTTCCTTGTATTTTCAAGATGCACCGTTAATTTTAGATTGGCACCTATACTAACAGTGGTGTTATCACAAGTAAGTTTTACTGTGAATAAAGACTTCCCTTTGTATATTGTAGAAACCATTTTGGAATCAAACTTCTCGAGGAATTTTCTAAAGTCAACAGAACCAATTAAATTGCTGTCATGGAAAAAATTCCAATGACAGCTTAACTTTTCAAGAATGTATTCTCGACACCAAAAAGCTTCTCTTAACTCAGTTTCTTGTTCTAAGTTTAAACCGCTCTGAATAAACTGTCTTCCTTCAACTACGTGAGGAATTTGTTTCTTACCAAACCCTTTTTTCGAGAATTCTATTTTCTTAACAGGAATAATCATTCTTAGAGTGTGGCTAGCCTCAATAAGATATTTTTTGCTCACGAAGTCTTCAAAATGTACCTGCAAATGAAGTCCATCCAGCCATGAATTTCGGAAATCAAGTAGTAACAAAACGAAATCATGTATATTACAATTCGGGTAATCCTTTATCTTAGATTGTATAAAGTCTATCCAATCAACAGAAGAGCTATCGCAAGAAATGTTTTCATTTAACGGGATGATATCTAAATTTGCAATTTCGACAGTTTTTTGAATGGTGATTTCATAAGGAATTTCTAACACCTTTATATATATATGATTGGAATCAGAAGCAGCCATACCATACTTTATTGAAAGAATAAATTCGGTGAAATCAAAAGGCGCATGTGTCACATCAACCTCAATCTCTAATTGTACATCCTCTCCTGGTTTGAGACTCTTTGGTGCATTCAATACTTTAATAGAAGACGTTTTCAACATATTCATTTGCTTTTCCACAGCAAACAATTCATCAGGTTTGAATTTCTTCCAATAATCACTCTTCGTCTCCTTTTCAACGTTCGAAATTGAATGGAACATGATATAATCTATCGGGCAATTTAAAGATTTGTTTCTTATATTTAGGGTAATTTTTGTTTTAGTACCATCAAGAATCATTAAGGAGTTCTCAACGATATTTGATTTATTCATAATTTGCAGTTGAGGTTGTTCTGGGAAAATTTTAATGTGAAGGGAGCCATATTTGCATCTTTCATTTATAGAAGATTTGAGAACTAACTCATTATTTTTACGTTTTGATGCATCATTTTGTTCATAATCTAAGGGTAGGATACATACCTCAGAATTTACAATTTTAAATTCTTCGGAAGGTAGCTCAAACACTGATAACGATAATCTGTCTATTGTAATACCGTCATTCGATGTGGCATTTTTCAGAATAACAGGAATTGTTATTTCCTTCATAGATTCAGCCCTTAAAACATATGGGTTAGTTTTACTTAGGTATATGTCCTTGAGTTCGCAATATTCCAGGATATTTGGAGGAAATTGGAGTTTGGAGATGTTTAAATCGAACTTAAATGGATTTTGCAACGTACATGTAAATTCAGCTTTGTCCCCAACTAGCAATGTGTTGTCACTAACCTTTGTAGGGGCAAATTTAACCTTTTTAGAACTTGAGGTTCGGAAAGGGTTAAAGACTTCATCTGTTTTCATCTGTTCGTTGGCGTCTTTTATAACGGATTTATTGATATCAGATATGGCAGCCTCTACAGGGAGTTTAGCACTTTGCGTTCCAGGTTCATCGAATTCTAGTCTTTGAAAGCTGCAGTTTCTGATAATAAAGGGATCCCAGTAGTTGGATATTGACCCATTATATATGCATGGTTGAATATAATCAATGAATAACGACGACTGTTCAGAAGCAGTAAGCATGTGTGTAAAGTTTGATATTAATTTCAAAGCTAACTTAGACATTAGTTCAGTGTCACTAAATTTTTTGACAATCAAAAGGCAGAGGTTTAAGGCGTTCTTTTGTAATATAAACCAAGTCCTTTCAGAAGCGTCTGAGATATGCATATCCGAGTCTCTTGTACTTATTCCATAAATATCCAAAATATCTTCAATGATAGTTCTATGACTTTCAGACCAAAATATTTGTTCAGATGAAGAGCTCAAAACAGTAAGTAATAGTCTTAAAACTAAGGCTTGTTTTCTTTCGAAACCAAATGTTTTGAAGGTGTGCGCCAACGTCATATATACAGTAACTTGGGATTCTATTGGCAAATTGTCTAATTGCAATTCCAATAATCGAATTGCAAACATATATATATCTTCTCTTGAAAATTCATTCTCACCGTCATCAAATCCGAACGATGTCGCTGTATGTGCGAATTGGTGATGTACTATTCTTTCTAATATTTCGGGCGAAAAGTTTTCTGCGTTATGGCATGCAATCATAAATGTTAATGTCTTTAGTACAAAATTGCAATAAACTATATTTGGAACGTATTCACTGTTACTGCTTAATGTAAGTTCATAGTAGTACAGGATTTTTTCCGCCATTTTTCTCACTAAATGTGGAAGGTTTATTGTAGTAACGTCTATATCCAAGAATGATGCAGTAACATTAATAGAATTTCTAGGAGATTGCATTTGGGACGGTATTGCTGACACACTAGTCCTAGGCACACTTTTTGTGTTGGGAGTGGTAGGAGGTATATGAGGTTTTGTGCTATCTATAGTGTCTACTGTTTGTAAAGGGCATAATAAGTTTATAATTTCCGGAACTTGAAAAGGGATGTCTAAGTAACTTAAGGATAAGAAGCAGATTGCAATACCATCTATTGCTGAAGCTAACCATAAGAAATCTCTTAATTTGTATAAAAGAATCACAGATTCAGTAAAACTTGTTAATGCGTCCGAATACCTCCCAGCTAAAAGTTGGAAGTTACCCAAGATCTTAAGTTGCCTACCTTTTGATTTTTGCTGGGTTCTCCCATCTGACGTGGAGAGGGTATTTGCTAATTTTAACGATGCAGATCTCTTGATACTATTTGTTGTCATTTCGAAAGAAGACATTCGTTTACTAGAATTTAGGGTTGGTTTTTGAATATCTGTAGGATTTACTAGGGTATTAGGACCATATCTATTTATGACTGTCTTAGAGATAGAATTACCACCTATGGCACCGGGGGATCTTAATGTCACATGTCTATATGACGAATAATAATGTGATAATGCTTCCAAAAAATTGTGACCAATATCGCAAACAATGGTCTCTAAATTCTTCGGTGTTGGGAATTTAGTAGAGAAAATATTTGGTAACGATTTAGATTCGGAATCTTCTTCAAGTCCATTTGAGTAAATAAGATTCGTGGATATTGCCGTCGGGTATTTTTCCTTAAGAATTTGTAAATTCTGATTTATTGGACTGTTATCATTCACTAGACCAATTATTACAAATGTTTTCCTAAAAGGTTGAAAATCATATAGGAATAACTCGGATGAATCGTTATGTCCCACTATATCGAAATCAAATAATAATTGGCCATTAGGGAATCCTTGTGGGGTGAATAACGAACTATCAATTGGAGTGATGTCGAGTAAACGAATTTCAGAGTATTCTTTGATGTTATTAACAGCATTAATGAAATCTTTCCTTTTCCATTTTCCTATGGGTACTATAAGTGTCTTAATCCTTACGGGACTGACATAGCTTGGATATTTCGCCACTATATCCATGTTTATCTAGTGTTCAGCTTTAGCTCTAGCCTTAATCTGGAGGGGTGGGATGTGGGTATATTCGATGATCTGATAGCAATTCTTTTACGAATCTACTTTAATGCTGGAGAAAAATATGATATCCAAAAAAAACGAAGGAATAAAATTGTATGAGTATCTAGCAAGGTAAAGAAATTATGGACTTATTGTTAATGATCACGATGGTTGATTTACTCGAACCGGCGTGGCTACTGATGGTGCCTATATCTTCTGTATCTGCGTAATTGTATCCAAATACTTGTTGGTCTTGGTATGTTTTATTATTTACTTATTTTTTGGCGCTGTGCTATTTGATAATTATTACTGCGATACGTATATATTTTTTCTGTGCTCTGAGCTCTTCCTGATTTGAGTAGCGGTTTGTTTCGTATACGGTACATTACAATATATATATATATATATATATATACAAATGTTTTATGTCAATTCAGAAAGTAGAAGCAACCTTTGATATTTCATAATGATTATCTGTATGCAATTAATGTTCAGAAACCGTTTCTTGCACCCACTTTAGAAAAAAATAAAAGGGTTGTAGTATTATATAATGATGTGATATGCATTTCACAATCGCAATGGCGTTGCTCTATTTCGGTTCTAATGCCTTCTTTGTAGCCTCGACAATAGCAATATGTTCTGTGGCATGTACTCTTGTTTCGTATTCCTCCAAGGTCTCTTTTCCCGGTACAATTTCTAATTCTTTTACCACTAGAGGTTCACCTTTATCTACTTCTTCAATGACATAATGTACCATGCAGCCGGCTATCAAAGTTTGTTCAGTCTCTTGGCATTTCTTCCAAGCCATCTCAATGGCATGAGTCGTCCCATCAAAAGCTCCAGGTAAAGCCGGATGTAAGTTGATGATTCTTGTATTTTCAACATTTGCTAAGAATGCAGGTCCCAAAATCAGCAACCACCCAGCACAAACTACCAAATCTGGTTTGTCCTCCAAGACGACATGTGCTAGATCTTTTTCGAACTGGACTCTTGCTTGTGCACGAGCCTGTTTATCCTCTTTGGCTATATTTTTTGTGTATTTGTATAAGGAATGTACTTTTGTTGGGATGTTTGCTTGTTGTGCTCTTGTTAATCCGTAAGCATTCTTACTTGAAGAAATAACTGAAACAATTTCACCAGAACCTAATTTCCCTTCCTTTTTAGCATCGATCAAAGCTTGTAAATTGGAGCCTGATCCCGATATTAATACAGTAATCCTAGACATTTTTACAAAATGATATTGCAATGTATATATAATATTTTATTGTTATATGGTATGAATTGTTATATACACCCTACACCCTGTATGATTTTATAATAATAATAGAAAAGTAGAATGATCTAAGTATGCCTGGCACCAACGACAATGCAACAACCCATACCAAGTCAAAACTCCACCGTATATATATAATAACTACGTCAGGATCAAGATATCCAGCATGCTTGCATCACTAGTAGCATCCTCTTGGTATTATAATTGTAGCAATAATAGCTCTATTATGAACGGTGATGATCAGAAAACAGAGTCAAAACGTGAAACTTTTTCAAATGCGAAAATGAGGACGAGAAGCACAGAAAGGCCAACAGAACAAGGGGAGGAACGCATATTCTGGTCACGTGGATTATCGACTAGTAACCACAACTAATGCTATTAATATTGTTAAAAGTTGATAATGCATGTTATATAAGCACTAATGGGTTGGTGATTAGTCGAGTCGCAATGGCACCCAGAAATCTGCTTGTATCTTGCACTCTTTGTATAAAACTTGTTCATAATTCTGTACACCCACACACACCGCATATAAGTACCGTGCTATGTTTAGCTGTATAAAGCGAATATCTTCAATATTTTTGAAATTTCTATTTACATCTTTGATCTACAGTTCTTAAAGATGAATGTGAAGTAACTAGGTTAAAGGTTCACTGTGAGATTATAAGCGAGTTTAGACAAAGTGCAGTGTGCTACTGGCCAGATTTCTGAAGGAGTTGTTAGCTTACATTTATAATCTGTAGGTTGTCTTTTTGGGTTTTTTTTTCGATTCTATCGTAGATCTTCAGGTGGAGCACACCCTCAAAATAAGTAGAATTAAAAGCTTAAGCGAAGTATTGTTGTTAGTTATTGATAGTAATTGATTGTTTGTTTTGTCTGTTTGTTCGAAAAAAATTGTACCTGTATTATTATCATTATCCTAGTGAACGGAAGTTGAATAAAGACTAAAATATTATAAAGAAAATGGAGTCCATACGAATGCGTGTGAGTTATTTCAAAGTTCCTCAACTTAAATCATTGAGTAGAGCATGCAAACTTAGTGCCAACTACAAGAAGGCAGAATTAATTAAAAATTTGGAAAAGTTTTTTATGACGTTAGAAAAAGATCCAAGTCGATTGCAAAATAATGTAGCATGTTTAGCATATTTAATTGACAAATGTGAAGATGGTGAACCATTACCACCATTCAATGAATTGATTACTGCCAAATATTATAATAAAAGTTTGGATTCGGTACATACTAAACCGAAACGTCCTACATACGGTAATTCCGGTGCAAGTACAACTCTGACATCAAGAGATAAAGCAATAATGAGTCCCTATGCTAACACTATACATTTTGAGGAATCACCGTTTTATAAATTGGAAAAATTAGTACCTGAATCAGCTCAAAAGATTTATGTCACTAACGGTAGAGGAACGTGTACGATTAAGTTTCAATTGAATAAAGATGAATTTCATTCATTAAAGACAGATCAAAAATCACGGTTATATCTATTATGTGGGATGGTTAACGTCTTAGGTACAAGAGGTAAAGAAACCATTCAATTTCCAAGTCCTAATGAAATTCAAATGAATAATCAAATTGTTAAGGCAAACGTAAAAGGGATAAAAAATAAAAAAGGTACTACAAAACCTGTAGATATTACACCATACTTAAAAAGTGATAACAGTATTAACATTTTCCAATATATTTATGCATTTACCACAACAGAATACCTAATATATTTATACATTGTTAAAGTTATTGCACCAGAGGAAATTCTCAAACAGATTTTAAAACAACCAAAAATATTAAAGGCTGCAACGTTGTATTATTTAGAACAAACTATAAATGCAGATGCAGATGTAGATGTAGATATTATTACTACATCGGCTGTCATGAGTTTGAATTGCCCAATATCATATATGAGAATGAAATATCCTGCCAAATCAAGCTCTTGTAAGCATTTGCAGTGTTTCGATGCATTATGGTTTTTACATTCTCAATTGCAAATTCCAACATGGCAATGTCCTGTATGCCAAGTTCCAATTAAAGTAGAACAATTGGCCATTAGTGAATATGTTGAAGAAATCCTGCAAAAATGTGATAAAAACATAGAACAAGTGGAATTGTTTAAAGATGGTGGTTGGGCACCGATTTTTGATGAAAATCAACGCGGTAGTGATTCTGAATCTGACGGAGAAACACCATATAACGTTAAGAAAGATGAAAAACCAACAATTTCTGTCAATACAAAACATGAAGTTGGAGAACCATTTGTTATCTCATTGGATAGTGATGATGATGCTGAAGGGGAACATTCAGTTATAAATGGGAAGAAGGTAATACAAGCTAGTACACAGAATGATTCTAGAACAAAACAGAGAACTTTTATCGATAACAATAATAGTGATAATGTTAAATACTCTAGAAGTTTGGACCCCAAGGGAACTCCAGTTACGCCAAACACAAAGAGTTTTAATTCAGATTGTAGTTCAAATAAGTTGAATTATGCAGCAACTAAAACTTCTTTCGTTGTTGATGATTCTTCCTTGAGCTCTAATTACAGCACACCACTTAGAGATAAGGATCTTGAAATGCATCATCCTAGTATATTATACAAACAAATCAAATTTCCGCAATATTTACAGAGTAAACCATTGTATAATCATGCTTCGAACAGCAGGTTAAAGCCTAATCCACATGAGGTTATTGAACCGGCATCAAACATTGGGAGGTTATCTAGTATTTCTTCTCAATCGACGGTTATTATAACAAATCCTTCGATGGCTTTGTCGGACCCGCAAGAATCCAATCCAATGAATGATGTATCTAACGAAAATGATATATCAAATACATTAAAAGATGTTTCTTTTCCATCTTCTAGAATACTGTCAGGAACTGGACAGGAGCAAGCCCTGAATTCTGGTGTGAAACGACCAGAAGGAGAAGTTCGTAAATTTCCAACTATTCCTCTTTTACCCTCTCTTAAAAATGGCGATACTATAAGAAATAGTTCTGATAAATTATCTGACTCAACACAAAGTTATGAAAAAACACCTTTTGTTGAATCTTCAATAACAATGAAGCCAATTGTGGCACCATTCCAACCTAGAAGAAATTATTCTACCACTATTCCTCAAAAGAGACATCTCTCCAGTTCATCTGTTTCCAGCATACCAAACAAAGAGGACAATCATTTAGCATAATAATAAGCATATATTTAAATAAAGAAATAAATTAGTTTAATTATACATAAGTAGTACATCAGTAAATAAGTTATTAGTTTATTCATTAGTTCTGTAAAAAGGGATAGTGTATAGTATTTTTATTGGATAAATGGAATCCAAACTTTTGTATTTTTCTTGTAACTTATATAATTATTTCCAAAGAAAGAAATTAAATATTCTTCTTCAATTTGAATTCTCTTACTGAAAAATCTCCACAATACTAAAGTAAAAATGAAAAATGATAATGGATTTAATAGCACTAGTTGAAGGCCAATTGCCCACCAGAAAAATCCGAAATAACTAGGATGTCTGAAATAAGCGTATAATCCATTAGTTACCAAAATGTGATCTCTTTCTTTCTTCCTTTTAAGGATATGGGAAAATGATTGTGCTGCAGTCTTCATTGCCATCGTTCTGATATATTGGCCTACTAATGCTAGAACTACACCAGTGACAGCAATGTAGAACCGTATTCCTGCTACTCTCTTGCATTGGGGCCATAAAGTATATTCTATCAGACACTCTAGTAGAGCAAATGTATGTGCCCCGATGTATTCTTTACCATTTCCAAACAATAAAAATGAATCAGAATGAACTTTTCCTGGATTATATTTTGCTGTTATATAATATTCCAAAAAATGAAATAAACATAGTGCTATGATATAAAAATTTATGCTTTTAAATTTTAAGGCTGGAAACAAACCAACAAACAGGCCAAGCACTGTACCTAATATAAAAGAAGTTGATGATATTAAGTCTGGTTCGTTCTTTGTGATGTCAGCAAATGGCTTTTCATCGATGATAATTGGAAGATCAGATTCGCTGGATGTATCATTGTTGAAGTTATCGGAGGCAGTGGAAGATATATCCATTCTATTATTTTCAATCTAAATGGTTACTTAATACAACTTTGTTAGTTTCATCACAGAAGTAGTCAAGTCTAATAACTGTTAAATTGCTTTGCACAATTGTTTATTCTGGTAATCCCATATATACAGATCTGTCCCATATAATTATATAAGTATTCGAATATTTTTATCTATGTTTTCCCTCGATGCGGAAGAATACATGAAACGTCTTAAAAAGGGAGATCATGAACCTCAATATATCAAGACGGAATATATTAATATAAGAGAAGTCAGGGAAACATACAGATGCTCCATAGGATACCATTAAAACACAATTTATAGAAAATAATAATTCTAAATAAATCTATATAATTACTGCTTTTAAAAAAATTTGGAAAGTTTGGAAAGACACAGTATACTTAATAAATCATTCTTCTTTGGCTCCTAGACGTTGTCCGGAACCACGAAAATTACCAGTACCATTATTCGTTGCACTTGACCCTGAAGAAGTGGTATTATTTGAGCCCTCGGTTCTTAATTTAGTCTCTTTAGAGTTAGTTTGACTACTACTACCAAGTTTATTTCCTCCTGTAGAACTGCCACCTAATCTAGAACCATTACCCTTAAACCCAACTTCAGTTGAGTCATTGGTAGTAGATGGTACCATCATTGTTGCAGCAAATCTGTGACGCTTATCAATTCTAAAGATAATTTCATATAAGTATATAAACCAATGCGGTGCGCACAATGAACCACCTGGAGCTCTACCATAGCTGGAATGTTTCTTGGTAATAAACCCCCATATTGGGCCAAAGGTACGAGTATCCAGGCATAAGAATATGTAACCAACAAATATACCAATTAAAGAAATAAAGAAATTACCTTCTCCAAAGATAAATGAGGTTGCAAGTGTAATTAGCGGATAATATTTCCCATATACTGGTACTATCCCATAGAATAAAATTTTTGTGTTTGCATTATCTACAGCCCAGGTAAATGTTAAACATGAAGTAAATGCACTTGTAAGGAGCATACTTGCAGAGACACCAAATACTATTGCACTTACATTCACAATAGAAAGTATGCAAAAACATATATAAAATGTATAATCAATGGATGGATTTGCTATACTTGTAATAAAAAAATGTTCATTTTCTAGTTGGGCAGATCTGGTAAAAATATTATATATTTCCAAAAGAGCAGGCATGGCTTGTGGTGGAAGGATCATACATGATGTAACCATTCTCCACAATTGGAAATGTTTAAAGGTTTCATTCCATTGGAAAATAAGATATCCAAAATGAACCAGTTGTAAAACATACGCAGACGTCACACTACATAATAACAATAATATTGCTCTTGTCACGGGTGGAATACTATCCCATATTGTTCTGAATGTTGGATTTGAAGTAGTGGATGTGTTTGCACTAGATCTTCTAGAATCGCCACTTCCTAATGTGTGTACATTTCTTGGAGGCATGGTGTAGAATACGTTGAGAGAAAATTATAAAAACTGATTGAGTTCAAAAATTTATGGTTGAACAAATATTGAACTATCCTCGTATAATATCAATATCAACACTTAATAAAAAGTAGATATATTGTCGTTCTAGTATAGCAGATCAATTATTAGTTGTTTTCTAAATACGTGTTCATAATTGACAGGACTATGTTATGTGTGTTAAAATAGGGTCTCCGAGATTACCCTCCAACTTGAATTCAATTTTTTCTTTTTAATGAAAATTTTCATAACTCAGAAATCGATGAGTTCAACTTTGATATAATAATAAGAGCTGTTTTAAAAGCAGAATAATATAGATAATCCATCCTGATTGTTTAATTTTCGATTAATTGAGCTTCCCATAACTAAGGAGCTACTTCAATCTACAGTAGAAGAATTATATATCGTTGTTATCAAGGAAATATGGCCGTTAAAACTAATAGACAGCTACTTACAAAAGGGAAAGATTATGCTGCTAAACAACAGAGAAAGTTTGGTACTGATGAAGTCAGTTTTGATAAAGACTCAAGATTGGATTATCTAACAGGGTTCCACAAACGTAAATTACAGAGACAGAAAAAGGCTCAGGAGAGTATTAAAGAGCAGGAAAGATTATTAAAGATTGAAGGGCGTAAAAAAGTTCGTGATGAAAAGAAGAAGCAGATGGATGAACAAATGCGTAGGTTCAAAGAAACTTTAGACATTCAGGCTGAAATAGAAGAACTACGGGATGGTAAAAATGGTAAAAGTGAACGTGAGGTTCAGGACAATGATTCAGATAATTCGTGGAATGGATTTGAAGATGATGACAGTGATGATGATTCAGTGAAACCAATTCTTAAAACGAATTCTCTCGGGACGGCTATTTATGAAGATGATACAACCGTTGAAATTGAGTCATTGGAACCAAATGAAAATTTTGCATTCTTAGCTAAGACTAACAATGTCGAACTAGAGAAATCTGAAAAAATACTAGACCAAAGCATAACGAGAGCTAAGAAATATGCAAAGTTTTTAGGTATGGATGATTCTAAGGACAAGAAGAAGTCTAAGAAGAAGTTTAGATATTTAACTAAAAATGAAAGAAAGAACAATCAAAGGAAGGCATATCAAAATAAACATAGAAGATAGACTTGTTGCATTATAATAAAGGTTGAAACTTGTAAGAAAAAAGTGCATTACAGTGACATTTATAAAACGTTTATTGATAGTTTTTTTAAAAAATTTAATTTTTAGATAATTAAATATCATTAATTATCATGGCATATTGCATTAAAGGTATACAATTTATAAACGAACTCATAATATTATTACTATTAAATTTTAGATTTTTTATGATTTTATTGGTCTATTAGCATACTCAGATTCCAGTTTGAATATGATCCAAATGGCTCTTCGTATGATTTCAAAATAATATAACTCATATTTGAAGAAAATGTGATTGATCGACTTATTTTGGGTATATACGGCGACCCCTATCCACCAATATCTAATAGTAAAATCTAAAGCAATTGCAAAATAATAAACTTTAGGCTTAAATATTAATTTGTTTTTTCTTAGAGTGAAAATAGATGGAATTGTCCAATCTCTTCTGACATCCCAATAAAATGTGTATGATGAGTTCAACACTAGGAAACACATTTGAATACTGTAGAACACTTGTGAAACATTGTTCATATTGTGCGTTCTACTAAACCACGTGCATCCTATTATGGGAAGGTTAGAACAATATTTCCCAGCGTTCATTAATAATTCAGTGTCATGTAGTAATTGGTATTCTCTTAAACATTGAAAGATTCTCACACCAGATGGTAATGAAGATAGAAAAAGATCAAAATGTGTCATTGGTTTTCCAAATAATAATGAAGTAAATAATGTAAAATCGATCAGCGGTTTATTGAACGATGTCAATGTATCCGATATCAAAATGTATACATTACGTAGGATTCGAGGGTTTGGTTCAATCAATAAAAGTCTCGTAGAACAATATCTAATGATTTCAGATTCTCTTAATATCAAAATAATTAATACCAAAAATTGTAATAATGGCAACGCATGAACTAATATGTATTGAATTCCCGATGTATCATGTTCGTTGCTATTACTAAATACCAACAACACAATAGAGTGAGTGAACACAAAAATCTTGGTTACTTTCCAAGCAAAAACGTAAGAAAATCTTAATAATTGTCCATTTGTTGGAGCCTGATGCATATCATTCCGTAATTTCAGCTGTAAAACGTCAGATATGTTTATTTTATTACTGTTTAGGTATTTTACAATAAAATACCAAAGCCATATTGCTATAAATAGTAAAATATTTAATCTTTGTGGGACAGGTAATTGAACATAGTTCAACAGGAACCCCTTATCAGTACCGTCCTGGAATTTCATATAGAGTCCTGGTTCCTCTTTGACAATGTGAATTTAAGATAATTCTCACCTTTTGACTGTAACTCGTAGTTCGATTTATTTCAAAGAGTGATGACATGTAAAAGTAAGAAACTTTAAACTTGGCCAAGGTAAACACATTTTCGTGTCTCCAGCGCGTTTCTCTCTAAGCCCGGTGACATAATTAAGACAGATATACAGTGACTTTATTATGTTTTATGATGTGTATTTACTTATGCATGATTGTAGTCTGATCATAGAAAGGCATGATATTTAGTAGAATATGTAATAATAGATTATGATAATGTATTTAAATTGTCGCTACTTTTCGAAAAGGGAGCGCAATGTAAGCAAGATAAAAGAAACGAGAAGTTCTCAAAAGCTATCCCATTCTCCCAATTCTAGCACAGTTCCAAGTACAAGTTTTGTATGTTCAGCCATATGATTGATACTTAGCTTCTCGATTGTATCCATTGTACTATGTATATACTTGTTTGCTGATTTAAGTTCGCTCTCGATAACGAAGGAACTAGGGTATCCGTTTTTGGTGGCACTGCTGTGGTCACTACATGCATATCCACATTTGGTTTCTACATATGGAATAGAGAGGTAGTTATCGATAACCGTTCGAATGAAAAGAGTTAATCGAGCATCGGTGTAATCAGCAATAACACCAACATGTTCATTTTTCAAATCTGGGACAAAACCAGTCATATCTTGTTGTAACATCGCAACCACCTTTTTCTTGAGACCAGCATAAACTGTAAAGACATCAAGAGAACCTAGTAGACCACCTTCTTCAGCAGAGTAAAAATGAAATTCTATAGAATTTTTCAACGGTTGGTTAGACTTTTTAAGGTATTCTGTAAATAGTCTTAATGCTTCTAGATTGGTGATAGTCCCTGAACCGTTATCATCGGCACCAGGAGCCGGAAGTAATGTTGGGAACAAAAGATTGATACTATCCAAATGAGATCCGATGACCACTATATTTTCAGGGGTAACAGACCCAGCAAATTTTACAATAATAGAATATTGGTCCCACTCCTTATGATCAAAATGTTCCACAGTTGTCATCCCCTTAGGTAAGACGTCGACAATCTGGTGGATTTGAGCAGAAAGCCACTCAGCAGCTTCTAGACCATACTTGGATTTATAATACCGTGTATAGAAACTAGAGAACTTTGCTAATTTATCATACATATATTCCTGGTCTATCTGAGAAATTAGAGATTTCACTATATTCGATTGGTTCATTGTTCTGGGGAAATTATAATGAGGAACCTCACGTTTATCGGAGCGGTGATATATTAAGGTATTAGAACGTTGTTGTTTTGTAATATCAAAAAATTTAATACCTCTCTTCAATAGAGAGAGTTTTTCATACTCACTCGCAGTGATAACCTCTGAATCACTCACTTGAAGGATTCTCTTCTCTTCGAAAGGTAGTCCATTGGCTAGTGATTGAGCAGTTGCTATCCAGCAGAAAACCGTACTGAACTTCATTGTTGGTGATTTTGATATATGAAACTCAATTAGATCAAGGAATGTAAAATCAAATTGTGTTAATTTATATCTTGTCCATTGTAACGTTTATATACAAAAGGACTCATGGGATATCATATCGTGGTGCCTTTGTTTTCTACGATAAGGATGTTCCTATTCATATTTACAAGTATATATTGTCCGCGGAGATAAGAAGAAATTATATCACTTGAAAAATTGATACGCTAGATAACTTAAAACAATAGCAAACCATTGGATTGAATACCTAATAATAATAGTAATAGCAATCCTGTGGCAGTTTATATTTGTTATATTACCCAACACTACCATTTTAATATAGTTTCTTCTATAGTTTATGCTAGGATAAATTGGTAATTGACATAAACTTTCTATGGAAGACATTAGTATATATATAAAGGATGATGAAGACATCGCTTTCGAATATGAGTTACAAAAGAGCCCTGAACAACTCCAAACATGGGAACATTATTTAGACAGGTGGCAGGAGCAGAATAAAAACGGTCTGAGATCAGAAGATTGTATTCTGTGGCTCTTCAGACGGTATGTTAATCAATTTATTAACAATGTTGACGTGTGGTTGGTATTTATAGATTGGGTTATTGAAAACTCTATCTATAAGAAATATAATGACATTCCAACAATATACGAAGAGAGTATACGGAATTGTGGGAGTAAATCAGAAAAACTATGTCTTAAATATTTAAAATATGCCATTGAAACAAGGGATTTGACTTTAATAAGGGAGTCGTTTGATTTAGGACTGGAGTTCACCTCGAAGCATTCGCATTATAAATTATGGGAACAACTTCTACTCTTTATAAAAAATGTACTAATTCCAACAACTGAAGCTATTGATAAGGATGAAAAACCTCAAATAGAACAATTTGGAGAGATCATCGATAAAATCTTTGAAGATAGTAATCAAATAGAAAATGCTAAAGATAATTGCAAAAATGCAGATATATGGATATCTATTTTCTTAGAAAGATATCTTTTAGTTTGTCCAAACGATGAAGTTCTCGATAATTTAATAATATTAGGCGGTACTCATGACTATAAGAGAATTAAGGAAGGATTTGATAAATACCTTTTCCAAAATCAAGATTATACTATTATAGCAAAAATTAAGGATTTACCATATTCACTAAATATTATTTATCTTAATTCACTTTGTGAATTAAATAACAAGTCTGAATGTCAAAGATTTATTAGCACATTGAAACAATTATATTCTTTTAATCATACCAATATAGATTTAATCACAGCCAAATATCTTATGATAAATGAGGATTTTGACACACTCGAGGTCCATTTAGATGTACTATTGAAGGATACGATGAATATCGAAGATTTCAGCAGAGTGAGTAAATTTCATTACGATTTTGAGGTATGTATTATCGACCAATGCTTTAGTCAAATAAATAAAAAGGTAATTCAGAACTCAAAATACAATTTTGAGGAAGTCATGAAGACACATCTCAAGAAATTACAGATGTTGACAAGAGACCATGCGATCAAATTGAATGATTTGTACCTCAGAAAATCCCCAAATAATGTAGGGATGTGGTTACGCAGAATTGATCTTTTTACAACATTAAAGGAAAAAATTGGTGTATATGTTCAAGGTATTTTACAAATAGATCCGTTACATGTCAGAGAACCAGGAACATTTGGAAGATTGTGGTGTAATTATGCACAGTTATACTGGGACCAAAATGATTTTAATTCGGCGAGAGAAATATTTGAAAGAGCCTTGAAAGTACCTTTCCCATATTTAAAGGATTTAGAACTTATATGGCTATACTGGGTAGAAAATGAATTAAAGTTGGGTGACAAGCAAAAGGTATATCTACTTCTTGAACAAGCCTTGAAAATACCGAAGAATCCTATGGCTGTCTTAGAACAGTACGAGAATTCATATAATAAGATTCCTACTAGAATGGTGGTTTTTCACTCTTTAAAATTGTGGAACCTTTACGTTGATTTATTAGAGTCCGAAATCATTGGTACACCTGGTAAAATTAGTGAGGAATATAAGAAAACTGTACAAATTTATGAAAACATGATACAATTAAAACTAATAACTCCTCTTTTATTTGTGTCCTATGCTAGACTGATTGAAAAATATGAAGATCAAGTTAAAAGTTTCCAAGTTTATAATAGAGCCATTTCTTCATTCCCGCCTGAAATAAAATATGATATTTGGTTATTATACTTAAATGAAGCAGTTGTATCGAATCTTTCTGTGGAGCAGGTGAGAGACTTGTTTGAGGAGTCGTTATCCCAATTAGTACCGAACCAAATAGATTGTATTTCTGTTTATTTATTGAATAATAAATATGAAGAGCAGCAAACTGGAGTGACTCAAGCTACGATATCAAAATTAGTAAGAAGTGCCAAGGAGCTGTCTGGTAAATATGTGGAAAGTAAGTTACAGTTATGGGATTTGGCATTAGAAAGAACTAAATCGCATTTCGGACTAGAAATGGCAAGACCTTTATATGAGGAATGTATCACAACTATTCCTCGTGAAAAATCAACAGAATATGTTACATCGTTTGCGCATTTAGAAGTTGCCTTGGGTGAGGTTATTCGTGCAAGGGAAATCCTACAGTATGGTGCTAAATTATTGCCCCCAATAAGAAATAACCACTTATGGAAGTATTGGGAAGAATTCGAGATCTCAAATGGTGATAAAGAAAAATATAAAGATATGCTAAAATATAAAAAGAAGCTTGAGGAAGAAATGAAGATTGATACAGAGAAAGTTAGTCAAGAAAGTACTAATATTGAATTTGTCGCATCAAAAGCAACAATTCATGCCAGTAGGACTAATGTAGATGTCTCCAACCCTGAAGAAATTAATCTGGACTTATGATAAGGTATATACTGCTCTAATATTTTATAGCATGTAACAATTCAGTACGCTGTACTATTTTCTCTGTTCTATACTCTGATGCAGGCGATTGGTTTTCATTAATTTTAGGAATTATCAACTATTGAAAATGGAAACGCTTAAGTTGACCATTTATGTGACGTTCTTAAACCCATACATTATTGGATGTCTGGATGTTATTAAAAACATTTGAAATATATTTTTTTAAAATTTATTTTTTTTGAAATTTTCGCGGTGCCCAATTTCAACTAGCATTTACACTTCCTGACTTACTTTTAGGCGGAAATATTTCACCCTCCCTCAAGGATTACAGCCTAACTTTTCAGTTTCTGGGCAAAAAACTGGCACTTCTTTAGTTCCAACAGGTGGGCTCACCCACAGTTCCAGCAGTAGGGATGTGAGAAGAGCCCTGTTTGAGGCCATCGCTAGCCTTCGATACCACATGGAATCTAGCTAATACTTCTCTTCACTTCTATCTAACTTGGTATTCTTTTACTGAGATACACTTGTATACCATAGTAAGTATCAATGTTGAAGTATTATCTAAAATAAAAACAGTAACTATTTCAACTATATACAACAAACTTATATTTAAATTTAGTTTAAATTATAATTATTATTCTTTGTTAAAGACGACGATAACAAAATAAGACAACATGCCTCCAAAGTTTGACCCAACTGAAGTTAAATACCTATATCTAAGAGCCGTTGGTGGTGAAGTCGGTGCTTCCGCTGCTCTAGCTCCAAAGATTGGTCCTCTAGGTCTATCCCCAAAGAAGATCGGTGAAGATATTGCCAAGGCAACCAAGCAATACAAGGGTATCAAGGTTACTGTCCAATTGAAGATCCAAAACAGACAAGCTACTGCCTCTGTTGTCCCATCTGCTTCCTCTCTAGTCATCACCGCTCTAAAGGAACCACCAAGAGACAGAAAGAAGGACAAGAACATCAAGCACAGTGGTAACCTAGCCCTAGATGATGTTATTGAAATTGCCAAGCAAATGCAAGAAAAATCCTTCGGTAAGAACCTAGCTTCTGTTACCAAGGAAATCTTGGGTACCGCTCAATCTATCGGTTGTCGTGTTGACTTCAAGAACCCACACGACATCATTGAAGGTATTAATGCTGGTGAAATTGAAATTCCAGAAAACTAAGAATGTCGTATATAATAAAACGCCAAAATATTCCCCATTTCCACATCATATCTATACTTTTAATATAAGGTTTTAATTTGATAAAGTCTTCGATACGTTTAATTTTTTGATTCTATTTTTTTTTTTATTATTATTTTAAATATCCCGTATTGGTAGTATCCAAGTAGAAATTATTGATAAAGATTATAGTCCTCGTAGTAGCTCTGACTACTTTATTTTACTTACAATTCTTAAATACAAGTTTGACAACACTCTGGTGCCATATAATCTGAAATTTTATTTCAGGTATATCCCGTATTTGGTTCCTATTTTGGCTCAAACAAGATTCAATTGACAATTACTCATCAAGATAATCCTTTCATGATTATATTGATCCATTTTTCACTCGTCAGAAATTTCTTTTCTTAATATTGCAGATTTTTATTTTCTCTTTCTTATTTATCTTGTACCTGTAAATAAGAATGTTTTATGTAGTTCTTATGTCTAGTGAACAATCGAGGTTAGACACGTAGATGTAGGGGTATTTGAGCTACCTCATTGGAGGCTCTCGATTTTGCTGACATTCTTATCCCAGATATCGATATCGGAGTCTAATGTAATTTAACACCGTAGGGTATGACCTGAAAATTAAAATCTATACATATATATTTTGGTGATCTGATGGCGTGTGTCATCTTCTACTTCATTTCAAATAGGTGTGAATACATATACTTCAAGTCATTGTGAAGGATATTAAATAAACCGTCAACTTCTTCAATGTCTCAGTTCACATGGAAAGATCTCATTCAACTGAACTCAAATGATAAATCTTACCTTTCGCCTTTATCGTGTATGGCACATGTCGATGTGAATGCTTTTTTTGCTCAAGCAGAACAAATACGATGTGGTTATACACGAGATGATCCCGTTGTGTGTGTCCAATGGAATTCGATTATCGCAGTATCATATGCAGCAAGGAAATATGGAATTTCGAGATTGGATACTATTGGTTCTGCAATGGAGAAGTCCGGTAACAAACTGATCCCTATACATACAGCCGTTTTTAAAAGAGGTGAAGATTATTGGAAATATCACGATGGATGTGGTTCATGGAATAAAGATAAAACTAAACGAATTCCAGCAAATCTATATAAAGTCTCGTTAGACCCTTACAGAAGAGAGAGTCGAAAAATATTCAGAATATTCCGTAAATATAGTGATAGAGTTGAAAAGGCCAGTGTGGATGAAGTCTTTCTTGATCTAGGAAAGTTGTGTTTTGAAAGATTATTAACCGAAAATATCTTATCAGAAGGTTCGGATAATTTTAAAGGTCTTAAAATATTAAGAGAAGTATTCCAGCAAGGTGAATATAACCTAGAATCAACCCTACCTTTAGTACCAGAGGAACTGAAACTCTTGAATTTTGTTGGAGACGTTTACAATCCTGAAAATACACCATTAATAGAAGACTGGGATGATGTTATATTTGCAATTGGTTCTCAAATTATAGGAGAAATACGAAAGGATATTGAGGATTCGTTGGGTTTTACAACCTCTGCAGGAATAGCAAGAACAAAATACGTTACTAAATTAGGTTCGAACTTTAAGAAACCAGATGCACAGACAATTATCTTAAATAAATTTGTCCAGGACTTTCTGGATGGAGAATCATTTGATATTACAAGTTTTTGGACATTTGGTGGGAAGATTGGTAATGAAATATGTACTATATTGAAAACCCCAGAAACACACAGTATTAAGTTTATCAGAGAAAATTGGCCCGATGGACCACAAAGGTTACATAATTATTTGAATGAACGAATCTCTGAATTATCAAATTCAGATGAAATCCACACATTAGATTCTTCCAAGACAGAGGCTCTCTCTCGAAAATTGTATGATATTTCCCGTGGTCAGTTCTTACTGCCCTTGAATAAGAAGCCAATCGTAAAATCCATGATGTCAAATAAAAATATGAGGAAGGATAGTTGTTGTAATATCATTCACGCTATTTCTTGGATTGAAGTTTTTTCCGGTGAGTTGACAGCAAGAATTAAAGAATTAGAACAGGAATATTCTAAACTAATTGTTCCTAAAACGGTTGTCCTCTTGGCTACTACTCTTAAAAAGAAGGTATATAGAAAGTCGGGACATTTCGTTCATAGCCACAACGGAATTACCTCAAAAGATTTTATTCAAGTTGGTACAAAATTAATGCAAGATATTGATAATGAATATTGTGGCTCTAGTAATTCTTCTTTTTATCCTTTATTAAACTTGAGTATGACAATATCTAATTTCGAAATATTTGACACGAATAAGACTATAGTAGATATGTTTGGAAATCATGCTCGAATCTTGACTAAAACAAACAACAGCATACAAGAAGTTAACGAAGATACACAGATTGAATCAAATGTATTGTTTTGCAAATCTTGTAACCTCAATTTTGAAACAAATAAGGGCTTCCAAGAACATAAGGACTTTCACGTAGCTCAGAAACTTTCAGACGCAATGAATGGAATATCAGAAAATTCTAAGAATCTTACGGTTGGTGAAAGACGTTTACTACTAAATAAAAAGAGGAAGTATCCTGATAGAATATCACCCAAATTCAATAAAAAATCAAAAGAAAAAGGTGGTTCGACACCCGGTATATTGAGTTTTTTCAAAAAATAAATATAAACAGATTTATCAAATGAATCTTGTCGTTCTAGTAAAATGAATCTTGTCATTATAGTAAAGCTTAATATTCACTCATTTTCGGTTAATTTGATTGTAAATACTTTATTTAACCGTGAGTTATAGAAAGCACAATTATTTTAGATATATTAACGAACAGTTTAGTGAGCGCTAGTCCTCTGAACTAAATGCGTTTTAGAAATTAGTTTTGATTATATTCAACTTCATAAAAAAATGAACTCGTCTTTTGCAATTATTTTAATTTTTTTACTTGTACTACTCTGTCATCTTATGTAAAACAATTAATATTTAGTAAACAAAAACATAAAAGTGATCAATAAAAAAAAGAAAAGGAAAGGAAAGTAAGAAGGAAATGCGTAATATTTAAATAAGCTAAGTACACCTTTTAAGTCAGTACCTTTTTATTAAGGTTTTGAAATTTCTCTGTTGCTAAATTTCCAAACAGTGAACCATCATGACAGAAATTATGTGAAATCAAGATATCTAAGATGTCCTAATAAGAACTAAACATTTTATTAGGTAATAGTCGTTTAGGCCATAATCGTTTAGGAAAAATAAGTTCATTACTTATCAATCGTTTAACCAACAATCGTTTAGGTAACAAATCAATTACTTGACAATCGTTTAGGTAATCAGTTTACTACTTAACAATCGTTTAGGAAACAATCGTTTAGGTAACAAGAAGAAACGAAACTTCGATAAAATAAATAATATATAAAGACAAAGAATTCTGAACTTACATTCTGAGTTAGATTCTGTTCGTTCTATAAATTATATACAATAAATAATCACTTACAAATATAAGAAAAATATAACATATACACTTTGCTTTCTTAACACACGTTGTCAAGCTAATACCTATATCTCTCTACCTGCCACTATATAATATGAACGAATATAAGTCTAACCACAGTATGTCTGCTTCAGCTCAGATCGATTATCGTATTAAAAAATGTCCGAATTAAATATAGTAAAGCTTGAAGAGACTAATAGAGGCAAACCCTCTATCTCAGATTCTCTACAAGGATATTACCTAATGAATTATTAAGTTAAAAACATTATTACCTAATTTTTACGTAATGAAATTATTAGGTAATAAATTGCTAATTAATGGAAATGTTATTACCTAATTATTACGTAATTCTTCATTCTTATTTGGATATTTGAGATGTTTCATTCCCACATAATTTCTGTCATATGGGACTGTTACATTTGATGTGAGCTGAAGCAGACATACTGTGGTTATACTTATATTCGTTCATATTATATAGTGGCAGGTAGAGAGGTTGATGGCATAGCTTGAGTTTTAATGTTAGGTAAGCAAAATATACTTGTTCTCTTTCTCTTATATTTGTAAGTGATTATTTATTGTATATAATTTACAGAACGAACAGAATCTAACTTAGAATGTAAGTTCAGAATTATTTTTCTTTATATATATTTTTATTCCAATCTCAATTGAGGTTGGAATTACGTTTTGTTTCATAATGCGATTAACTTTGTTTCATACTATAACGCGCTTCATAACACATTCGAGATATATTGATCCCACATAATTTCTGTCAATTGAAATTAAGTGTTGTGCATATTACTCTTAATTTCTGACATATATATTATTTATTTTATCGATATTTCGTTTATTCTTGTTACGTAAACGATTGCCAAGTAATTGATTTGTTACCTAAACGATTGTTAGTTAAACGATTGTTAAGTAATGAACTTATTTTTCCTAAACGATTATGGCCTAAACGACTATTACCTAATAAAATGTTTAGTTCTTATTAGGACATTTTAGATATCTTGATTCCACATAATTTCTGTCACTTTTGTCTTTAATTATCAGAGATCGCAATACATGAAGTTTATGTTGTATCTGAAATTGTAATAACTAAGTATTGCTACTTTCTATATTATAACAAGTTCTAATTAGTTAACTGTTGAATATGTAGCGGCAGCACTAAAAAGGCTAACATTAGCTTAACCTAACTGAAGGTGAAGGTAGCTAATATAAGTAGAATTTAGAGTGTGCTGCACTGTCGTATATATAATAACACATGATATATACTGCATAATGTAGTATTCGTTCCCCCTACATTGGGTTTATTGGAGCTACATAGTCCAACGTTACTATGCACAAAAGATGAGCAGTTTAACAACAGCAACTCTGTTTAACATTAACAACATAATAATAGTAATTAAATATAACCGTCTGTTATATTTTTGTCTTCAACCATCCGAGATCTCAATTCAACAATTCATAAATTTTAAGGCAACTTGGCCGAGTGGTTAAGGCGAAAGATTAGAAATCTTTTGGGCTATGCCCGCGCAGGTTCAAATCCTGCAGTTGTCGTTATTTTTAATTTTTGGGTTTTCCAAAATCGTGTTATACGAATGTAATTTATTCACTGTCTCATTATTCTTATACTATGTGATAGATATTAAATGTTCACGCTATAAATAAATAAGATAAATCCTGTTTATTTGAAATACTAATACTGAATATATTTTGGACCAGAAGATTGACCAACGTGGTACATGATATCAAGATATTTGATACTTAAGTAAAAGTTTTATTAACAAATTGTGTTTAAAACAAAAAAATAACAAGAAACTAATTCGATAACCTTTAAAAGTTAAAGGTTTACATTACAAGCCATTAACAAAAAAGCGTTGAATACACTTGATGTAAAATCAATTCAACAGTTACAGTGAAAAATATTTCTATGAACAATAACTCTACTCTGTACTTTACATGCAAATTTGGTTTTATAACATGTTACTTTAGACAGGAAGCTTCAAATTCCTTACAGCCAGTATGAAAATTAAGGGGAGCACAATTTTCTGCCGTATAAAATCATATTGACACCTCTGTAATAAAAATAGTTAATTTCCATTTTTGTTCATTCTGTGATATGGGGACCAGAATTAAAGAACAGTTGAAAAACAACAACTATATCCTATTATCAAAAAAACTGTTCCCACCAATGAAAGGAGAATAACATGCCCTCTCAATCTCTTACGAAAATTATTTTAATGAGGATACCACCAAGAACTTCGGCAAACAACGGATCCGTTATCATAATGCTCTTTTTTTCGACCTTCTCATTATAATAGAGAAGACAGAATTTTTAAGATTAACAATAAATTTTAATAGAGGGCATACTGATACGTTATATGCGAAAGCTTCTGAAAATAATAATTAGATGTGAAATTATTTATTTTTTTGCCAGAGACAATACTTATATAATTCAAGCAGACTACAATACTATTCATTATATAAGGGTATTGAATACGTTTACACCTGAACTGAATCTCTCAATTCAGTTACACTGAAATACCAGTATCACTCATTTTTAAAAACGTTGGAACGGTTATAACGAAATTACTTGCGTAGATCTCATTTTTCAATTTTTTGTATCGCTTGTTCTGTGTGCGACACAGTTTCTTCACCGCGTCGCGGGACAATAAATATTATTAGTTAATAAGGTCTGTCTCATTACCCTTTTCGGTTACATGGTGAGATCCGAGATCTAAGCGGACGAACCATACACATGCTCACAGACGTGACTATCTAAGAGGAGAACATGAAAAAAACATGTCCATATCTGGCATCTTCCCTTCTTGCAATGAATTTCGTTAGCGTAGAGTAAAAATTTCTTGATACAATAGTATTGCTACTTTCATGGGAAGCAAAAAATCCATTCAAATGCATGTTGATTGTTTTTTTTTTGATGGACGACAATATTATATATTATAAACAACATATCTTGACTTTTAATTCATTGAATTAACGATTCTCATCTTTCAGCAAACCAAATACATTTTTTAGAGATATTAACTTAACAAACTACGATTATCTAACATAATTGCATTAAATAGGACTGCCCCTTCTTAATAATTGAGAATACGACATAATCCTACCTTAATTTTGTTTCGTTTTATTAACCCTGTTCATTACCTCATGAATCTTAGGATCATATTCTTTTACTAATGGGCCATATATTTCGAAATAACTATATTGTACTAGCGACATTGTTGCTAAGCTATTGTCGTATAACATCAGCCGATGAACGTGCTTTTTATAATAATGAAACATCCTCAGTTGACGAGCTTCCACCATTATCATCATCATCTATAGACTCCCTAACAGCAAATTCAATATTAAGTAACACAGAGGAATCTTCCATAAGTACGATAAGGTTATCATCAATTTTAACCCCTACATCAGAAAGCTCTATTTACACTAGCACGCCAAACATAATAGTAGAAAGTTCAGTAACTTCGTTGATACCGTCTTCGCATATATCAGACTCCGTAGAAACATCATGGAACCAGTATTCTTCATATACTTCAAGTTCAGAATCTGCGACACAATCCTTAACTTCGTCATTCCAAAATCCATATTTCAACTCCACCGCATCGTCTGATTCGTATGTAAAACCAATAAACTCACAAGACGAAGTAGGTACAACTTCACAAGTTGCTGGTACAACAATAATAGAAGTTACAACCACATTACCGGATCAGACTGTTATAATAGACACGAATACAGTAGATGGACAAAATGATGGTACACAAACTACAGTCATAACTGATAATAATGGGCAACAAACAGATATTGTCATTCAGCCACCAGTGGTGCAGACAGAAATTAATACAGACAATAACGATCAAAATAGCGTTGTATCAACTATGGAGATTGACAATACTCAGCCAGGTAATACCCAAGTTCAAATAACGACTGCAACTGAAGAATATAACCCCTATCATCCTGAAAGACCTCAAGTCAATAATGATGCTGACACCGCTACTGAACCTCAATATACTTTGCAAACTACTAATACAAATATAAACGCTGATACATACACTGATAGAAACCAGTACGTCACTACTAATTCACAACCGCAGAATACACAAGAAACATATAACACTAACGACCAAGGTGCAAAAAATACAAATGGTAATGCGGGCACAATTAATAGTGGTGAAATAATTGCAACTAATAAACCTACAGTATCCCATATACCTCAAGCTTCACAGGTATCAGAGGATTCCAAGGGGACACATAATACATATGTATCAGATGTAAAAACTGTAAACAATCTACCAACCACAATGACTCCACAACAAAAGACTGACAAAGATGGTATAAGTCAAACAGAGGAAGGCGGTAGTAAAATCATTTTAAGCGACGAAACTGGGATACCAGTTGATAGTACAAAAACTCCAAACACACTTAAAACTATGGAAACAACAGCTATATCACAGTTAGGGGTTCATACTTCTGCAAAAATTGATAATAATGCTGGTACTACTAGAATCTTGGACAAATCACAGTATGATGGTAAGAGTACTCTGACAATTGCAAACGGAGTTACACAAGCCAGTTCGAAAGACAAAGTAGAAACTGCTGGAAACACGGTTAATGAAAACCAGACTGGCTATGTCGTCTATTCCAAGGATTCGAAGGCCACACACGTTAAAGATGGTAGTAATACAATAACAGCTACAAAAGTTGGTGTAACGGTTGCTACTAATAATAAAGACTCCGGAGTATCTGGTAAAAATACAGCGAATAATGTCGTTTCTAAAACCCCTGATAAAACAACAGAGACGAACAACGGAATTGCTGGAGCTGTTACCGGTACAAAGACCAGAGGCTCATCAAAATTCAAAACAACCGTTCCATACACTTTATCTGCTAATAATGACTGGCTTCCAAGTAGTATAATTGTTCAAACAACAAAAGCCTCAAAGTCTGTTAGCTCGTTGAACCCCTCTTCTTTCCCCACATCTCTACCAGCAGCCATTGCTGCTGGAGGTGAAGTGTCTGAGCCATCAAACACTACTTTAGTTACAATTGGTTTTGGTTCGGAATTAAACTATAACTTCTTGGTCGAGAATCCATTATCTTCTGCACAAATTTTCAATTTTCTTCCTGAAGCATTACTCTATCCATTTTATGTCGATGAGGTATCGTCAGACTCTGATATCAAAGACGACACTATATCCTACGAATCTATTTTTGTCTCAATGACTGTATCTGATGGCACTACAACACTTTCTCCAACATCAACTTTAATTAAAAGAGCTGTAAGCTTCATAAACGATACTTCTGCACTTGCTCATATTTTATCTCAGTCGTCCGGAATTACCAACACCTTGGGGAATGTAAATAGATTTGTAGAGCAAACATCTACAGCAACAACTCAAAGCGGATCGTCCACTGCAACCGCCTTATCGACGTCTTCTTCTTCTGTTACCACTCTAGATGGATCTTTGATCAAAGTGAAACAAATATCACCATATATTGATCCCAAAAGAGATTATGTGGTATCTGTAGCAGAGGTTTACTTCCCTAGTGATTTTATTGATTCGCTGAGAGCTCATCTCGAAGATAAAGAATCTGTACTATACGACAACCCTGTTCCATCACTAAAATCATTAATGAACTTAACAGACTCATCTGTTGCTTTACAAGGTCTAGTCCATAACTCAGCTAATTCTGAATCTTCATCAGACAATTCAGAAAACAGTGCAGTAACCGAACAAGAAGTTAACCAAGTTTTCAAATCTTCAATAAAGAATGGTACTCAATATGGTTCATTAGATGTTACTGGTATTAAAGGATCGAGTCTATCGACATCAGTAAGAAACCGTCTAATAATATTTCTAACATGCTTAGTCTTCGGAACCTTTATGTGGGTGTTAGGTTTCTTTGCCTTATTCAGGTTCATAAAGAGAAGACTTTTCGCTCCAAAATCCATATCATTGGATAATCCACGTCATTCCATTGTAAACATAACCAAGATTGGATTATACGGTGATGATATTGGGAGTCTTTGGTCTGGTGATAGTTCCAATTCATCTGACAGTTTCAATGAAAAGGTCAAAAACATAATGGACAACAGAAGATCAAGACATAAGGGACTAATGAGAAAGTCACATAACGCAGATAACTTATCATTATGTTACAACAACTTCATTGAAAATGCCAACGGTGATACATTAATAACAACCAACGGTAGGGAGTTTTCTCCAGTTAGCCATGAATTTGCAGATTACACTCATCAAACGATATCTATATCTAATAGCTCTCAATATGGAACCGTCAATGATTCCTTTGATTTTGAGTTGGCAAATACACACAATAATCCATTTTCTGACAACTATAGATTATCACCAAGATCTAAGACTATCGACCTATTCAGTGATGATCTGGACGAGAATTTTGAAATTGGAGAAGAAATCGAGGAAGAAGAAAGTGTTGCTGACATATATGTAGCAGAACTTGACGACCTCGACGAAGAATTATATAAAAATCTAATGGGAACAATCAAGGGAAGGGACCCTAATGATCCACTTTCAGTCGAAGCCAAAAAATTGATGGCACAAATTGGTAAACAATACCCTAATACTGATATCAAACCAAAGGTTGACATGTAAGCATAAAACCATTTATTGACTCATTCTATTTCAAGAACGTGCTTTTAACCCCACGCTTAACATTGACACAAAAAATATTACTTATACTCACACAATTATACATTCCTTCAACATCATATAATAAATTGCATTTACTCTTTATAATACCCAGTATAGAAAAACATTCACATATATACATATATATATTTTTAATCTATTACAACTAAAATTAATCATTAAATTGGTTCATGACATCCACATTCTGGATGATTTTATATTATCGAATCTTCCCATGTGAGCACCGCTTATGAAACGGCGGAAGCAAAAAAAAATATAAATTTTCTGATGTCAAAAGCCGGTCATCTTATTTATTTAATTAAAGATCCATCTTGCCAGGAAGGCAGGTATTACAGGTGACATATTTAGTGAAGAAGGCTATCTGGTCAGTCACTCTAAGTGAACAAACTAAAACTCTACGTAAATTTATTGAAAGGTTAATCTTACATATTTTCCTTCTTTCTACATGACCAAAGAAACGAAAGTTACTAAAAAACAAGGAAGGTGGAGAAGAAGCTATAAGGCATGTTTAAGTTGCCGAGCTAGAAAAGTCAGATGTGATCTGGGTCCTTTTGATAACCCACACCCTCCACCTTGTACAAGATGCAAAAGAGAGCAGAGAGAGTGTCTATTTACATCAAGGAACAGAGAATCGAAACATATTGTATCCGAAGATGTTTCACCTGTTACAGATTCTGTTATCTCATCAATGACCGAATCTGCCACCATCTCAAAAGCTGATAGTAACAATAGTAATATTAGTGAACCAACAAATGTAAATGTGAATAATAATATAACTAGACAAAATAATATGGCTCTCTCTAATGTAATCACTAATGACACTAGTATTATGATATCAACTGATAACAACAATAATAAAAACACCATAAAGACTACAAGAAGTAATACCAGGAATGATAATGTTAGCGGAGAGCCCGTCAAAGGAACATCTTCTATTAATGGAAAATGGGGACTAGGTGTAACTTCTATGCAGAATACTTTGGAATTTCTGGCTAATGCGGCAGGTAGCGTTGCACAAGAGAAACAAAAAGGCACAGGAATAACGCAGGTCAACCGACATGTAACTCAACTTGAAACAGGTGCGATTCATCACAGCAAAGACTTATCTGGTAGACCGACACCTTTCCTTGATCCTTCAGATGAAAATATATTTGCACCACTATTACAAACATCTGGTTCTCAGAGACCAGCTTCTACTTTAATGGAAAAAGTACGGAGTGTAAGGCCCCAAACTGCTAATAAATTATCACATGTCGATTATATAGGTGACAATAGTTTACTCTCTGAAAGGGAAGCTATTGAATTGATTGATGCCTTTTTTTTGTCGATGCATCCTTATTTTCCAAATATCCCTATTCAATTACACGATGCCCAAGAATTGGCAGAGTACCCAATATTATTATGTGCCATACTAACAGTATCATCACGATACCACTCATTTACTGAATTCGGACTTAATAATGGTGACGATAATAAGCGTAATATAGATGTACATGAGAAATTATGGAGTCATTGCCAATGGATGATATCCCAAACAATATGGGCTGAAGCAAGTACAAGGTCTATTGGTACTGTCCTAGCGTTTATAATATTGACGGAATGGAACCCCAGACAAATCCATTTCAAAAAAGCTGATTATGCTAATAATTTATACAAGATAGTTGAAAAGAATGACAAAGAAATACCTACGGGTATTGGTGCAATTAGACGTAGTGACAGAATGGCTTGGATGTTTACAGGTACTGCTGTTAGATTAGCACAAGACATGGGTTTTATTGAGACCAGTACGAAAATATTTGTTGCTACACACATATCCGATACCTTTTCAAGCATTAATTTGAATCAACGACCTGTGCTTGCGGATACTTTCAGTGGAACTAGTCTAGGAATGAATAATACTAGGGCCTCGGGTTATAAAACTGATTTAACTAACGTGGATAATGGGGTAGGGAATGAGAAATTCTTCCTGGATGAAATCTTAAAAAATGATGACAGTAAAGAAAGATGGAAAAATGTTTTAACAAATTCTGGAAATAGTTCGAACGATCAGAATTGCCCATTGACTGATCTTGAAAGGGAGTTTCTGAATGATGAATATACCCTATATTACTCCAACAAAGGTGATGATATATATGAACAATTTACGCCTTTGCCATTTGCACTGAATTTCTCACATGCTCAGAGAGCCAAAATAGAATTGGTCAGAATAACTCTGGTGGCTTATGAAACAATCTATTATGATCAAGGGAAAAAGAAAATGTCTTCAAACGATCAAGTACATAACTTAGCTGTTCTTGACATCCTTTCTCCTCTTTTAGATGGATGGTACGGAAATTATCGTGACCTACTGAAACCTGTACCAGAGATATCATATGACATCAACATTAGAAAGAATAAGAGAGCCGTGTATCAATTGAGCCAAATAATTAATCGTGAGAGTATCCTTTCAGATTACTATTATTGCCAATTATACATATATTCTCTTGCATTACAAGCTGACAATAAAGAAGGTTGCAATGGAAAATTAAGAATTAATGAGATTATAAAAAGTGCGAAATACGTTGAACTGGCATATGTTGCTGCCAAAGAAATCTTAGACTCAGCATCAAGAGTACATAAGATAAAGATGTTGAAATACATGCCAGTTCGTTGGGTAATAAGAGTCGTCAGATCCGTTTCATTTATGGTGAAATGTTATTTAACATTGACTACCACTAATGGCGCTCAAAGTAACGATTCACAATCTATCCTTAAATTATGTTGTATCTCACTAGATGAAACTATTAATATAATCAGAATAGCGGCTTTAATCCTTAAAGAAGCTACCCCTGATGAACTCCATCTATGCGTTAGATATTCGGCAATATTACTTTATCTATGTAAAGAATTGAAGTTAAAGAAGAAAAGAAATCAAGACTTACTACTTTCTCGTGGTGTCATCGTCAATGAAGGTAATTTAACTGAGAGAACCAAAGTTAACCTGAATTTTAAAAATAATGTAAGTAATGTCGCAATGAGTTCATCAAATGTTGGTAATAAAGTTGGGACCAAAAATATCTCCACAAATGTTACAAAGGGTGATGATATTCCTGATCCTAAAAACACTCTACCACACTACACTGGGAATAACTCGTCTAATTTTAGTTTAATAAAGGTTAGCAACGAAGATGAAAATAATAATCCTAATTATAGGGATATTACCAATTACCAAACAAATTCAGATTTAGAGCCCAATACTAGTATACTTAACAGTGTCGATTATAACAACAGCAAAGATAACATAACATCCCACGCGAACATTACCATTTCGGATAACGATGCGGGATATTTCCAGTCGTTACCGGATCAAGTCATCGACTGGTTCGCCGTTAGGGATGATATTGGGTTAGATTTTGTAGAACCTTGGACTCAAATGATAGAACAACAGTATTTGCAAAGCAACAATGATGTATTTTCTGAAATCGAGAATCAACCCTTCTAGGTTCAAAAAAATAATTGTTCTGGAGAAATTAAGATCACAAACTCAAACGGTAGAATAGAGATGACTTTCGAAATGAAAAATGACAATGAATATATATATATTCATCAAAATAAGAACAACAAATAAACGGCCTTTCGATACTTACAGCCGAAATGTTGACATTCCATATATTTCTCTATTAACTATTTTCATATATTCAAATTTCGAGATTACTACTATACACACACCAGAGCGTAATATATATATATATAACAGAAAGAACCATTTCCAATAGTTTCTTCGTCGTATTTGGGTGCAATAAACTTTGTCTTGATAACCAAATATCTCACTTTGCCTACGAGAATCTCGTTGGTATGTGGCATAATAAAAGTGGGGTACGGGCGTTTCTGTTGCCGATGTGTTCTTTTTTCACATTAGTTTTTGATATGTGCGGTAATTTCTTAGGACACCAAGTGCAGGATTTTCAAATAATTAATACTTGAGATAGCAATTAGATAATCGTTTACTAATGAGAATGTGTTTGTTCTAATGGATTGGGATGACGATTGAACTAAATCCACGGGATGAACCGGAGATATATATGAGATACTAGTACCTGTTTACTAATATTATTTTGATCAAATTCGACTTCGGGGATATTTGAACCGTCGTATTTCTATTTCTTAAGTTTTTTATAGTTATTTTTTTTATTGTTGATGAATACAATACCATATGCATAACGATAGGGATTACATAATTTTCAATGGAGTTTCTATTAGATATATCTCAAGCAAAAATTTGTTCAGAAAAATATGAGGTTTTCTTTCTTTCTTTAAAATAACTATATATATTGTAGTAAGGAGAAGAAAGGAAAGAAAAGGAACACTTTTCAACTTACATATATAGCTGTAAATTTTGTTCATGACATTAAATGTAAAACATCAAAACCGATATCAAAGATTACTAGGAACATAGTTTTTGTATCAAACAGAAATACCAGGGTTCAAGTTTTATTGGTGTACCATTATTTACCTTGCGATTATTTTTTTTTTGCATTGTCCTTTAATTTCACTCCTAAAACTATTTTGGAATATGAATTGTAGTACTGAAGTAGAGACACAGCAGATGCCAAATGGTTTATGGTCGTGGTACTTATCAAACCTTAAAGAAGGGACCTTTGAACAGATTGTAGCTGATGAACAACGATTGACCAGAGTAGAAAGGGAAAACACTTCATCTGCTGTCAATTTGATTATATCTGTCCCAGAGACTTCAGTTTCGCCGGATACGATAAATATTCTTACAGAAATTTTTGAAAAGTATATCCCAGATAATTCTGTCGTAGATTTAGAAGAGACCACAACTACAAATGAACATTTATATGTTATCAGGGATACTTATAATAAATTTCTTTATAAATATAGGATAGAGTCTATCAAGAATGATCTGCTACCCTTAATTAAACCATCGCAATTACAGTTAAAATTACATCAACCTTCACCACCTATGTCTGACGAAAATGAGAATAGTCAACTTTTGACTGAAAACTACATGGGACCAATTTTAAGTGATATAAAAAATGAGATGATTAGAGTTAGTGAAGACTCAGAATACTCCGATGATACAGAAGATGAAGATAGTGGTGCAATCATATTAAATTTTACTAGGAAAAGTCGATCTGGCTCAAGACCTAATTTCGACAAAGAAGATTTTTTTACACCTTTAGAAAGTGAGGTTATATCAATTAGTAGTTTTGAAAATAATCTCACAATGGATAGTGACTTAGGTAGACTGGAAGAATGTTCTTCCTTGAAAAGAGTTTCTGCAAATAATGGAAGTTCAATACTTGACAGAATAGTGACTTCAAATAAAGCTGATTTAAAATTAGTTGGTGCGATTTGTAAGGGTGGAAGGGAACCACATTCCTTTTCAACTGCTATTCGTCAAGGTTTTGGTGAAGACTGGGTACTCTATGATGATGACTTCGATTTGAATAATTTAGAATATTGCTCATTGGAAGAAGTTCTCTATGGAGATAGAGAGGTAACGACACTCATCTTCACAATAAATTTATCATTAAACTGATTCAGGTTAGAATCAATTAAAACAGCATTGCAAAAATTAGGGGAATATTTATATATGTAGACATCAGTAATTATCAATTATATAAATATCGGTATAACTACATTCGGAGAAACGTTTATGTGGAAGAATAAACAAAAAACAATAAAGAATTGATTATTTCATTAATGGTACAAGAGGATTTTATTTCTCTCTCTCTCTCTCATTTAGAACTCACTGAGAGTCTGATTTAGAAGAGCATGGGGCATACATGACTTGAGTTATAAATTTACCTGCATATCTTGTCGTACAACCAACACAAATAATCTCATCTTTAATTGAACTTGTCAATAGATGATTCAAGTTAACATGCGGTATTATATGGTTAACCTCGTTGTTAAAGTTTTTATTCAAATAATTTGAATTCAAATAAACTGGCAATTCTGCAACCTTAAACTTTGTTAGGAAGAATTTCTCTGCTTCATCCGCATTCATCTTCGCAACTCTCTGCATGTTGGCAAACAATTCATCTTGATTACACTCTACAACTTTGGATAATGTCATATCAAATGGTGCACTTACATCAACTGGCTGGGATAGAGTTCCAGTTAAATCTGTGTCGAATTTAAATAGTTCTGGAATTTCATTACTATACGCTGGTTCTTTTGGAGTTAAAGGTTGTAATGCATTGAAATAATTGGCAATTCTTAAGGTTGAACCGGACGATTTATTAATCATTGAGTTTGACCTACTAATACCCGCATAATCGGTTAAAGAAGCCGTTGAATATGTCCTCTGGGCGTTATTCTTACTATTATCATCATGTAAGTTTACTGAACTGGAATTTATCTTATCATAATCACGGTATGGTTCAATTTGTCCATATCCAGGAAGAACCTCAAACCAATTAACTACACTACCTAAAGTATTAGTTGCTGTTGGTAAGTAGTTAGAATGGGTTAAGTTACCGTTAATAGAAAACTGGAATCTGTAAATACCTGGTGGTAAACACAACCCTGGTAGAAACCATTCTTTTTGTTTTGGATCATAAATCATATGCAATCTACATTCTTTCTTATCGATGTCGTGCATTTCATAGTGCGGATGAACAGCTAGTAACGTAGAGACTATTTCCTTTGAGATGACATAAATTTTAATGTCAGCAATATCAGATATTTGATCTCTCCATTTCAGAATAACTTCAACATCTTCCTCGTCCTCATCCATATAAGAGTCAGTTTCTGAGGAATAAGATGACTCTGAAGTAATTGTCTTTTTAATTTTTAATTTTTCATTTTCTAAAGTAGTGGAAGGGTTCGTTTGAGATATTTCAATTTGTTCAGATTTCTTTATAGCATCAACTTCTTGTCTTCTCCTTAGGGATTCCTTGAAATCCACGTCACTATTATTGTTATTAGTGTTTAATGAATTGTCACGTTTATAAACCTCATTAGCTTTATCGTTTTTAATTTGTGCATCATTATTATACAATTTCATCATAATTGCTGCAGTAGCAGATATCTTTTGTTTTTCCTTTGGTGTAGTAGATTCCATGACTGGTTCTCTTTTCGTTTCCTTTGATGATGTCATTCCTAATTTACTACTACCAATATTCCCACTTGACATGGAGTCGTTTCTTTTCCTTTTCATGTCACGTTTAACCACATTTTGAAAGATAGCTTGATTAATTAGTTTATCCTCATTTTGTAAGACACCTGCATCTTCATCAATACTATTACTATTCTTATCACTCGTCAATGGGAAATATTCATATTGGTATGGGTGACTTTGTTTCTTACCATAAGGGGTTCCATTAATAATGTTATCATCCACTGTTGTCCCAGCAGAGTGAGGAATCGTTATATGATTATTATACATTGATCCCGATGTCGAGTTTACTGATGCAGCGGGAGTCATTGTTGTATCTGTTGTATCCAATAAATTTTGTTTTAAGGACATTATAGTTGGATTATCATTATCATTATTATTATCATTATCATTATCGTTATCATCATCATCATCATCATCATCTAAAGTTGTTGCAGGGGCAGTATTAGATGCAGTATTATCTAAAGCAGTTTCATCTGTTACTGTATTTACCACGCCTGAACTATCCATAGGAACTTCTTCAGTCTTTGGTGTCAATACATGATCTGTATGTTGTACAGTCGGGTCACTATGACCTGGGTTAACCAACGAGATGGTATTATTAGTGTCTGTATGAAGTGATAAATTTGCCATATCTTCATTAATATTCCTTGTGGAAGATTCTTGAGGTTGAGTACCTTCTTGTTCTTCTTGTTTTTTATTCAATGAAAAATGTCTTTTGAAGAAACCTTTATAGTCTCTGTGATGATTATGATGAGGTGATTTTGTTGGACTTCCTGTTGTTGATGATGAACTCGTTGACATTATTAAGGAAAAAGGGATAATGATGTTGTCAAAAGGGAGCAGAGAAGCAATGCAATGCAAATAGTAGTGATAGTAGTAGTAATATCAACGTTTTTATATAGGATAAACAGAATCCAGTCTAATTTATATCAATAAAAAATAATGCACGATCAATACGATATAATGGTTAATATAAAATGTGATCAACACACTAAAAAGTCACCAATAATAATATTATTAAACGGATACAAGTTAATAATCAAAAAAAAAAAATATGTTGACAATATATCAGGAGATCTACCACGAATAGTATATTGGAGAAGACCTAGTCAACTATTTTTTATCTTTGTGTGTCTATTTTCGAACTTGTTTAACTTTAAAGGAAAATTAATACCGTATTCAAATTTTCCTATAGGAAACAATGTAACGATTAATGTATATGAGTGAAATAAACAAACAAACAACCAAACCAGAATTAATTCAAAATACAGACATGCACTAGAATCACAATGCTGGCAACTATAACTTAAACGTAATTCCCATGGTTGTAGCCTCTTCCTAATCCAAAATAAAAATTATTTCACTTTGCTAATCGATCATCGTCAGCAAACCTCTCTCCCCCCTCTCCCCACGCCCACACAAAATTTTCAATTGCGGACAGAAAAGAAGCGTTGTCGTTGTTTGCGGTACCTTCCAACGGGAGCTGAGAGAGATTCGCTTTCGGTACTGCCGTTCTGGGGCGCTTGTTACGGGTTGGCGATCACAATTGTGAGTGCCTTGGCAAAGGATACCCAGTTGAGCAGTCGGTGCCCATTAGAGGTAGGCAAATGAGCCCTTTCATGTATGTATATATGTATTCGTGTCTATTTATATATTTGTGTGTGGATGGCTAGGACAATATTTGTTTCCTCAGGGCAGTGTCAAAGTCTCTAGATTTGATCGTTATGCCTTCGTCCGAGTAATTGATCTTTGTCATCAGTTCGTCACACAGATTGTCGATATCCACAGCGGAATATTTGGGTAATGTGGTGATATGTCTCCATAGATCGGCACATTTCATTGTATTGCCAGCATTGTCATATGGTAATACCACCTTATTGCAACTTTTACCATCGCAATCTGCTGCACATGCTGATGCAACTGTGGAGTCGCCTGTGGCCATGAAGTTCTTGTCTCTAAGGATAGAGTGTATGGATTCATCGTTGATGATATGTCTTGTAAGAAGCTCACATTTAATAGGTTTGCCATTGTTAAAAACGGGATGCTCATGTTCATGCTCGTTTTCATCCTCATTATGATGACATGCACAATCTGGTGTGGGTTCAGAACAACTTGCATTGTCAGGAATATGCTCTCTGAATAAAACATTGTCCTCCATATCAGGGAAAGCTAACGAAGTGTTTAAGAAAGACATGAACTGAGGTCCGTTACCATCATTTGTGCTAGTACTAGTCTTATTATTATTATTGTTATTATTATTATTAGCATCACTAACGGTTGTCTTCATTTGTGGAGGTACGTCAAATGCATATTGAATAGCTGCCAGATCATTCCCATCAACAACACTGGATTGCGTGCTTGGAATACGATCTGATACCGATGCTGTAAAGTTGTTGTTCCATGTATTACTCAAATTGTTTAATGTGAATTGAGGAATAGTTTGTCCAAATGCACTCGATTTATTGTTATCTATTGGTGTTGCAGTAGTAGCAGTAGTAGCAGCATTATTATTACCAATGTTACCATACATTGAAAATATGTTAGTGTTGTTACTTATATCAGGGAAACGATTAGTCATATTGTATTCAGAATTAATATCAGAATGACTTTTTGTGCTGGCGGATAGACTAATATCGTTGTTATTATTACCAAATTGATAAGAAGTGTCAAATGAATAGGCTGCATTGAACAAATCATCAATGATATCCATATTACTACCAGCACTGCTGCTGCCACTGCTGCTGCCACCATTACAACTGTTGCTGTTGCTGTTGCTGTTGCTATTATTACTATTACTATTACTATTGCAGCCTCCCGAACATGCACCACTGATATTGTTATTATTCGATACCCCAGTTGTGTTCATATAGTTGTTATTACCCATTGCTGCTGCAATATCTTCTGCTGCGGCAGCCGCAAATAAAGATTGTTCAGTAATACCCTGGTTATTATTACCATTGTTCGAATTTATCGACATCGGAGAATTCGATGTATCTGGTGTATATATTGGTTCTGGCTTAATACCGATGGGTTCATCTCTTTTCAAATTCACTGGAAGAACTTCGGTTTGTTGAACTCCATGAGGCGATGATAACGTTGTTGTTGAAGCATCTGTTGATTGAATACCCTTTGGATTATCTAAATTTGCAATATTTTCATCTTCTTGAATATTTTGAATTCTTAATTCTTCTTTAACAATATTATTTCTTGTTAATAAATCCAAAACTTGTAAATCCTTTTGAGATTTTGGTCTAAATTTTGTAATTTCATTAATTAAATCATTCAAATGATTCTTTAATAATTCACTTTCATATTCTGAGTGTTCATTAATCTTTTCCAAATTTGATATTTTACTTTCTAACGATTTCAATTTTTGTTCTTTACGTTCTCTAAAGGCTCTTTGAGCTGCTCTATTCTGTGCTGTTCTTCTATTCTTGGCTTCTGTATCAATTTTTTTCCTACCAGGTCTGCCTACTTTCCTTTTAGGTTTCTGCACTGAAGCATCATTACTTATTGTATCTGTATTCATGTTCTTCGTAGTAGCGGCCATGTTTACTGACCTATATATTACTGTTATGGATCTCTTTATTGCAACTAATGAGAATATATCCTAAATAAACAGTACCAATATCTCTATATGTTTATATAGAGAAAGTAGATCTTTTGTTCCTTACGCATCGTATTATATCATCGCACCGCGTTAAGACACTCGCAAAATATTTTCAGTCATATTTTCGGGTGTCCGTTCTTAGGAGAGACTCGTGATTGATAGATGGAATATACCGTTGATACCACCAGTGAATGTCTTATAGATTATACTTAAGTATATATATATACATATATATATATACTGATTAAAATAGCTATAATTATTAATTTATTATTGTATTTTCTTGCAAAAGTGGTATCATAGGGTCTTAAAGATTAGAAAAGCTAGTGGACCAATGTAAAAATATATAAAATTACCCTTTTCATGTGTAACATAAGAACCGAAATTCTTACCGACAATCACATGCCAAGTATTACCATATTTACTATCTAATTGATGTTTAATACTAGCCGCGATCTCTCTTTCTAGATCGCAAGTATTTAGTGCATCGACACTAATCTTAAATATATCTTCTTTCAATTCATCAGACTGTATATAATATGCAATAAAAAAGGGGAACGGTTAGTAAAAGAAAAGCATTGAAGTTAAAATGATAGTTTCATCAGGAAAATCATATAAAAGTAGATTGTGTTTTTTAAAATACATACAATATCAGATGCCTTTAGGACTGCTGGAGTGAAAAAAAATTCAAATGTGTATATTGGTCTAACAACAACTATAACGGTCCTTATTATAATGTCAAAGAACAAAATAATAGTAGTCAGTAGCGGTATTATCAGTAGCAATAGCAACAATGTCTGTTAGTCAAAAGATTTATTAATTTATGCCCACTCCTCCCCGACCCTCATCTCTTGTTATTTTTTTTTACAAAATATTATACATACGTTCCTGCTGTTTTGATTCTGTACTCATTCTTTGCTTAAATTGTCTTTATTTTGCTAATACACAGATATATACAATAATCTTACCCAAAGCTTCAACTTATACTGTTGACAACCCTTTATTCAAATACTGAACTTAATCCACCTTGCCTCGATCTCATTTGATGGTTGTAACACAGAGAAAGAAAAGGTCAACATCCCATCAGGCTTTCCTCCCCGCGCCCATCACTCAAAATGCCCGGTATTTCGACCGTCGCGCGCCGTGAATTCAGAAAAACTGAAATTTCCCGTTTTTGCACCTAAAAGGAGAGCTGGATGTGAGTGTGGAGCTGTATTGCATTACCCTCTCGCATCGCCACTCACTAGCGCACTGGAAGTGGGACGGTAGCCCTATTTTTCGATATTGGGAGAATACTGGATATTTTTTGCCACCCTTTCCCCCACTGGAATGCATACACTCTTGCACATTTATATATCATTAAAGAAAGAATCATCAAGGTAGTATATCCTATATTATCTTATATCATTATCTCCTCACAAGCTGTGTCGTCAGTTTGCTTTGTTTTACCAAGTAAAGAAATAATATCATGTCTAACCACGAAATTGATACTATATTGAGTACTCTACGTCTAGAGGCGGATCCAGAACTATCTCCTTTATTTCAAGAGTTTGAATCCTGTTTTGAACAAAAACTATGGCATCAACTGACTTTGAGTTTGAAAAGCTTCTTTGAAGATGAAAGAGCCATTCCTTTACGTCTGAGGTTGTACGATACATTCGTCTCTAAATTTATTGATAAGATTAATCAATTGAGTGTGATCGAATTCTTATTGTTGTCCTTAAAGAATAATTCCAATTATGATGAATCGATAAACTATTTGAATCAATTGAAGGACGTCTTTAAGACTACTGATGAAAAGAAAACAAGAAATGATGGGTTACCAAATCATAACGATGGCAATCTATTGATTGATATTGAAATTGCAAGAATATACTTATTCCAAGGGGAATTAGTGAAAGCAAGAGATTCTCTAGATGAATTTAATAAGATTCTAGAATCGATTGATACTTTACCATTAATTCTAGTTAATACTTTTTATTCGGTGAATGCTTTATATTATAAATTAAAGAAAGATTTTAACAATTTTTACTATACTTCTTTATTATTTTTATCTACAATGGATAAAGATTATGAAATGGATTTGACTTCTCAAGAGAATAGAGAATTAGCATTCGATTTAAGTATTGCTGCTCTATTAGGTGATAAGATTTATAATTTCGGTGAATTACTACAACATCCGATAATGTCAAGTATTTCAAATAATATCGAATTCGATTGGTTACTGAAATTATTAACAGCTTTAACAAATGGTGATTTTGAAACTTTCGATTCTATACTTAATTTACAAATTCCAAAGACTGCGATATTGGCTGAACATGAACCATTCTTAAGACAAAAGATTTGTCTCATGACTTTGGTCGAAAGTGTATTCTCTAGAAATATTAGAACTTTATCTTTCGATGATATTGCTATTGCTACACATTTGACTAAAGATAATGTCGAACATCTTGTAATGAGATCTATAAGTTTGGGACTATTAAAGGGTTCTATCGATCAAGTCAATGAAATCGTAAGTATCACTTGGGTTCAACCAAGAATCATAAGCTTCAACCAAATTGAAAAAATGAATGATAGATTGTATGAATGGAATGATCAAGTATCAAGATTAGGTGAAAAATTAGAAGATCGTGGAAGATCTATTTGGGTGTAAATCATCATTAATATATATATATATATATATACTTACATATACAACAAATAGAAATTGTATCGTTTTATTGTTTGTCTCTTTTTTTAAAAGTGAAGTACGAATATACATAAAATAATATTTATATATATTTATTTATTTAACAACGGTATATGCTTTAATACATCATCTAAATGATATTCTTAGACTTGAAGAAGTCTCTTAAGTATTTTAATTGAAGAACACCGAGACAACCTAGAACAACAATGATTAATAGAGAAAACTTAGTGACTCTGGAGTTTGTGGATTCATTAGTATCTCTTAATCTTTCTTCTCTGTTTTTCAAATAAGCTAATTCATCAACAATTTCATCTGTTAATTCTTCAATTTTACGTAATTCTAATTCAATTGGCTTTAATTTATCATTAGCACTAATGGAATTCCAATCACGAGCTTCAGAACCAGTCTCGATATCCAACTCAACAGATCTACTCATAGCAGCACCCTTGATTTGAGCCATGTTCTCTAAACAGATATCCAAGGAAGTAGTAGCTTGAGCTGTCAAGGCAATACGAATGTCACCCGCAAAATCTCTCTTGTTACGGTATTCGTTTCCGACAGAGTCACGAACGTATAGATTTAACATTTGACCATCACCGACGGAACCATCAGAGAAAAGATTGATGACCACTAGTTGACCTTGTTGAACGAAATCACGAACACAGACCAATTCAGAATGATGATTGGATGGAATGTCGAAATGTAGACCACAGATCAACTGGGCAAAGACAGCTAGTACAATAGATAAACCTAGAAATTGCATCTTCGATATATTCTGTTCTTTTATTAAATATTTTCAAACAATGAGATTATGAGAATGAGTAGATTTTCTTTTTTATTTCTCTTTATTTTGATTTGAAGATCCTAATTTCAGTAAAATGGTATTCACTCAGTTACGCCAAACAACAAAAAAAAACAGTCTTTGAAAACCTTTTATGCTTTATAAAAGTACTACAGTATTTAATAGTTACTATGATATATATATTTATATGTAACAAATTCACTGAATTACAAAGAATTCAATGGTTCAACTCACCAGAATGTAAATAACATAACGTTCACGTTAGAGAAGTGCTTTCCAACTGAAAAATTCCACCAATAATTTGTTCACCAAAAAAATCCTTTAAAGCGCGTTTCACTGCTTCTCGCTTGGTTTCTTTGCAGACAAACACGGAGGGACACGTAAGAAAATACTTTGACTTTTTGCTATATTTATATAAGAATATGTCTCTAGTTAGTGACATATGGATGGGATGGGGGACACAGAGCTCAATAGAAGTGGACCTTTTCCCAGTAACAAGTTATCTTGTCAATTTTGATATTCTAATATTTACATGAATATATACTTAAATGCTCTAAAATTATGTAGATGGTATTGGATGACGCTAAATATGATAATCACTGTTCTACATTTACAATGTTCCATTGTGGTGCGACGGTCTTATTTTCAAGGATTGGTCCAACTACGACTTCGTAACCTGTCTGACCATTTAGATATTGATCAGTAACACGATCGATATCGTTCATCGTTACATCTAGAAGGTGTTCTCTCCTAGACTGTCTCATTTCGTCATTGATTCCATGATCAAAGTTCCAGATACCTTCGCCTCTTCTGCTCAATGGCGAATCAACCTCTTGGAATAAACGAAGTTTTGCATCGTTCAAATCTTCACTTTGTATTCCGAAGGATTTCTTGTATACTGCAATAGATTGTAATGGGTTCGGGTCACGATAACTGAAATAATTAAATGAACCATTGATAGCATCGTATTTTGCACCAGCACCATAAGCACCATTTTTCTCTCTAATTTCTTTGTGTAAATGTTTAGAACTTAACACACTGGATAAAATTTGTAAAGCTGCACCGTCCTTATTGATGAATGGAATATTAGTTGGTTTGGAAAGGGCTGTATGATGTGTTTGGAATGAAAAATTCAATAATGTTGGTTTCTTGTTTTCAATTAATGGGTAATTTTGAGTTTCTGAACCATTTACTGTTCTTCTATTATTTGCCTTTGCAAATTGTTCTTTAAATTTATCTAATTCAGAACTTACCTTTTCTACTTGAGTAGTTGTATCAGTAGTAATGAAGAATTGTAAATCTTGAGGATTGTGCTCTATAATAATTTCTTGTAATTGAACCATCTTATCTATTACCTCAGTTTGGAATTTCTCTGGATCATCGAGAATATTGGCCAGCTTTCCAATTAATTGTAACTGCTCAATACCTTGCAACGATTCGTTTATAGCATTTGTTTCACTGAAATGTGCACAAGCATAGCCCCTTGCAAAAACATGGCCAGAATCTGAAACTGAACTAACATTAGAAGAAGCCAACATTCTAATTAAAACTTTTAAGTTTTCACTATTGCTTTGGAAATCGGTTCTTAATAATAATTTCTCCCAAAACTCGACAATCTTATCTGTCTTTGAATTCAATGCCCAACCACTGAATAAGAAATTAAATTTTGGCTCAAGAGTCTTAGGGTCTGAGGTCACTGAATAATTGGCAGATATTCCACCTGTGTAAAGTTTTATTTTGTTCTCAATTTCACTGAATGGTTCATCTTTTGTCCCAAGACTTGTTAATGCGTCAACAAATAGGGGAATGTATGGGTAAAGTTCTAGAGGTATTTGATTGTTCAAAGTCTTCTTACCACGAATGTATGAAATCCCGTTTGTATCAGTGATACGTGCCATAATACTCTCATTATTCATCTCAATTGGGTATTTTTGGCCCTGTCTAGGGATATCTTCTAATTTCAATGAAGGTAAACATGATAAATCTTCAATTTTATTCTGCTTTTCATTTAAGATTTTACCACGTTCGAATATGATATTTTTATCAGAAGAATCCAAGGTTTGGATCTTCTTTTGTAATCTATTTTTCTCTTCATTCTCTAATTCACTTGAAAATGTTGAAGATCCCTCCATTGTAAATTGAAGTGTAGGTTTCTTGTAAATGTATTTTTTAATAATATCATAGAATAGGTTGTCGCCTCTAGCTTCCAAATCATTTCTAAACCTGTTTAAAGTCTCATCAAATAATAAGCCATTGAATGGATCGATGTTATTTGTCCATCCTGGGATGATAGAATATAGGATTTGTAAGCCAAAATCAGGTTTTTGATCTTTTTTACTCAATTCGATTTGTTGAATAATGGCTTCAATTTTAGTCTTATCGAATGGTGTTGCTAGTACTTCTTCAAATATTGTTTGTACCATATGTTTTAGACTAGTTGGATTCTCGATGCCTTGTACCCCAACTGTGAACATATTTACCGATGTGTTTGATTCAGCACCAGAATTCACAGAAAATTCATGACCTAATCCAGATTCAATTAATTTTTTATACATTATTGAGGATTGACCATCCATTAGAAGGTTTCCTAAAATTTTTAATAAAAATGTTTCATAGTGATCCTCAGGTGTTCCACAAATCCAAGTTAATGAACTTTTAAATTGTTTCTCTGATGGCAACATTGGATCAGTTTGTCCCTTTTTAGTCACCATCACGTCTTCCTTTAATTCTATTGGCATCAATTTGCCAATTTTACTGTTTCTCTTACCGAATAGTACAAATTCTTTATTTAATCTCTTCAAAGTATCTTCTAATGAAAATGTACCATATGTAAATGTCTTTGAATTTGAAGGATGATAATTTTTTCTTTGGAAATCCACCAGGTCTTCATACATCAAATCAGTAATCTTTTTGGGATCACCACCAGAATTATTTAATGATGGATAGATAGTCTGTTGAAATTGACTCCAAAAATAATAATCTGGGTTCGAAACTTGCCCTTTCATTTCATTATAGACAACACCTTTAAATCTAATATCTGATTTTTGATTTTCAATATCAGAATATTCCAATCTCCAACCTTCTTGATTAAAATCTTCTCTTTTCAATAAAGGATTCAAAGTAGCATCCAAATAAACATCTCTTAAATTTGCAAAATCTTTAACATTAGTAGTGGCAAATGGGAAAAATGTATAATCTTGTCCCGTCATCGCATTCATGAAATTAGCTAACGATTTATTCAACATCTTAAAGAATGGATCATGAACAGGATATTTTTCGGATCCACACAACGTAGTATGTTCAAGGATATGAGGTACACCTGTAGCATTTGGTGGATTTGTCTTAAATGCAATACTGAAAATATTATTTGCGTCATTCCGATCTATATGAATATGTTCAGCTCCTGTTTGTTGATGATATAAGTCCACTGCTGTCAATCTCAGTTCTGGAACAGGTAACACTCTTCTCACTTCATAACCATGAATAATTCCACCAATAGGGTATTTTCTTAAAATTTTAGCTTGCTCATACGTTGAGGCAAGTCTCTTGAATCGTAGCATTATAAGAACTGTACAGATATCTACGTTCAATATTCAGATCAAATATAGTTGCTAACAAAATACACTTTTACCACTAGTTATGATATAAAGATTCTCCATCCTGTATGTGAAAGGGTATTCGATGTGATCACTTTCTTAAATCCGTTTAAATACTAATTAATAAGCCCACAAGCACGTGACCATCTGTGCGGGTAACATGTGTGAACAATAGTAAATCATCTTCCAATCAATTGATACAGCAGGTTCCAATTAACTGTTGAGATTATTATCAAGCTCAAACCTGAGCTTATATATAAACTTACTAAGGTTGTAGGTAATTCAAGACCGTCTTAGTTACCAACTTATACGTTCATCACAAACATCACTGTGCACGATACGTACTAGAATCAGCCCTGGAACTTTTCAAGGAGGGAAAATTTTCATGTTGAGCATCATCCGTCTTGTTCGGTAAGGAAAAGGGAATTTATATATATATAAGAAAGTATTCACAAGAAAGGTTTTTTCTTTGTGAAATTATTTACATTTTTTGTTTCTTGTTTTATAACTTTATTCCTTTTTCTTTCTTGATAAATAAGAAGTACACTATTTTGGTTTTACTAAGTTTTGTTTTTTGTACAGGTATTAGTTAAGTTAAAATAAAATAAACACCCATTAATATATTTACCAAATATGTCTGAGCCAGTTGAACAACCCCCAGTTGAACAACCCCAAGTTGAAGAGCCAGTTGCTGCTCCACAAGTCGAAGAGCCAGTTGCTGCTCCGGAGGCCCCACAAGAACCTGCTGCTCCTGTCGATGAACCAATTGCTGCTCCACAAGAAACTATCCCAGAACCAATGGAAACCGATGCTGTAGAAGAACGTTCTATTCCATCTCATCCAGAACCTCAACCATACTACCCTCCAAATGATGCTCCTCGTCATGCTTATAGCCACCATATGGATCAAGATGGTGAATTGTCTACCACTAGATTATTTGTTAGACCATTCCCATTTGATGTACAAGACTCTGAATTGAACGAAATCTTTTCTCCTTTCGGTCCAATGAAGGAAGTTAAGATCCTAAACGGTTTTGCCTTTGTCGAATTCGAAGAAGCTGATTCCGCTAGTAAAGCTATCGAAGAAGTTAACGGTAAGTCCTTTGCTAACCAACCTCTAGAAGTTGTCTTTTCCAAGTTACCAGCTAAGAGATACCGTTTGACTATTAGAAACCTTCCAGAAGGTGTTTCATGGCAAGATCTAAAGGATCTAGCTCGTGAACAACAGCTAGAGACTACTTTCTCCAGTGTTAATACCAGAGACTTTGATGGTACAGGTGCTTTAGAATTCTCTTCCGAAGAAGTCCTAACCGACGCTTTAGAGAAATTGAACAACATCGAATTCAGAGGTTCCGTCATCACAGTTGAAAGAGATGACAACCCACCTCCTATTAGAAGAGGTAGAGGTGGTTTCAGAGGCCGTGGTGGTTTCAGAGGTGGTTACGGTGGCCGTGGTGGTTACAACAGAGGTGGCTTCGGTGGTCGTGGTGGCTTCGGTGGTCGTGGTGGCTTCGGTGGCCGTGGCGGTTTTGGTGGCCGTGGTGGCTTCGGTGGTCCAAGAGGTGGCTTCAGTGGTCCAAGAGATAACTACGGTTCCAGAGGTGGTTACGGTGCTCCAAGAGATAACTACGGTTCCAGAGGTGGTTACGGTGCTCCAAGAGATAACTATGGTGGTCCAAGAGGCGGTTTCGGTGGTCCAAGAGGCGGTTTCGGTGGTCCAAGAGGTGATTACGGTGCCCCAAGAGGTGACTATGGTGCTCCAAGAGGTGATTACGGTGCTCCAAGAGGTGATTATGGTGCTCCAAGAGGTGAGTATAGATCCAGAGATGCTCCACGTGAAAGATCTCCAACCAGGTAAATTAAATTTTAATAATTATTCGAAGAAATTGAATACGTTTTTCCAATTATTTTATTTTATTTGTTTAAGAGGTTCCCTCACAGTTCGTTCCCATTAAATTATTACACAATCTTATTTTTTTATATGTAACCTTTCCACAGATTATATTTTATTTTGTTATTAGAAAGAAGATAATAATGTTGTTCAGCTCATCCATCTATGATATTTTAATTATACTGTTGTTGTTATTGTCTGTTCTTACGAAATGAAATATTTATTAAGAAACAAAGAGAACAGAATATCCAAACAGAAATAGTACTACCATTGTACGTGTATTACATCATTTGATTTTTATTTGATTTTTTTATAATTCCTATCCATTATTAGTATTATTATTATTATTGTGGTTATTTCTCAACCCTTCCTTCATGTTTAAATATAAATACTTTATGAAATTTTAGAATTCCTTTCCCTCCCACTATTTTTAACTTTATCTAATGAAAACTAAACTGGAATAATTATATCATTCCATCGTAATATTACCTACTGAAACTCGTTCACCATTCTTAATTGTGTATGTATAGCAAGAAATAGAAATTTCCACGTTCCAGTACCTTGACAATGACGTATCATGAACTAAGTTGATTTAAGATTTTTGGCGGTTGTATTGTTATTAAATTATTTGCTTAATCTCTTATTACTTAGAATTTTTTTTTTACTNTTTTTTTTTTTTTTTATTATTATTTTGAATTCAACCAATTAACTATTTAAATTATATACTTTTATGTACTATTATTAATTAATACTTTTGTTGATCCCCTTAATTTATCTTTAACTTGATTAAATAAAAGATGCGTTATGCATTTTGTAAGAATGTCATGTTCAAGTTTTTACATATATAACAACTCAGAAAAGTGATAATAACTCTTTTAAAAGGTTGAATATTTTATTCACTGTTAATGGAAGATGGATGAGATGTTCACCATAAACAAAATTATTGTTAATCTTACTTTTCTATTATTATTGATTTAAATACCGTGCATCATGATGTTCAAGAGCTATTTTTCACAAAGTATAAAACCGAATATGGAACTGTTAAAAATTACGCCATTCACGAAAATATCTTATAATATCTAGTTCCCAGGGTTTGAATGATAATATCATTAATTCTTAAAAGCTAATCACTTCTATCAGGATTGCATTGTGAGTCACTACTTGAATAATCACAGTTTACCATATCATACAATGTCTACTTTAAGTCTTCGGAAGTGGGTATGTGCCATTTTCGTTCTCACGTATGTCGTTATAGGTTTACCATTATGGGATAGGTTGACAAATATATATAGAGCACCTTTACCACGAGACTATATTAAATCCTTACATGAAAATAAGTTTTATGATGTACATGTAACAATTCCAGTTTATATTAGATCAGACGTTTATAAGTTCCCTGACATTCATGCAGCAACTCAAATTCAAGTGAATCATTTATTAAACAGTAAAAAACAAAACGTACAATGGTCGTTAGAAATCCTCCTATTTAATGAGACTTTCATAGAATTAGAGAAAGCACAAGGTAGAGAATATCATATTGTGACTTTACAATTAGACGAGTTTGTCGGTTATAATGCTGCTTATGATTCGAAGAATACTGTTGTCTATTTCGATGATCCCACAGTAGCTAGAAATGATTTACCTTTCTTCGTCGCCCAAACACTTGTTGAGCATACATTTAATGTCGAATGGGGTTATTTATCCAATGGCGATTTAATGCATAGTGAACACAACGCAGTTGCGGTCAATTATAATCCAGAAATCCATTTATCGATAAATTTGTTGAAGGGTGATGGTTCACCTGTCGATTGGGAAATAGAAGAAACTTTGAAGACTTATTTTACCCCATTTAGAAGATTTTTATCGCCATTAGTTAATTTTACTGTTGATACCTCGGTAGTTTATTTTAACGATTTGAATTTACATTCTCTGAATAATACAGATAATATCACTTGGACAGATGTTAGTCATTCTATTGATCTTTCGGAATTATCGTCAATGAACTATTTCTCAGAAGACTCCGCCTTGAATTTAGCGATTGTATTCCCTAGTAAAGAAACTAATCCAGAAGGTTTTTCATTTGTTAAGGTTGATGGCGAACAAATGTGGGAAAGTTTCATTGTACCTCAATGGGGTGTCCTTGTCATTAACAAGATGCCTCTGGAGGCTAATACTGTCGTCTCTAAGGATTATTTGGACGCAGTTTTGTATAAATTTGCAAATGATTTGTTTGAACTGTTAGGGTTGTCCACACAATTTGACAGTTTATTTTCTCCTGTCATTACAATTGATTCCTTTAAAAGAATAAGGGCATTGCAAAATATGAATAAAAGTGTGGAGACACTTTGGTCATTGATTAAACTAACAGAACAATTTAAACAAATGGCTATTCCTAGGGATGTATTGGAAAAAGTTAAAGAAGTATTGGATATTAGATTACAGATAGTTGAGATTTTGAATAACCCTGCTAAAGGTGACGATCTAAGTTGGGATGAAGCTTTGAATTTAAGTAATAAGATGGTTCAAAGAAGTGAGGAAGCTTTTTTCGATGGTCAAATGTTAAAACAAAATTTTTTCCCCCAGGAACATAAATTAGCTGTGTATATGCCTTTAATGGGACCTATCACTATTGTACTATTCACAGGATTTGTTTCTTTGTTCAAAGAAACTGAGTCAGGATCAAAAGAAAAGAAGGAATCTCTTTCTGAAGAAGAAAAGAAGGAGGTAGAAGAAACAAAAGCTGTAGGAGCCATAGAGGGAGTGGATGAAATAAATTAGATTTTATTGAAAATGTAAGAGGAAAGTAGTATGCTTTTATAACTTATATATATAATTCATGCATAATTCATTTGCGGAGTTGTGATTAGCAATAATATAAAACATTCTTGACAGAATTTTTATTATGAAATTGTACGAATTTAAAATTTTTCATCGGCATTGCATATAAAACTGTATTTTATTTAGCAATGGAATGTTCTTGTAATGTGAGGTATAGGAAATTAATTGTGTTCGTGATCTGAAGCTTATATAGTAGAATTAGACTTGAATTCGTTCATTGTTAATTGTTGATGTACGGGGATTGGTACAAGCTTAAACGTGATTAGTTAAAGTAAAACAAATATTTTATATCAATCCTTTATATTATTTATAAGTCGTTTCTTCTTATTATTATATATAATTTTGTAGAGAATATAAGATAGAGTGTTTGCCTCTATTAGTCTCTTCAAGTTTTAATTTATATAATTCGGACATTTTATAATATGATAATTGATCGGTCTCTTTTTAATATATATAAGTTACATATTAAAGAACATTTAATATTTTATTTATATTATATTAAGAGCTTCCTTTTTATATCATTTTCTTTAAAGGTTTTTGTTTCCTCAATCACACCCTTCATTTCTGTTTAGTTTGATTTTTATCAAAGTATTTCTTTACCTATTTTAACTAAGAGTTGTGCATATTACTCTTAGTTTCTGACAAATTTATAGAACGAATGGATTCTAACATAGAATGTTTGGTTCTTATTAGAATATTTGAGTTATCGTGGTTATACACAATCTATGTCAGCTCATAATAATGTTTGTAATATCATGAAGAGAAACTTATATGAGTCTCGATAGAATACATCTTCTCTTATTTAAGACAATATTTTGGCTACCCTCCTGTTAAAATATAGCAGTAGCACTAAAAAGGCTAACATTAGCTTAACCTATCTGAAGGAGAGGGGAGCTAATATAAGTAGAATTTAGAGTGTACAGCACTACCGCATATATAACAACACGTGATATATACTGTCTAATGTAGTACTCGTTTCCCCTACATTGGGTTTATTGGAGCTATATTGTCCAACGTTACTATGCACAAAAGATGAGCAGTTTAACAACAACAACTCTGTTTTAAGACATAGTAGAAATAAATTAGATAAAACCATTACCCGGAATTTTCTACAAGATCTTATATAAATGTTTTGCACCTTCAAACCGAAAAAGCTCGTATGGCGCAGTGGTAGCGCAGCAGATTGCAAATCTGTTGGTCCTTAGTTCAACCCTGAGTGCGAGCTTTATTTTTTTGAAATTTTGACATAGTTTTAAAACTATGACTTCATTCTTCTTTTTTTGCCCTAAAATATATCTTTTAGTCCTTTCTCTTTAATGAAATACAATTAGCTATAGTCCTTTTCTTACTTTCAATAATCGACTAACGTATTTTTGCGCAAAGTATTTCTCTATCTGTAACTGTCATCGCACAAATTACTCCCTTTTACGGAAATAGTTTGCGAAAATGTTAATATTATCAACGCGAGGGGCACATTCGAAGCTATTCTCTGCGAGGTTTTCTCTGCATGACTGTAATTTAGCCATATGAATTATCTCTGATAAAACTGATAAGATAAGCTGATAGATAAGTCAGATTTTGACATATTTTCAGATTAGATAATAGATAGATCAAGATGAGAAAGAGTGTATTGATTTCGGCTGACAGAAGCAACAGGATAAGAATTACTGAAAGGAGGACTAATAATGTTTAATGCTAGATATTCAATTGTGCAAGATTTATTACTTCGCAATTTTTTAATCGTTACTGTCGCTATGGATTCCTCTTCAATATTGAAGAGGATCATAATGAACGCGAATTTCAATTGAGAAAGGGCTGGTAGTTTAAGGTTTCTTCTTATCAAACACATTTAACTAATGGTATTCCATTTTGATAAAGGTATAGTTTAGTGGCAACTGCAATATATGTGGTGGTTTGGGTTTTTCATAGGCTGTATGTTAGGGATATGACCTAAATCTTCTATGTTATCAATCTTTTTAGATGGATTAAACTAACAGACACTAGTCCACTTTATTGTACTCTAGTAAAATGATATCTTCTGTAAAGGTAATATTGGTTATTATATAAGAACATCAACATACTTGGATGTGATATGTTTTATTTTAATGTATGATACATACTGCTCCAGCTTAACTTCTTTTATCTTTTCATCCTGTGATACTTGCTTACTATAAGTTAGTTACATTTTTCTAAAGAACAGTAAAGTAGCAAAAAATACATATTATATTATTATGAGTCCAGACACTTTAGGTTGGACAGCTGCCGATTGGGTTACTTTCCATCAATCTTCGACTCCTACAAACTCTTATTCGACTTTATTAGCTCTAATTAAATCTCAAAAGGTTGCCCCAGAAGATACAGCCTGGATTTCAATCGTCTCAGTGGAAAATTTAAGAAAACAATGGATGGTATTACAAACAAGAGATGATCACGAATCTTTACCTTTATTCGGTGTTCCTGTGGCTATCAAGGATAACATTGATGCTCGTGGGTTTGCCACTACTGCTGCTTGTCCATCTTACAGTTATCATCCAAAGAAGGATGCCACAGTTGTTCGTCTTCTAAGAGATGCAGGCGCAATTATCATTGGTAAGACCAATCTAGATCAGTTTGCTACAGGTCTAGTTGGTACAAGGTCTCCATATGGTAAAGTAACATGTGCGTTCAATAATGAATACGTATCTGGGGGTTCTTCTGCTGGTTCTGCTAAAGTAGTCGCTACAGGGATCGTACCTATTGCTCTTGGAACTGATACTGCCGGTTCTGGTCGTGTTCCTGCAGCTTTAAACAACCTGATTGGTTTAAAACCAAGTAAAGGTATCTTCTCATGTAATGGTGTCGTTCCAGCTTGTAAATCCTTAGATTGTGTGTCTATTTTCTCTTTGAACTTACCAGACGCCGAACTTTGTTTCAAGATTTTATGTAAACCAGATGCTGAAAATGATGAGTACTCGAGACCTTTCCCATCAAATCCATTAAGAAAATTTGGTACAAATGTTACTATTGCTATTCCAAAGGATATTCCATGGTATGGGGAAGTTGAAAACCCGAAACTTTATCGAAATGCAATTGAAATTTTAAAAAAGACAGGTGCTAATATTAAGATTCTAGACTTGGAACCACTACTTGATCTGGCTCGTTGTTTATATGAAGGACCATGGGTCGCTGAACGTTATCAAGCAGTAGGTCGTTTTTTGGAATCTAATCCACCAGTCGAAACGTTGGATCCAACAGTCACTGAAATTATTAAAGGAGGTGAACCTTTTAGAGCTACAGATTTTTTCAAATATGAATATAAGCGTAATAAAATCTTACAATCTATTCAAACTTTATTACAAGGAATTGATGTTGTTTGCGTTCCAACTTGTCCTTTGAATCCAACTTTGAAAGACATCGAAAATGAACCAATACTAGTCAACTCGAGACAAGGTACTTGGACAAATTTTGTTAATTTGGCTGATTTGGCTGCGTTGGCTGTTCCAGCTGGTTTTAGACCAGACGGTTTACCAAATGGTATCACATTATTAGGTAAGAAATTTAGTGATTATGCTCTATTAGAGCTGGCAGAGAGATATCTAAAACAATTATTCCCAACTCCAAATAGGCCACAAGGTATCTTTACTACGAAAGAAACCAGTAGAGCGATGTCTAATTTGCAAGGTCCTATGATTAGTTCAGATAAATCCGATTATATTAAATTGGCTGTTATTGGTGCTCATTTAAAGGATTTACCGCTACATTGGCAATTAGAGAAGGTTAATGCAACATTTATTTCTGAAACGAAGACTTCTAGAAACTACAAGTTGTATGCACTACCTAGAAACGGACCAATATTGAAACCTGGTTTGAGACGTGTTGCTGAAAATACGCCAGGCTCTTCATCTATTGCGTTAGAAATTTATGCAGTTCCAACAGAATTATTTGGACAATTTATTGCCATGGTTCCTGAACCACTTGGTATTGGTTCTGTTGAGCTTGAAAATGGTGAGTGGATAAAGTCTTTTATTTGTGAGGAATTTGGTTATGACGCAGAAGGATCTGTGGATATTACGCTATATGGTGGTTTTAAGGCCTATATTGAACACTTGAACAAAGAAGAAACAAAGTCAGTTAAACCTTTTGAAAGAGTATTAATCGCTAATAGAGGTGAAATAGCTGTAAGAATTATTAGTACGTTGAGGAAATTAGATATTACATCGATCGCGATTTATTCTGATCCGGATGAATATTCACAACATGTTGAAGATGCAGATATTTCTATACCATTACATGGTTCTACCGCTAGCGAAACATATTTAGATATTGAAAAGGTTATAAAAGGTGCCAAAGAATATAATGCAGATGCAATTATACCTGGCTATGGTTTCTTATCCGAAAATGCTGACTTTGCTGATAGATGTGAACAGGAAGGTATCGTATTTGTCGGGCCTTCGGGTGATATTATTAGGCAGCTGGGTTTAAAGCACTCTGCTAGAGAGATAGCTGAAGATGCAGGTGTTCCCTTAGTTCCTGGATCACCATTAATCTCTGAGCTTGATAAAGCTGTTCAAGTTGCTAGAACAATTGGCTATCCTATTATGGTTAAGTCTACAGCAGGTGGAGGTGGTATCGGTCTTAAAAGAGTGGATTCTGAAGAAGAACTAAAAAGTGTTTTTGCTACTGTACAACATCAAGGTAAATCATATTTCGGAAATGCAGGTGTTTTCTTAGAGAAGTTTATTGAAAATGCAAGACATGTCGAAATTCAAATCATGGGTGACGGTTGTGGTAACGCAATTGCTTTGGGTGAAAGAGACTGTTCATTACAACGACGTAATCAGAAGGTAATTGAGGAAACACCAGCTCCTAATCTATCAGAAAAAACTAGAAAGGACCTAAAGATGGCTGCTGAGAGCCTTGCTTGCCAATTGAAATATAAAACTGCAGGTACAGTTGAATTTATATATGATGAGAAATCTGAAACATTTTACTTCCTAGAGGTCAATACAAGATTACAGGTTGAACATCCAGTGACAGAAATGGTAACTGGTCTGGACTTAGTTGAAATGATGATAAAAATTGCGGCGGACGATCCACCAGACTTTTCTAAATTAAATGTCAGCTTGTCTGGTGCATCAATGGAGGCTCGTTTATATGCTGAAAATCCAGTCAAAGATTTTAGACCTTCCCCTGGGCAAATTGTGGATATTGAATTTCCGAAATGGGCAAGAGTTGATACTTGGGTCAAAAAGGGAACCATTGTTTCGTCTGAGTACGATCCTTTAATTGCAAAAATTATAGTTTACGGGAAAGATCGTTCTGAAGCATTGAGTAATTTGAATAAGGCTTTGCAGGAGACTAAAGTTTACGGATGTGTCACTAATATTGGATACCTAAGATCAATTGCTTCATCTTCTATGTTTGAAAATGTTGCTCTCTGTACAAGTACATTGAATTCTTACACCTACGATTCTGGATCTTTCGAAATTATTTTACCTGGTGCTCACACTTCTATTCAAGGTTATCCTGGTAGGAAAGGTTACTGGAGAATCGGTGTTCCTCCTTCTGGTCCAATGGATAGTTACTCTTTTAGGTTAGCAAACCGTATCGTTGGTAATAATCAAGATGAAGCTGGTATAGAAATTACGTTGACTGGTCCAACCATAAAATTTAATACGGATACTATTATTGCAATTGCAGGTGGATTCTGCCAACCTATACTAAATGGTGAAAAAATTGAACAATTTAAGCCAACCAATATCAAAGCTGGTGATACATTAGCTATTGGTAAGTTACAAAGTGGTTGCAGATCTTACTTAGCTATCAGAGGCTCAATAGATGTACCAAAGTATTTGGGCTCTAAATCAACGTTCACACTAGGTGAATTTGGTGGTAATAATGGAAGAGTTTTGAAAACGGGTGATGTATTATTCTTACAACCGTCAATTGCACTATGTGATGCTGAGGCCGCTCCATTATCTTTAATTCCAAAAATCAGTACAAAGAATTGGACTATTGGTGTTACTTGTGGACCACATGGTTCGCCGGATATTTTTAAAGAGGAATACATTAAGGAGTTCTTGAATGAGAAATTTGAGGTGCATTACAACTCTAATAGATTTGGTGTTAGATTAATTGGTCCAAAACCTAAGTGGTCTAGAACTGACGGTGGGGAAGGTGGTTTGCATCCCTCTAATGCTCACGATTATGTTTATTCTCTAGGTGCTATTAATTTTACTGGAGATGAACCTGTTATCATCACATGTGATGGTCCATCTTTAGGAGGTTTCGTGTGTGCGGCTGTTATTCCAGAAGGTGAACTGTGGAAGGTTGGTCAAGTAAAACAAGGTGATCAAATCCGATTTGTTCCGATTTCTTACGATTCCGCTAGGAGTCTCCAAAAATCACAGGATATTGCAATCAATGAATTTAATGATGGTTTATTAGAGGTGTTGGATGAAAATTTGATTCTATCAGCCTACGAAGATCCCGTATTATACGTCATAGAAGGAATAACAGCTACAAATCCTAAGGTTACTTATAGACAAGCTGGCGATAGATATGTTTTGGTTGAATATGGTGAAATAAGTATGGACTTAAATTTGTCCTACAGAATTCATTCTCTAATTAAATTAATTGAGAAATACAAAACTGTCGGCATAATTGAGATGTCTCAAGGTGTCAGATCGGTCCTAATCGAATTTGATGGTTACAAAATGTCACAACAAGTTCTTCTAGAAATATTAATTGCTTATGAAGACGAAATAAACTTTGATGAGAATTGGAAAGTTGAATCCAAGGTTTTTAAATTACCAGTAACATTTGAGGATTCGAAGACACTCGAATGTGTGACAAGATACAAAGAAACTATTAGATCTACAGGCCCATGGTTACCTAATAATGTCGATTTTATTGCAGGTGTTAATAATATTGATCGCAAAGATGTACATGATATGGTATTCTCAGCAAGATTTATGGTATTGGGTTTAGGTGATGTATTTTTAGGATCTCCATGTGCTGTTCCACTTGATCCAAGACAAAGATTCCTAGGAAGCAAATATAACCCGTCAAGAAGTTATACTGAAAAAGGTTTGGTGGGTCTTGGTGGTATGTATATGTGCATTTACGCCGCTTCAAGTCCTGGTGGTTATCAGTTAGTTGGTAGGACCATTCCTATATGGGATAAACTATCTTTAGAGAAACATACTTCCCATCCATGGTTAGTCTCACCTTTTGATCAAATTGAATTTTATGAGGTTAATGAAGCTAGACTGGATAGTGATACTCGTGACTGGGAAAATGGTAAATTTGATGTCCAAATCGAAGAAACATTATTTGATCATCGTGAATACCTAAATTGGATTGAAGAAAATAAAGATTCCATTCACATATTTCAACAAAGTCAAGATTCTGGCTTAAAAGAAAAATTTATTAAATTAATTGAGGGATCCGATATGGAAGTTAAGAAATCTGGAGACAAGAAAATAATACCGGTAGAAGAATTCCCTGAAAACACACAATTGGTATACTCTGAATTTGCTGGTCGTTTTTGGAAAAATGTCGTCTCTTCTGGCGATTATGTAAAGGAAGGCGAGGCATTGATTATTATTGAAGCCATGAAAACAGAAATGATAGTCGCTGCAACAACAGCTGGTAAAGTTCTTAGAGTTTTCCACGAGAATGGTGACATTGTAAATTCTGGAGATCCAGTTGTAATCATTGAATCATGCTAATTACTTTTTATTTATCTATTTAATGTATACTATTAAACTAACAAAAAAATATGTTCTTATTATTAAAAATTCAAGATTTTTTCCATTCAATTGTATTGTTTTTTTATGAATATTAATATTACTTCCTTAATAGTATGTTATGTGGTGTTATTTACATTGTGCATATTTCAGAGACAGAAAAATGAAGTAACATTTTGAGACGATAGTCTATGTGGCACCATGAGCAAATCCAGCATTATTATTTCCATGTTCAATTAGTGGAGTTTCACTATCTTTTGAAGTTCTTGTAGAATCTGTACTTGGTGGTTGATAAATACTATTTGTATTTTGTCTCAAATTGATGGATGCTTTTGAAATGGCCATTCTCTTTAAGATTCTCTTCTTTTGAAATTTCACTGGTAAGAAAGGGATATAACCGTGTTGTTCTTCAACTATTAACAATTTTAATGCACCGATCAATACTAACCAATATATGTTATAACTGATAACAGAGCCATATGTCGCACTATTAGTCCATCCAAAAATGGCAGTCAGGATCATCCATCCACCATCTTTTTCACCATTACAACAATTTACATGCCATATGGAACGTACTATATCATAAGAACCCGGACCATTACCTATTTCAGTCATATCTTGGCCGTTACATTTATTAACATAGTCTTGCACTTCTAGCTGCCATACACCTTTAGAAAATAACCCAGATGCAATTAGATACAGAAAACAAGTAGTTACTACTAAACAAATTTTCAAAGACAAAGAACTGGAATATTTGAAAAAATAGTAACCAAAGATACCACTAACACAAACAGCTAAAAGCATGGATAATGGGATTGAGGTTAATGGTTGATCAATACCAACACCACCAATAAATACAACAGCTTCAAGTCCTTCTCTTAATGTTGTAACAAATGGTAATATGAAAAAGGCATATTTTTCACTAAATTTAACTGCATTATCTGCATTATCCTTGAACATTTTCCCACGGTCAGAGTAAATGATGGATGCCAATTTAATTCTAAATTTCTCCCTAAGTTTACCCATCCTCAAAAAGAATAATCCCATAACTGATATAATGACAGAAGCAACAATACTTAGGATACCTTCGTAATAATGTTCACTTAATGACCAAAGATCAGATCCAATATGATAGAAGATTGTGATGAAGGAACCACCGATCAGTAAACATAACAACAAACCTAGTGCACCACCCGAAATAATTTGAATCTTTAATTTTGAATAAAGTTTGGATGAATCACCAGGTTGAATATCTTGACTTTCTGTGTTTGCAGTTTCAAATTCTTCTTCTTCTTCTTCTATCGTTAAGTGGTTATCAATCATCGGAGCTGTCTCTGGATTTGTAGATAGTTGCGAAGATCCTACACTTACATCAGTATTATTTATATCGGTTTCATTCTGGATTGAGTTCTTGTCATTCACTGAGAGTGCTTGTCTGACTATGGTTAGTAGAATGGAAACAATAATTACAATTTCCAAGGACTCCCTTAAAAAGATGAAGAAAATTTGAAATGAGAAATAATCTTCAAACCTCATCTTCAATAAACTAATTTCTAGCAAAATATGATATATTTTTAATAGCGTAGTTTAGCTGATATAGAATATTATACTATTCTTATTCTTTTTATTCTTCTTCCTCTTCTTCTTATTCTTGTGGTAATGTTAGTTATTTCGTTGAAAGGACCCAGGTGCAATTTTTAAAGCATCCCTTTGTCTCTAACCTCGCGCCCTCTCTTTCTTTCACTTAATAAAACTTCTTCCTGTTCAGCAAAAGACAAAATATATATGAGAAACATCTTAATTTGTAACTAAAAACCCAAATAAAAGAGAGGAACGCCATGAATTAATAGTATAATTCGGTGTATTTGAATATTTTGCTTTGATGGTGACAACATAGTTTAACTGTTGTTCTTGGAGGAGGAAGGTAGCGATAACTAAAAGGTACTATGCCTCACATTATAATCTATGCAGATATATATATTTATATATATAAATATATAAATAGTTGTACATCAAGTATTATACAGTCGAATTTTTCCTAAACTTGAATAGAGGTTTGCTCCGTGTTATCATTATTTCTTCTTATCGATACCAGGTGGCATCTTGTAGCCAGCGGCATTGAAATAATTTCTTGTACAGAAATAATAATCTAGCCATGTATTGTCTGTTTCTGGGTCACAAGTACATTTGTTTTGTAATCTGATAGGTTCTTCGATTGGACAAGAGTAAAAATCTGGATGATGGAATCCTAACCCATCAAAGAAATGAAGTTCAGATTTATCTAATAACAATGCAGCAGCAATCGAGTGGACTGGTGCATCACCCCATCTTTCATAGAAAAACCCACCACTGTTATCAAGGTATTCAAAATATTTTCTGTAGGCATCTGATCTGTAGAAATCAAGAGAGACGATCTCAAAGTTACTCCAGAAATGACACATATTGTATGTGTCGCCACCATCATTTGATACAAAGCCCATTAAATTATCCTTGGCAATGTAGTTGGGGAATTTGTTTGCAAATTGTTTAACAGTTTTCCATAGAGAACGAATGGTTTGTTCATATTCACTGACAGATAATATAAACCCATATTTCTTATTATTCACCTTCATGAATTTGAAAAGATCGTATTGGATATCACAGAAAATGGTAATATCAGTATCAACTCTCCAATAGTATTCATACTCGTCTAATAATTCACTTTGCCAGAAAAACCCAGATTGATAACGGCACATATGTCTATATGGGGTTGAAGTACCATAAGGTACATCAAGCTCTTGAAACTCTTTTTTGGCCTTTTCGTACTTCTTCATATCAATAAATGAAGGAATTGACCAATGTTCCTTAGGAATCACACCATACTTAACTTTCCCTGAAATTAAAGCACTTGTCACTTTCTTAAATTCATCAGAGAATGGTTTATCGTTTAAAAATACCCAATCGTAATGATATCTGTTGTTAAAACGATCTTCTACGTGTCTAATAGTCTTCACAAGCTCCCAAAGGTCAGCATTTCTTGCAAGAGTAACCATGGCCGCTCTAACCTTAATACCATCATCAAGAGGTTGTGTAACACCTTGAGATTTGTCAGTGAAAGGAACTAAATAGTCGTCAGATAGTCTAGCAGCATTTATAGGACTTGAGTCAAACGAATTTTGAACCAAAGGCATGTTATTGAAACTATTGGCCACTTGATTATGTGTTGGTGATGGAGTGTGTAATAAAAACACTAAAGTTAACATTATTACGAAACCAATGAAGGAAACTCTGATTCCCTTCTGGTATTTCCTAACCAAAATCGCCGACTTGGGCATTAATCTTTTCTTGTGTTCTAAATTTGGATTACCCATTTTATTATAATATTACAAATAACGTACAGTCCTGACTTGATAGAATTGAATAATTTCCTTTTACGTATTCTTCTTTTTATATGTCACACACGAAGCTATAGAAAATAACAACTTGAACTTCGACTCTTGCCAACTTTCAATGCAAATTTATACTACCAAAAAAAGAAGTTCCTTCGTAATAGTGTATAGCAAAGATATCACTTTTTGTAGAGAGTAGTAATTATATATATGTGTGCACCTCCCAGACTGCTCTGACGTGACTGTCACCCTTTGATATGAGACTTCAATAGCCAAACTACTCTTGAAATATGTACTGTTTCATTGAACAATTGATGGCTCAGTTTGTTGTCACACTGTAAAAAAGGCGAGAATTTTTCAGTATCGTGTTGTGGCAGCGACTAGTTAAGAATGAGCTGGAATAAACGGAAACAGGACCCTCAATATCTCATTGATCATGTTTTATACAACTAATTGGTAAATGGTAAATGATTTAACTGGCTGTTCTTCATTGGGAGGTGTTTTTGATAAGGTTTGTATGCATAATTTTTACATAGCGTGAAAAGAATTAATGATTGAGTCTTCTGAGGATAATTTGCAAAAATTGGATATTATACAATATGCCTGTTCTCTAGATGGGCAACCAATATCAGGGAAAAGTGTTCACGATATTGTTGAGTCATATACAGATGGACCTCAGTTAGCAAGACAAGTATCTGCCTCTGTAAACGATTTCAGAACTAGATTTATAATGGAACATGAGTCTTTTGTGACTATTCGTAATATTCAAATTAGGGTAAATCATAATCTCTCAAGGATATTTGATACTGATGATGAAGATACGGAGATCGACTTCTTTATTCATGGATTGGGAGGAAATTTAGAACAATTTGAACCAATACTCAGATTGGATGATCTCTGTAATAGGTATTTCATCGCTATTGATCTTCCAGGATTTGGGAAAAGCGAAGAATATGTTGATTATTCTATGGGTACTATAGTCGATGTGGTTCACGAAACATTGATTAAAATATTGCAAGATAGTAACAAAAAGAAATCCAATATTAAATTCAACGTTATAGGACATTCAATGGGTTGCTATATATCTTTACATTACTTCCAAAAATATATTGCAGATTTTCACTTACGATCTCTGATTCTACTATCCCCACCTAAAGTATATATTCCACAATTACGAAAAGGTTATTCTGTTACTCAATTAGGGTTATACGCTTTATCTGTATTTCCATCTGCTTTCGATTATTATAGAACACGTTTCGATCAAAGTAGAGGATTAAAAAGCTCTGGTATTAGGGATTTCTTCCATAATAATTCACATGATAATATTGATTTACAATATAGGAAGTTATGGCAATATCAAAATAATATTCAAATTAAAAGTAAAAGTATAGTTGGTTATTTAAGGGGTTGGGAACAGATAGATTGGGGGAATTTGGATGATTTAATAAAATCTCAAAGTTTGAATTCCTCGATTAAATTATTGATTATCGGTGGAAATCAGGATGCAATAACGCCGATATCTGACATTCAAATGTTTTTCGATACTCTACCAATTGTCAATGACAAGAGATTGGAGATTATTGAAAGTTGTTCCCATAATATTTGTTTTGATTGTCCAGAAAAAATATGTAAGATATTTCTTAAGGATGTCTTGAAACAAGTATAACTAAAAGAAGGTATTGCTACTCACTAGCTAGTTATCTACATATATATATATTCAGTTTGGTGGCTTATAGATTTCGCAGTAATTAAAAAAAAAGTTTATTGTATTAAATGCAGTCATAGGTCATAAGTTTATGTATAAAATGGAATTAAAATATGTATTAATGGTGGGGAGTAGTTATTTTTTGTAATTTTTTGTACTTTTTTGTTTTCTTTCTTGTCTTAAATAGCTTACCAATATATGGCGTTATCTTAGTTATTGGAATGCTGAATACTTTGGGTTGTAATTAATAATATGATTTTTGTATGTTTGTCTTAATCACCTCTATAGTAATTATTTTCTCCAATATTTCTTCTCAACTCAGTATTTCTCAATTCCCAAACTCTAGCGATCAATGCGTGTGTTAAACGATCAATTCTTTGAATTGGATCCTTTGGTAAATGTTCGTTCCGTGATGTAACCCTGTTGAAGTTTTCATCCTTACAGAGTCTAACACTTATGGAGACATTTTGAGAGGTAACTCTCGAGATCTTATAAGTTGTTGGACGGTCACTTTTAATGATAGTCAGCCTAAAATTAATATGGTTTGTTTCCTCTTCTGTATTACCATATTTAATTGGTAAAATGTTTGATGTCTCTAAAATCGAAACATCATGAGTTTTCATCATAGCTTCATAATATTTTTCAGTTTTGATTCTATATAACTCTTCTAATTGGAAGTCATCCATCTTTAATATTTCGTCAAGAACAATGATAGTGGTCACATCATGTAGGTTACCTTTACATGACCAAGGGAAGTTTCTATTCATACCAGATTTTAAGAAACTTAGGGACATTGATTTATTCTCATAATCACATCTTTTATCATTATTGGCAAAAGTACCTAGTATAAAGTACTTAACCATGTTTTGTCTACACCAGACACTACCATCCATACGCACAGTTTTCAAAGAACTATATTTATTAATATCTAATAAACTTTCAAATATAGTGGATGGATTTAATTTCATTAATTGATCTCTATTCTTAGATTGACGTCTGATGCCTTCTCTGTTTTTTGTCTTTGAATCGATTGGTTTAGGGTAATCATCAGGCTTTGTAGTAGCTGAAGTATACCACGAACTATTAATTGTAACACTCGAATTTCTTCTATGTTCAATAATTGAACCATCATCATTGACTTGATCATAAGTTTCAATATTCTTATTAGAATCAGTCATATAAACCACTTCAAGAGAATCCTCTGCCGAAGAAGCTATTTCAGACTCTCTAACCGCAGGTAATAATAAAGAACTAATCTTTCTTACGGGTGTACAATTGATCACTTTAAAATCATTGAATAAAACAATATTAGATAAGTTAATATCTTCCAAATTAGGACAATTGTTCAATATATGTAGGATATACCCCAATGGTAAATCACGATAAGGAGCGTATTTCAATAATGTTCTACTGGTATATGGATGACGTGATTTCAATGGTTTTTCTAATAAAAATGAAATCGAGGGATTATTGTTTTGTGAAGGTGACGATGAAGATTGATCAGACTCTTTTTGCAAGATACCATTCCCCATTGAAGGAGAATCTTGGATGGATCCAGCTAATGCAGTTGATGAAGGTGTTATGGTTGATATTGTTGTCTCAGCAGGTGTTAGTACCGTAGGTGGTGGAGTTCTCTCCTTTCTAGCTATAATTGCAGCAGATGAAGAAGAACCTGCTCTTCTGTGTTTGGGTCTCAGTTTCATATTGTACCATTTTGAAATAGAATTCATCGAATTGGAGTTTTTATTTAACGATTTGTCATTAGTTAATGGTGTTTTTGTTTGACTAATATTCCCATTGGATGAAACCACCGAATTTGCTCTTTGTCTCGAAGATGATACAATAGAGCTACTTCTGTTTCTTGATGAAGATCTCGTAGAAGGGTTAGAATTAGCAGATGTCAAGGAGACATGAGAATTATTTTGGAAAGTAGACATTATACTACTTGTAATGGAACTTACAGAACTTGACGATCTTGTTCTCCCACGAGATCCTGGAGATTTGTCATTATCAATAAATCCAATTGAATAATTGCCATTAGTAGCGACCGATGTTGCAGATGAGGATGCCATAGATGAAATTGATGAAGGTCTTGAAATTGCTCTCTTTAAATTATAACTGTTTAACGCTGGGGATTCGTTTTTATGTCTCCAATCCCTCCAGCCAGCAAAGGCAATATTATCATCAAAATAGTCAGGTCCTACGATTTGTGATGGAGGTGGACTATTCTCTTTCGATTCGGTGTCGTTATTGTTGTTATTAATAATTTTAGGAATGATCCCATTCTTTAAATGAGACAAATCTAAAGAACGAACATATTTCCCATTATCTGGATGTAATCTTAATGATGTAACGAACTGTGCAACCCTATAAGTTGAAGTAAATTCTGGGTTCTTATACAATACTAATTTAGCAGCAGCATTAAATTTTCTTGAGACTAAAGTTAAAGATAAGATATCCTGAGTTGAAACAAAGGTCATCGACATGATATGGGTTAGAATCTCAGAAGGTAATTCATTGATATCTGCCAATATCTCTGGGAATACCACAGGGAACAATTCCACGAAACAACCTTGTTGTTGATTTTTCATAGATGACGATACTGACCTACGTCTATTTTTCTTTATACTATTATGTGATTTCGAAGAAAAAATTGAAAACGAATCAGAGGAAGAGTCTCTCAATTTACTCTTTATCTTCCTTGAAGACGATGTAATTAATGATTTATATTTTGATCTCATCTTTGATTTAGATTTAGATTTCCTTACAGAATCAGTCTCAGCATCATTATTTATGTTTTTGTTACTGTCGTTTTTTGGCTCTAGATAGTTGTCAGGAATAGTTGAAGTTGCCATATTTCTAGTAGCACCAGTACTTTTAGTACTACTAATACCAGCATCTTTACTCACAGTACCATGTTTATATGATGATGAACTCGTCCTAGTGATGTTCTCTTTCTTGGTGTTAGGAGAATCAGAGTACAATTTATTGTATACTGAGGTCCCATACCTAGAGTAATTATTGCTCACGATATTCACCTTCTGCAACTTGCTCGAACTTCCCCACGCCATTTTCTTCTCTTTTTTTTTCTTTGCCTTTTTTTGATTTCCTTGGGAAGTTACTCCAATGTTCTATATCTTTTCTCCCTAATGAGGTACTAACCGGAAACTGAGAATTTAAGAATCAACTTGGTTCGTCGAATTAACCAAAGAAAAAACTTTTTAGCCAAACCACGTCCTCCCTATCCCAGTATATATATATACCTGCATGTACCTTGGAGATATCAGTTTATCTAACCATATGGAGGTATTCTCCTTCTATACTGCTTGATTCCGAAACCCCACCAGGAAAACTTTTTTTTCAGTGTGTGCGTGTGTGTCTCCGGGTATTTCTGTGGTCCGGAGACAGAAATAGAAAGAGACATTTTCTTTCCTTCCACCCACAAACAGTCGTAGAACGGAGGTACCCTTGCCAATGTACCCCGCACCGATAAGGTGTTTCCCACGGAGTTTTCTCTGGGTGGCTCGGTGTCTCGGGTGCTTTCTCTCGGGAAAAACAAGGAGAATTCGGCCGAGACCGTCCGGCCGACGTTGGCGGTAATAGAAGAGAGGTTATGTACTTGAGTTGTTTTTTATTATTTAGATGCTTATATTACAAATTGACATGCGAGTGGCCAGCAGATGGGGTGTCTTTGTGGCAGCATGTACGTCTCACTCAGCCATGGCTGTGGGTGGGGGGCAAACAGAGGGGGGGAGAGGGAGAGGAAGAGTCGATAACATTGCTGATGCTCAATGCTTTGAGTTAGACCTGGGTGCTACTATCGAATACGTTTACTTTAAGTTCTTCACTCCATATCTTGATCTACGTCTTCGGCTGAGGTGGCAGCGAGCACAGGTGCGTTCCCTAATGGAGATCTCTCCTGTGTTTGGGGTTCTAAAGTCTCATCATCGACAAACTTCAAGATAGTACCGTCGTTAATTAGATGCCAGACGTTCAAATAACTGTACTCTTGGATACAGTTGGTCAATTGTAACATGGTAAAACCTCTGGATCTTACAGTCTTCATGATACTGTCATATGATAATGCATTGCTTTCACGGCCTGGAATATTAGCATTATCTTGAGACAATTTCTTAATGATAGTGAAGATCTTAGTGGTTGGGTTTTCATCCTCACGGTTTTGACGTTTTTCTTGATATAACGATTCCTTGGACACACGTAATAATCTTAAAGCCTCTTCAACATCTTCAATATCAACAGTTGATGCTAATCTTAATTTGGCTAATGCTTGAGACATTCTAATTATACCTAGTAATGTTCTCGGCGTGGCCTGACCAAACGAAAATTTGGAGTCCATTTCACGTTTAGAATCCTGTCTTAAACGGATATAGGCTTGGACCACATATTCATTAACGTCACTACTTAGGATTGGACGCATAGTCTTTGCAAATGCAATGAATTCACGCATTATTGAAGAATCCACAGGTTCAAAATCTAAATCAGGTTGCTTATTATGCATATGGACATAAGCAACATGTTCTGCAAGTTTTTCATCACTTTCTCTCTCTGGAGTATCTAACATTAAAAACATGATATCAAATCTAGATAATAATGCAGCAGGTAAGTTAATATTTTCTAATGGTGATAATCTTGGATTATATCTACCATATACAGGATTAGCTGCAGCTAAAATAGAGGCTCTAGCGTTCAGGGTGGTATTAATACCAGCTTTAGAAATGGATATAGTTTGTTGTTCCATGACTTCATGAATAGCAGTTCTATCACTTTCATCCATCTTATCAAATTCATCAATACAACAGATACCATTATCTGAAAGAACTAAAGCACCACCTTCTAAGATCATCTCGTCAGTCACAGGATCTCTCATCACAGCAGCTGTCAAACCAACACCTGAAGAACCTTTACCAGTAGTATAAACACCTCTTGGAGTAATCTTACAAATAGACTTCAATAATTGAGATTTAGCAACACCGGGATCACCCATTAAACAAACATTAATATCACCTCTAATCTTCATACCATCACCAACACGTTTATCAACACCACCAACTAATAATAGCAATAGGGCCTTTTTAACATCTAAGTTACCATAAATTTCAGGAGCAATAGATTTGGCTAATCTGTTGTAAACGTCACCTTCAGAAACAATATTAGCAACACGAGCCTCAGCTTCTGGTGTTAGGGCAAAAGAACCAAATTTCTTCTTATGTTGACGAACAAATTGAGCTTCCAAATATGTCTCGGTTAATAAACCAGCCTTTAAAGCTCTGAAACCAGTGTAAGGTGCAGGCAAAAATATACCGCTTACATCGACAGTATCACCAGGTGTCAATGATCTAACAAGATCACCGTTTACATGGATAGTTAAAGATCTTGGAATATGACCAACTGGAACTTGTTGAGATAATTCTTGGATTTTACATTCTTGGAAAGCACTGAATTTAGAGGCTCTTGTACTCATAAATAATTGACCTCTAGTTTGATTTTGAGCACATTCTCTAGAAGAGCATTCAGTCAAAGGAGTAAATGTTCTAGTATTGACTTCTTGGAACACTTCATACCCACATTGGTCGCAAGTATACGCTATCACGGTTACTGCTGGTTTGACATCTGAAACTCTGGTGACAATACCTCTAACGGTAATCAATTGACCGATAAAATCACCTTTCACTTGTCTAACAGACAAAGGCTTTGAAGTATGTCTTTTAATACCATTTTTGTGATGACGATAAGCAGCACGTTTTGATAGAGGTTTAAAATATAAGAAATAACGTCTTGTTAAATTTGCTGGGAATAATTCTGTCTCATCTTCCGCAATTTCTCTTAAAGCTTGAGATTGAGAAGAGTTAGGATCATTTTCATTTCCTAGAGAATGTTCTGTTCTTAGTTCATTTGATCTATCAGATATCAGTCTTTCATTTCTTAATCTTCTTTGAGTTAATATAACATCCAAGACATCATCTTTGTAATTGATTTCCTTGGTTGGTAAAGGTAATACATCATCTACAACACGAGAAAATAATTCTGTAAAATGTTGGGCATTTTCTTCAATGTTAGAAACTAAATCTAGATTACTTGTAGAACTGTTTGAAATAAATTTTTCATTTTGGAATTGTAAAACATCGTCCAATTCAATCAAAATAGTGTTAAGATCCCTGTTTGCTACTTTTTGTAAAATTTTCATATACTTAGGTCCTTTACCAATTTCTTCATCAAGGTCTTCATCTTCATTCTCTTCTTCCAAAGTGGTAACATCTTGTTTAAAATGAGTTAAAAAATCGTTAATATCAGTCTTTAAAGCTGTATAATCGATATTCAATTGTAAAGAAGGTAAGGCAGCGTTCATCTTGAATGGTTATATCTATTCACGGTAATATTTAAGTTTATTGTAGTTGTCTCTAAACGTTAAACTTTTTTTCTTTTTATGTGGGCAGTGGTTGTTGTTGTTATTTTTCACTTTTGGTAGCCGTTGTAAGTTGAATATCTTGACCAAATGAAGAAAAACACTAGTAATTATACTGGTGAATGTGGATTAAATTTTAATGCTAAAAATTTAAGAATGAATTTGAATAAAAAGTATGCTATTGATTTAAATGGATTGAATCAGAATAAAAGAACATTAATAACAGAAAGTGTAAACGTAAGTTATTCAAAAAAGGTCTGAAAACGCTTCCAATGAAAGAAAATATAAAAAAAAGTCCTTCTTGGTGCCCCGAAACCGCAATTATTCCTAATCGGGTAATATAATTTCTCGATGTTTTCTTTTTTTTCCCGTTTGGCGATTCTTGATTTTTATCACTTAGTACGTTATGCGATTGAACTCTGAGATTGTATTTCGAAATATTAAGGTCATCCAACAATTAAATATAATAAACCAGGATGTTCTACATAATTGTTGTTAAAAAGTTGGATTCTTGTCAATTTTATACAGTATTTGAAATATGCGATACAAATCAAGTACCATTGAAAGGTTTGTATTCTTTTATACAGGACAAACGTTAATAAAGGAAGCTATTAATAACTTAGGCTTTATATTTCCATCCACCATTCTTATCTAATAAAATAATAATACATATGAGGTAAATTATCAGTTTGTTCGTTTTTTTAACAGGTTTATCTCCATGGCAACTTCAGTTGTCTTTTCATATTTACTTATATATCTCTATCTTTTCTTTTTTTTGTATTCTAGCATACTTATGTACCATAGTACTCTATACAATTCAGGCGGACACATCTAGCGTGGTATGCAACCCCCCTCGTATCTTACAATCTGTTCTATCTTTCCCGACTGCAATTATGTCTTTTTCTCTTTTTGCAATACCGTCTTACGAGTGGATTACTAATTTATTATGATTTCGATTACCTAAAAAGTAAAGTGCGAATCACTTTTTTTGTGCCTCCGGTAACAGGTTGCCATGGCAAAATGGAATTTTTTTTTTTTTTGTTACTACAGGAAACTAAAATACTTTCAAGAATTGATGATGCCTTAATTTATCTTCGATTAGGAAAAAGGAGAATGTCGTTGTCATATATAAAGTTGATGAAAATTATGCTCATTCACTTATGAATCAATTTTTTTACGGTATTAGATGAGCCAATATTAAAATTCAAATTTAGCACCAAAACTATTATCATATATAAATAAACGATCTCCAATTATCGCAGTTCTAAAATAATTATGTTATCTAATATTTTATTAAAACAAAACCAACTTAAATTTAAATATATTTCCACATTGTACGCAACCGGTTTACCTTTACTTAAGAATCGTGGAATAACTATAAAAAAGAATGGTAAATGGAATGTAATGTACGTCTCACTAAGTTTTATTTTACCATTCTCTTTACCAGCTTATGTATCACAAAAAAGAAGATGTTACCATAAGAATATACCGATGGGGGCAAATATTTCATATGGGTTTGTTTAATTTATCATAGAATATAAAAAAATACCTAAATAACAGTGAAACCAAAAATGGATAATTTATTTTATAAAATGTCTATATTTAATAATTAAATAACTACACAATAATAAAAGAAAATTAAATAATGACGCATTTATGTTGCCGCTTTTTGTTTTGATCTACTGTCCTCGTAATACTTTTAGATGATTCTTTTTTTTAATTCAAAGTCTGAAGATCAGTATATGCACATATATATTTATAGTAGGACAATAAGAAGAAAAACGTAGATTTTCTAATGTCTTTCATAGTTCAGAGTTCCCGTTTATTTTGTTCTTCTTTAGTTTATCCCTTCAGCATTATTGCCATTATGTTCACTGGTTGTATTATCATTTAATCTCCAATTTTGAAAGGACAACCACATGTCATAAGGTGGTTTCATTAGATCTATATCATATAATTTACCTACAATATCGTCTAAATAATAAACGAGATGTGCAGGTAAAAAATTTATGCTGATCTCCAAAAGAGATAATCCTTGAGAAAAATACATGTTAAAGTACATCAGATACGGTAAAAGTGGTGTTGCAATTATAAATCCACCAACCGCTCCACCATTCATCTCATCTGCATGTTTTTTAAAATGGAAATTCACTAAATTTTCATGGAGGATCATTCCTAAAGATGACATCGGTAAAACATATCGAGTCATTGTAATTATTAATGTTAGAAGTAAAGTAATTAACCACATGAATCTGCGACGTTCATTGTATGATGATTCGAGGTATGAAAGATGATTTGCCGATACCAAAATATTACCAATCGTAGCCCATGTTAAAGTACCATAATTAAATACAGACAGGAGTATTCGATGGTATTGCCCTTTTTTAAAAACTAAATCATAACTATATATTAGTTTAGCGGGATCGATTAGGTTTAATGATGTCAATATTAGGACAGTGATGCAACCTATAGTCCAACATTTTGTAACAACAGGTACATCTGCAAATATATTCAATGCAATAACATCCATAGTTTAAAAATGTAATGTAGTTTTATCACTATACTTATTGCTCTTCTTCGATTATTATTGAATCAACAATGGATTCTCTTTTGCTTATCTTATTAACAAGTGTTCAATTTACTGTGTTGGGCCCTTTATAATAATAAGCATGGTGTTTATTTTTCAAAGATTATTATTAGACGCATCTAAGTAAGCGGTGAATGTACTACCATAATGAATATAACAAAAGACTGGCATTATAGAACAATAGAAGCTAAACAAAGTTATAAAGTAGCCCACTTGTTTCCAAATCTAATTCGTAGTTTCTGATATCCAATTTTTTCTTTATAAACAATATTTTAAAAAGGTTTCTTAGTTTTATTTGGTTCGTAATATAAAACACATGAATTATTCTTCTCACCACCATACAACCCAACTTTGGGAAACTCGTGGTTTAAAATAATGTTTTAATTATACTTATATATATATACATACATTGTAAAAAACTGTTAACAAACTTTCTGATTAATCAAAAGTTAGTGTGTCTGGAGATGATTTTACAGTTGAATAAAATATCACTATGTACTAATATTTACGTTTAGCAAGACATTCAGAGTTTTTGGTATTGGTTGTAAAGTTTTAAAAATAATTATCTTACCATATTTATTAATTCTCTTTTACACTATGAATTGTTTCCATTACAATGAAAACAATCTATGTCTTATATATTAATGAATAGCAATATATTAGAATAATAATAATTAAGAATACATATACACTTTTAAAAATGTCCATCTCATCAGACGTGCTCTATCCAACTGAGAAAAAAAAGTTTTACGCTACTAACCGAGGTGAACTATCACAACCGTTAAGTCTAACGTTTAGTCTAAACGACCAGTGGTCCAATAGTCAATATAAAATATATCAGTTAAAAATAGGATAAAAATTCTTAACAAATAAATCATATTTCTAGAATATCGAATGGAATAACTTCCACTTCATCATTCAATTCTTCAACTGTCGTGAACAGATATCTTCAGTTTAGCTTGAATAATTTGTAATACTTGAGCATCAGTCCTAATCTCTTCTGCATCACCTTCGGTAAGTTTGACATACAATTTGAAATCGTCACTTTCAACCCTTGGTGCGATCTTTTCACGTAATTCAATAAAGTTGATGTCATGACTCAATAACAATGCAAAAATATCATCCTTGTAATAAAATTTAATTTTCGTTGGTTTAATTGCAGGTGGTAATGCACTTGGTGGTCTAGATTTTGGTTTTGATGAGTTTAGAGATAATTTAGAAAGTCTGTCGAACATTTTCATATCTTCACCGGTTAGAGTACTATCCTCATTTTTTATTCTCCTGTTAGTACTACTTGCTCGACTATTCTTCCTCGATGATAATACGCGTCTTGGTCCTTCGGAATTGAAATTATCTTCGGATCTATTTTCATCGATATCTTGAAGCTCAGATTGACTTGGAACCTCCGAGCTATATTCCCCATCAAAACCATTATCTGAAACATTAAACAAATGATTCACTAATGGTGAATTTGATATATATTCTGGCAACTTAATTAATTCTTTCACATAAACATCTAAATCATCCATTCTCTTTTGTGTAATAGAATCTGTCACATACGGAACAGGACCTGGTATATAAGGAACAATTCTTTTCGTCCATTGTCCATTTTTGTCCCTTAATTTACCAGATTCAGCTGGGAATTTATCTAATAATTGAACTTGTAAATCATAAAAATCCTGATACGAACGTTTTAATTTTCTAAGTCTACCATTCGATAGTTCACAATTGACCTCATACCAATATTTTTCATCTTCGAAGGAGAACGACAAAACTGCAGCATTAGTTAAATAATCTGTATTTAAATCATCTGCTTCAGAGGCAAATGCTGATAATCCACCATTCATTTGAGATATTGTATTGTTACCATCATCGAACATGGCAAGATCCTGATTATAATCGCTTTCAAATTGTCCCAAAGTGATATTACTGGCTTTATATTTTGCGACATTAGATTTCCATTCTTGAACAGTTGGTAGATTTACTGATGCAATATCATCTCCAATATCATTACCACTTGCATAACCTGTGGCAATGTCTATAATACTTACAAACCCAACGGGGACTAGACCTGGACCACCTAATCTACCAATAGGTTTAGCAATGAACCATTCATAGTTATGGTGAGCACATATGAATAAATTTTCTCCAACATGTACACTCAATTCATCTGATTTTTCAGCTTTAAAATCATATAATACAATTGCATAAAGAGATCCAAATTTTTTATTTCCAGTTTGTGAACCTGTCAATGAAGTATTACCCATACTAGATGTAGATGAGGATCTTTTATCTATGACTTCAAAGAGAGATTTCGGCACTAATCCACTCTTTCCTGCAGCAGGATTTGTTACATCATACCAATCACCTCTATCACTAGTCACATAAAAGAAGTCACCTCTACCAAATGATAATTCTTTACTTGACTTTGCATTATAATGATGCAGAGCCTTAATGACCCTATCGGGGCCAGACGCAACTATTGAAGGTCCCTTTATAGGTGATGAATGTTTGCTTTTCGATGACAATCTTTTCGATGAGGAAGATAATCGACTTGAAGATTTTGCTGACTCTGTACCATATAGACCAGACCCATTTTTCATATGGAAGGAGGCATCCATACTCGAGTCGGAAACATTTGTTGGAGTAGAAATATCTAAAGAGGTAATTCTTCCCTTTGAGTCACTATTTCTCTTGGATAATTTAAAGTTTTTCAACATTTTTTTGTTTTTTCAATTTTAGATATATATATATATATATTTGTAAAATCTTCTTTTTGCCTCAGTAATATTCAATATTATTCCTCAATAAAATATTCTCTTTATTCAAAACTGATTGTGAAACCCTACACCAGTTCTCTTTTGCAAACTCAATATCTTTATGAGAACTTTAACAATAAATGACAAACAGAAGAAATATATCACTGTGTGTTACAAATAGACTCACAAACGACAAATGAACGATAAAAGAGTACGTCTAACACAATTCACTTTCTCTAATTCTAAATATAAATCACATCTACCAATAAAAAAATAATGTCAACTATTACTTCAAAAGTGAACAGCTGTTGTGCATCCCAGCTATCCTGTCAAGTGAATGCAATTTCTGCTCTTTCGTCTTTGATTCAAATTTCTCGCATTGAATTTTCCACATCTCATTTTTCCACTTCACGCGCCGGAAGAATACAGTAACTATATGAATTTAGTGGGAGGGCTCAGCTAACTATCATATGCCTTGCTAGCCACATCACATTACATCACATCACGTCAGAGAATTAAAGGGCAAGTTGTACATATTGCGATGAAATGTCACCGTCAGAGGGCCAACTTGCTTTCCCAGACTGTTGTGAGTTTGATCGTTTCTGCCGATGATGTTTTTTCATTAACCTTATGTAATTTATTTATTTAGTTGCAAACATATGCAATGTAGAAAATAAAAAGAGTAACTAACGAAAAGCTCTGAAAGTATTTTACAGTTTTCCATTATTCAATCGCTATTCTTCTTGTAATATAGATTCAATTCATCGTCTGTCATACTATATTTCATCCATGTTGCTTGACAGTTCTCTATCTCTAGATTATCCCAAGGTGTAAATGAGCCTGGTGTACATCTATTATCACATTTCGCAGAGTTCGGACAATTTGTGTATGGGAAATGAGTGTATCCAATATCTCTAAACCAATGGATCTGTGACTTATCAGCAAAGAGGCCCAATGCCAAACTTCTAACTGGCGCGTCCCCCCACCTTTCGTAATAAAACCCACCTTTCGATTCGAGGAAATCCATATAGGCTTCATATGGTTCAGATCTTAAGAAATCCAAATTCGCAATCTCAAAGTTTGTCCAGAAATGACAAGAAGAATAACCTTCAGTGATATTGAAGTTTATAGATTTTTGCATATTCTCTTTGATCCAGTCAAAGGAACCTTGTTCATTAATATAATCTGAGTTTTTTTGTAAAAATTCTCTTGTATCCTTCCATAGACTCTTAATAGATTGTGGACTATCATATAAATTTAACACATATCCATAGATTTTATTATGGTCTGCCATGAATTTAAATATATCATAGTCAATATCACAATAGAATTTAACGCCTGGTTCTAATCTCCAAGTATATTTAATATCTTTCAATAGAGGATGCCTATAAAAAGATCTAGAGTAAAACCTACACATATTGTGATAGGATTCCATTTTTGCATAAGAGACATCTTCTGAATCCAATAGTTCCACACCTTGTTTATATTTTTCTTTATCCACACTCTCTGGAATATTCCAATCCTCTTCACTAATCTTACCAAAACGTACTTCACGTTCTGATGGTAATAAATGAATAATAACCTCTTTAAACTCTTCAGAAAACTCTTCGTCATTTAAAAAAGTATAAGGATAATTAAATTTAGCATTAAATTTCTCTTCTATTTGTTTAATGGATTGTACTAACTCTTTTAAATCCTCATTTCTCACTAATGACAATATAGTAGCTGGTACAGCATTTCCTGCATTAAAATTCGATTCACTACTACGAACCAAATCTTCTACTTGTGGTTCATCGATTTCTTTTGACATAGTGTCTCTATATAGATTCAAATTATCCAAATATATTTGTTTAGTCCTAGTCTTATTAACTTGATCTTCAGGATATAAAGGTGTATCCAATTTTGTCAATAGCTGAGATATGGTCTCTTCATCATAATGTGGATTCTTCCAAACGTAACCAGGTTCTAAAGTGTTACCGTTTCCAAAATAACTAATCTTATCACCTACATATTCTATCACATTATTAGCATGATCCTTCACAGTCCCCAAATATTCATCATAATTGGCAGAGTCATGAGAACCAACACTCATCACAAATACAATAGATAGGACGGCCATCACCAAAATGCCAAGAAACGTTGAGCGCAGACTAAACCGTCTGCGAAACATGGATAATAGTAACCTCATCGCTTACAGATCCAACCTATACTTATGTATATATTTATTTATATTCTATCCAGTTATAATGAACGATACAAATTCAGGTTACTACCTCTTCAAGAATACCAAATATAACTCATTCTTAATCATTTATAATGGAAATTAAGTTATAAATGAAAGACTCACAAGCATGGTATGACAATAACTGTGCCTGAACCAGATCCCGCGTCGTGCGGAGTGAGATACGGGCTTTCTCTTAATTTTGATTTTTTTCAAAGTTATTCAAACAGACAGTGAGAAATTTGGAATTGACAAGTTAGATGAATAGGTATAAGAAAGATAATAATAACAATAAGTTGAAGAAAAAGAGAGAAGGAGAGGGGAAAAGTGACATCTGTTTGTTTGTTTGTGTTTGCTATAGAACAATAACGTTATTCTTATCTCATTGAGTGGTCAAAGTTTCTAGCAGGAGGTCATATATTGTCAGTCCTTTTTTTTGTTTTTGTTTTTTTGATTACATTTCAAATACTAACTCTGTTACTAGAATAGCAACCAAAACTTGTAAAAGATGGCTCAAACTAATGCTTCAGATACAACTAATGGTAGCTCTACAAAGAACGGGAACACTAGCACGACTGCTGCCGGTACTACAAAGAATGGAAACTCCAGTGGTTCGCCGGCTACATCATCAGCAACAAAAACAACTACAACAACAACAACAACATCGAACACAAATAACAAGACGATTAAGAGTTCCAGTACCAATGGGAAGAATGCCAAACAGGGAAGTAATACTAGTGGAGCCTCTCAACAAGGACAACCACAGGGACAGGGACAAACAAATAGACCCAATGGTCAGTTCTCTGCTCAGGACTTGAATAGAATTGTCCTTGAATATCTAAATAAAAAAGGTTATCATAGAACAGAGGCAATGTTAAGGGCAGAAAGTGGGAGAACATTAACTCCACCAAATAAAAGTTCGCCAGGTACTACAAAAAATGGTACCATTCCTGAACCATCAACAAAACCTCCAGTGGCAGGGAGAGTAATTGACCCTGTGAGTAATCCAGCGGAAGCTTCCTCTAATCTTCCAAGTACGGCAACAACGCCGGCTAATAAAGTAAAAAACGAACCAGGTGTCCCAGCAAAGAGAGACAATAAAGGTGATATAATATCTCGTGAAGAATTAGAAAATGAAACATCTCCTGAAAGTTATATTAGAGCTTATTCATTATTAAAGAATTGGGTTGATGCCTCAATTGAAATATATAAACCAGAATTGAACAATATCATGTACCCAATTTTCATTTATTTGTTTTTAAACCTAGTAAAGAAAAATAGAATCGTGGCACGTAGGTTTTTTGATAAATTCTCAGCAGATTTTAAAGTGTTACACAGTACAGAAATCAATAGATTATTTAGTGTTAACTCAATCGATCATATTAAGGAAAATGAAGTAGCAAATACATTTGTCTCAAATAAATATAGAATTACTTTATCCAGAACAACTTTAAACTTATTATTATATTTCCTAAATGAAAATGAATCTGTTGGTGGGTCATTAATAATAGGTATCATTAATGAACACATTCAACCAAATATTGTCACTACAGTTACATCAAAGGATAGATTATCTGATGGTATCAAGAATTTGGCCAATGATAGTAGGGCAAATGCAAATGTAACATTAGAGATTAATTCTGCACCAGTCACATTAGGACCATATCCACAGGATAAAGAATTCACAAAAGAAATCGAAACTGAATTAAAGATTAAAGATGATCAAGCGAGACAACAGATTAATAGAATGAATGCTAATGCAACTACAGATAAAGAAACATCATCCACTACTAAAGAAACAGAGGAAAAAGATAAGACCCCAGGAGCCACCAGTAGTGGAGAGACTACGAAGGACTCTACACAAGAAGGTGAAAATAGTTCAAAAGATGATAATATAGAGCCACCAAAGAAGACATTATTAGATGAGTATCAAGATATGAAGGATATGCCATTCAAGAGTGGCGATTTAGATAGTACAAAAATAGAAAATGGTGATGATAAGGTATCTGATGATTCGAAAACTAAAGATGATAAAGGGACTTCAGGTGAAAACAAAGATATATCGATAAAATCAGACACTGATTCAATATCAAAGGTGAAGATGATTGCTCAGAAACCTGCAAAAGACGATGTCTCTATGAAATCACCGTCTATAGATAGTTTACCATTGCCACCAAAAACGTCCTTAGATTTAAAACTTGAGATTCTAAAGATTAAAGAATCGCGTGAAGCTATTGAATTGGGTAACTTACAAATTGCGCAACCAAGTGTATGTATGTATACTTTCCACAACACAAATAGAGATATGACATCCTTGGATTTCAGTGATGATTGTCGTTTAGCAGCAACTGGGTTCCAAGACAGTATAATTAAACTATGGTCATTAGATGGGTCATCTTTAGTCACAAATAAGATACCAAGTCATAAGCGGGAAGAAATGATGAGAACAGACCCCACAACAAGTACATTGGTCGGTCACAGTGGAGCTGTCTACGCTACCGATTTCTCACCTGATAACAGATTTTTGTTATCAGGATCTGAGGACAAGACTGTTAGATTATGGTCGTTAGATACACATACAGCCTTAGTGAGTTATAAAGGTCACAACCATCCTGTCTGGGATGTTAAATTCTCACCATTAGGCCATTATTTTGCTACAGCGTCACACGATCAAACTGCTAGATTATGGTCCTGCGATCATATCTACCCATTACGTATATTTGCTGGGCATTTAAATGATGTTGATACGTTATCATTCCACCCTAACGGTTGCTATGTGTTTACAGGTTCCAGTGATAAGACATGTCGTATGTGGGATATCAACACTGGTGACTCTGTACGTTTATTTTTGGGCCATACAGCTCCAGTGGTCACCACTGCAGTTACTCCAGATGGTAGATGGTTATGCACTGGTGGAGAAGATGGTGTAATCAATGTTTGGGATATCGGTACAGGCAAAAGATTGAAGCAAATGCGTGGACATGGTAAGAATGCCGTTCACTCTTTCTCATTCAACAAAGAAGGTAATGTTTTAGTAAGTTCTGGTGCCGATCACTCCGTAAGAGTATGGGACTTGAAGAAAGCTACTGCTGAACCAAGCGCCGAACCGGAACAACCATTCGTGGCATACGCAGGAGATGTAACTGCGTCAGTAAACCAAGACATCAAGGAGTTTGGACGTAGACGTGCTATTATACCTACTAGTGATCTAATGTCTACATTCTACACCAAGAAAACACCGGTCTTCAAAGTGAAATTCACTAGGAATAACTTGGCTTTAGCGGGTGGTGCATTCCGTGGATAAAATATAATGTTCATCAGATAATAAATACAATTCCAACTAAATTCCATGTAACTATAAAGAGCCAGAAAACATATATACTTTTTGTACTTATATATCTCTGATCAATATCAAGTTTTCAAGATGAAAACTTTGTCTATATTGAAAATGTGATTTCAGCGATTAATATACGAAATCTAGAAAAGAGCGTTATGAAGGCGCGTAAACTTAAAAGGTGATTTTTAACATAAGTGGAATGAAGAGAAGAAACCTAACAATTTTGAACTTTCCTTGACAGTATTCTATTCAAGTATTAATTCCGTATATGTATGCCATCATGCATGAATAAGTACATCATATAAGAGAAATAACAATGTCTGAGGAGTTAGAACGTAGTGTTGACAGTGTGAAATCTGACAGTCTACCTGTTTCGAACTCAAATGGGTCAAATAATACTACAGAAACAAGACACATGAAGGCACCACCACCAAGGCGAAACTCCATGGCTAGTAAATCCAAGGATCGGTTCGATAAAGATGGTGTGTGGTCCGCCATCGATACGCTCGACGATGTAAGGAAGATGGCTGCTGAAAATAAAGGTAAAGATGTATTCCCTGCGGGGTTTGAAGAAGATTTAGACGTTTCAAGAGCCACTAATGCAACACTATTGCATATAATCCGAAACAGAGCCGAACGTATAGCTAAGGATATTAGAATCAGCCGAGAAGATAATAAACAAGATTCTAAGACAGAAGAAGAACCCGTGAAACGTAAAGGGCGTACTAAGAATAAGGACAAGGACTTACTTTCGCGATCATTATCTAAACTGAATCTTGTTAACATGGACAAGAAGGTTATACCTGAAAACGACGAGTATTTATCTGTGAACCTCAGTAAACATAACATCTTCACCAATAGTAATAGTAGCAATGAAAATAGCGACGTAGATAGTCAAACTTATAGTGATGCCAGCGATGAGGTCGATACCAAAACAGGCCATTCAACCGCCAAACAGCCTCTCTATATCAGTGATTATACAGATTATCAAGCAAACATCCAAAAGATCGCGTGCGACGAAGAGACCTATGTCTCAACCCTCATTAGTACTGTTAGGGCATCTTCCAAACGTGAACAGTGATAATTCGAATAGTGGAAGCCGTTTTTTTTCCCGATTGGAAAATATATTAATTCTCACAGAGAAAGGTAGAAAGGTGAAGGACGTTATAGTACAGGTCTGTTCATACTTGATTAGTGGAAGCCCAGGCGGTGCTATACTGAAGAGCCCGAATCCATCAACTTCGCTATTATCAAGTTTACATTGTGTGGAGGCGGAATTATAGACACAAGCATCCGATGATGATGAACCTCTCGAAAAGACCCACCTTCTTGCAGTCAAGTCTCTACCAATTTTCGCTTACACTACCAAAGGCCACATCAGCTACGGGCGACAGACGTAGGGAAACCTATCCATATTGTACTTCCAATTATCAACTATTAAGTCAATAGTTATTATTTTTTTGCGTGCTTTTTTGTTTTTATTTCTTTCGCTTACCTGGAAATTTTATCATCACTTCATGATGCTATTACTGTGATCATGTCCCCTGTTCTTTTTCCTAGCCCTTTTTATGTTATCCAACTTAACTAACATTGTGCGTGCCTTCCGGCTGGCATCACACCAGTCGTAGTTTACAAGACACGTTCACGCTCATATATATATGAATGTGAGAAGGACGCTTTACGCAATATACTTTCCTATTCTTTGTTCAAAGTGCTTACGATTAATTAAATAGTTAATGGATCCTCCTTTTTTTTATATTTAATTTGATTGTTATTTATACTGTCATCTTTTTGTTCTCTTTTAAAGGTGATTCTTTTGCCATTTAAAAAAACTTTTTTTGTTATCTTGTTTTATTCAAATTATTTCTATCTCTTTCCTTTGCAGTTCTTCTTTCATTACTTATATCTTGTCCCACAAGCACAATTATATATACGATACGATGTCTGCTGCTAACCCAAACACCTTCTCTAACTTCAGTCTAGCTACTGACCTACCAGCTTGGTCTAAGCTACAATCCATCTACGATGCTCAAGGTAAGTCCTTGTCCGTCAAGGAAGAATTCGCCAAGGATTCTAAGCGTTTCGCTAAGTACTCCAAGACTTTCCAAAACTACGATGGTTCCAAGATCATGTTTGATTTCTCTAAGAACTTGGTCAACGACGAAGTCATGAACGCTTTAATCGAATTGGCCAAGGAAGCCAACGTCACTGGTCTAAGAGATGCTATGCTAGCTGGTGAACACATCAACTTCACTGAAGACCGTGCTGTCTACCATGCTGCTTTGAGAAACAGAGCTAACAAGGTCATGACTGTTGACGGTACCAATGTCGCCCCAGAAGTCGATGCTGTCCTACAACACATGAAGGAATTCTCCGAACAAGTCCGTTCCGGTGCTTGGACCGGTTACACTGGTAAGAAGATCACCGATGTTGTTAACATCGGTATTGGTGGTTCTGATTTGGGTCCAGTTATGGTCACTGAAGCTCTAAAGCACTACGCTGGTGACATCCAAGTCCACTTTGTCTCTAACATTGATGGTACCCACATTGCTGAAACTCTAAAGGGTCTAAATGCCGAATCCACTCTATTTTTGATTGCTTCCAAGACCTTCACTACTGCTGAAACCATCACTAACGCTAACTCTGCCAAGACTTGGTTCCTACAAAACACTGGTAACAATGCTTCTCACATTGCTAAGCATTTCGTTGCTTTGTCTACCAACGAAACCGAAGTTGCCAAGTTCGGTATTGACACAAGAAACATGTTCGGTTTCGAAAACTGGGTCGGTGGTCGTTACTCAGTTTGGTCTGCCATTGGTCTATCTGTTGCTATTTACATCGGTTACGACAACTTCGATGCTTTCCTAAAGGGTGCTGAAGCCGTTGACAAGCACTTCACCGAAACTCCAATTGAAGAAAACATTCCATTACTAGGTGGTCTATTGTCAGTCTGGTACAACAACTTCCACGGCGCCGAAACACATTTGGTTGCTCCATTTGACCAATACCTACACAGATTCCCAGCTTACTTGCAACAATTATCTATGGAATCTAACGGTAAGTCTGTCACCAGAGGTAACGTTTTCGCTAGCTACTCCACCGGTTCCATTCTATTCGGTGAACCAGCTACCAACGCCCAACACTCCTTCTTCCAATTGGTCCATCAAGGTACCAAGTTGATCCCATCTGATTTCATCATGGCTGCCCAATCCCACAACCCAATTGAAAACAAGTTACACCAAAAGATGTTGGCCTCTAACTTCTTTGCTCAAGCTGAAGCTCTAATGGTCGGTAAGGATGAAGCTCAAGTTAAGGCTGAAGGTGCCACCGGTGGTCTAGTTCCACACAAGGTCTTCTCTGGTAACAGACCAACTACTTCCATTCTAGCCCAAAAGATCACCCCAGCTACTCTAGGTTCTTTGATTGCTTACTACGAATATGTTACTTTCACTGAAGGTGCTATCTGGAACATCAACTCCTTTGACCAATGGGGTGTTGAACTAGGTAAGGTTCTAGCTAAGGCTATCGGTAAGGAATTAAACGACTCTTCTGCCGTTGCTGCCCACGATGCTTCCACCAACGGTTTGATTAACCAATTCAAGGAATGGATGTAAACTTGCTGAAAAAAATATTACTACATTTTTATAATGCACTTTTTTTAGCTTACTACATTATACTTAAGATATACTGATGTATACAGAGGTACCTTTTTTACTATAAATTTAGGATGCTCCTTGACACAGATGTATATTTTGATGACTTTAACGTATATATACAGATACATAATTATATCGAAAACAATTATTACCTTTTTAATTTTAAATTTCGAAGCAACAATATTAGGATATATAAATAACATTCATCTTGTTTCTGTTTCATCCCTAATAAATGTGAAAATTTCGCTACTCATTTGAAGTTTCGATTTCTTTGTCTTAAATTTTGGGCATCTTAAGTTAACGCGTACAAGAAATCAATTATGATCTTGAAGTTCAAGTACTTGACATTTTCAATTCACTCAATCAAGTTAAAAGTAGCACTGTCACCATTGCGATATTAGTAGTCAACACATCTGTACAACTCAAAAATGGAGATTATTGAGGAACCACTCAAGGAATCAGGAATTTCAATTGATCTACAAGAAAGATATGGACGTTGGAAGAAAAATACAAAACTACTATACGATTATTTAAACACGAACACTTCAAAATGGCCTTCCCTGACGTGCCAATTTTTCCCTGACTTGGATACTACCACTGATACACATCGTATTTTATTGTCATCATTTACCTCATCACAATTACCTGAAGATGAAGCGATATATATTTCAACAATATCGACTTCAAAACACTTAAATTGGGCTTCATTGAATAATTTTGATATCGATACCATGGAATTCAAGCCCGATAATTCGACCAAATTCCCTTCTAAACATTTGACTACAGATATCACTATAAAGTTTCCAAACGGTGATTGTAACAGTGCGACGTTTCTGCCTCAGAATCCTGATTTGATTGCTGGTGCATCATCAGACGGTTCCATATATATATTCAACAGAACAAAGCATGGTAGTCGTAAACTTAGACAAGTACAGGATTCTCAACTACTATATGAAGCACGTTTCAATTCAAGAGGTAACTTGGTGGATGACATTTCTGAACCCAATGAGGTTCTCTCCATCGATTGGAATAAGCAGAAAGAAGGAGAACTTCTGTCGTCTTATTCTAATGGCGATATAAAAATATGGGATATGAAAACATATACAATGAAAAACGCTGATATTTCTAATACAGTTCTAAGTTTTAATTTTGATGCTATGGGTACCAACTGCGTGAGCTGGATGCCTTCCCATGAATCTCTTTTTGCTGCCGCAGGTGAAAGTAATATAATGTCAATATTGGATACTAGAAAGAAAGACCTCGAAATAAATAAAATCAATATGAAACACCATTCTCAAGGGATAAACTCTTGTAGATTTAACATATTTAACAGTATGTTATTAGCAAGTGCAGATGGGAACGGACGTGTCAATATCTGGGATATAAGACAACTGGATCAGGAACCAGTTTCAACATTTGAACATGGCTCCTCTATTTCAGCGATAGAATGGAATCCGAACCTTGAAACAATACTAGCTACTGCAGGACAGGAGGATGGCCTGGTTAAAATATGGGATACATCGAACAGTGAACCTATATTTGTCCATGGAGGTCATATGCTTGGTGTCAATGACGTAGCTTGGAATGCCCACGATCCATGGTTAATGTGCAGCGTTGCAAATGACAATACAACTCACATATGGAAACCTGCTCGTAGTATAGTAGACGATGCTTAAGGGAACAAATGTTGAGGTAATTGGCTGTTTTTTAGATTTTATTATGTCTATATATCTGTACATAATCGCATCACATGAATAATTTTACACCAATTCATTAGCATTCATACATATAGTCAGTATTTAATGTTCTTGTGCAACAACAACCATTACATGTAACTTCTCTTGGGTAGATCCTAGGGAAGCTGAATATCATTCAAGCCACAAAGTCTAGGAGTTGTAGTTTTTCCTTTTCTAAATGTCATTTCATTATATTTAACATTTTTACAACCTGGAGGTGCTATTCCTTCCTTGTTCCAATCTGGGTCATAAAATATACTTTTTTTACCTAATATCTCAAGAGAAGTCTCATCCTTATTTTCATCCACCTTTCCAATGTTATTTCGTATCATAAAATCAAGGTCATCTTTCAATTTCGTTAGGTATGTAGTTTCATTACGCGTGAGTGTATCCTTCTTTTGTAATTCTTGTATCTTCTTCTGGCAACTTGATCTGTTAGTATTGCGTAGTTTTTCTATCCTGTTATTCTTTCGAATCTCCTTATTTCGTTCTTGGGATCTCTTCTTTTGTCTCTTATCTTCTCAAACGTTCAAAATATCTCTGATAGATACCTCTTGTTAAATAGTTAATATTATGTGCTGTCTTAAAATGAATGATCTCATCGATAATGTTGAAAAGAGTTAACTATATACGAATCATCAAGGCTATAAAATAGACATACTTTCACTATCCATTCCTAACCAGTTTCATTAACTGGCAGCTCTACAACAATATTTAGTTCCAATATATATAGATCACGAAGTCTTTTATATTATTTGCGACTTGGCATCTGGGTTTCTTATAATCTGAAGGTCCTTAATTAGATATGAAAAAATAAAAAATTAAATTCAATAAAACAGATAAAGAGAGAGCAGCTTCGACAAATTCTGTATAGTAACAAAGGAACAGTCAAAAGGAAAATAAATCTATAGTATATGTACTGGGCGATACATTAGTTATAACGTGTTTACTTTTTATGGAAACTTTCTAGAATCAATTATGTCACAAAATTCTTCAAACATACTAAACAAGCCAACCAATCTGACACTTAACGACGATATGTATAAACCAGATTTCGGCGGAGTTCCAAGTCAAGCATTGGATGCAATTAGAATGCGATTGGCCCAACTTACACATTCCCTCCGTAAGATTAGGGATGATCTTTCAAAGGCAGAACTTCCACAATGGTACTCGTTGCAATCACAACTGAACGTTACGTTGACTCAAATGATGTCTGTGACATCTACGTTAGAACATTTCCATGATACGTTAGATGCTACTGTAGTATATCCATTGCCTAAATTTCCTACTACATCACACGAGACTCTTTTAACCACACTTTTAAGAAAGAAGTACACACCTGAAGTGGATGAATGGATTAGTGAATCGCGAGAATCGTCTGGATTAGATCACACTCAACTGTCGGCCAAAAATGTAAAACAAGTGCTGCAAAAGGATAAAGAATGTACAAAATGGGCTCTTGATCTTTTTTCAAGTGAATTTGAGAAATATAACTTTAAGGGCTTAAAAACTAAAAAAGAGGAGTTGGAGGGTGACCTGATGGAAACCGATTACATACCCACATCTCAAAATGTTAAACCTTCTGAAGCATTTGTAATAGAAGATGTACTTAACTTCGTATTCCGTGGAGAAGAAAAGGATGAGAAACTTGAAGTTGAGAAAGATAACTCTATAACAAACTAATTACTATGCATGATCGAAACTGTTGTTTCGCTAATTATAAATAACAACACGACTACATATCCATATACCTATATATAAAGAAAAATAAATATCTACAAGGTGAATTAATATGAATTCGAAATAGAGCATATGATGATGGAAGAAGCCATGGAAGAGGGTATTACATTACTTTATAGTAAAATGTGATGAACAAAATATTCATAGCAATGAAGTAAGGACCATGACCTTGATGACTTCAAATGACGAATATCCTGTATGTGCAAAAATGATGAAAGAAAAATGACTAAATTCAGAGCTTTTAAGATGTACAATATTATACTGAATGAGTTAATTTCATTGCTAAAGTACTCGAATCTCAAGAGCTCTATGTTTGCGAAAGAAGTCTAATTACAACTTCCCAGGTACCGAACATTATGATACTATTTGGTACGGTTCTCATTAAATGTGGGGTTAGACCACTATACATTGATATGAAACCTTCCTCTTTAATAATAACTTTAAAACTTTGTAATAAACCCGTGTACTTTACTTTACCATTCTCTACCGGTGATTGTCTCAACCTAGTTCTAACAACCTCATGAGGATATGTCACTATACTAGCGATAAATTTAGCTAAACCGGCACCACCAGATCTTTGACACCATTCTTTAACCCTTTCACCAGTTGTTTTGTGTTTATCACCGTCATGGCCAAATTTTTCTATCGATCTAGTCTTGATCATTAACTTCATTTGTTCGTAAAGTAACCATTGCAATATACCTTCTACCGATCCTAAATATGATGCACTAAGACCCTTATACAAACCTCTGACACCTTCATTTTTTACAATACTCTTTAAACAATCCCACGAATTTACATACTGTCTGGTCTTACCTGCTTTATCTAATTGGACACGAGTTTTAATCATCCAGATAGGGTTGGTTGCTGTGGAGGTAGCCCACCCAGCTGTAGCAGCCGACATCAAATGAATTAGTGGCGATTCCTGACCATTATTGAATGCTTTAGAATAGAGTTCCTTAGTTGTACCGTAAGTAAAGAAATTAATACTTCTAGCAGGAATGACACCCACCAGATTTGGCCCTAAACCCTTAAACAGACTTCTAAAACCTTCTTGTCTATAAACATTCCCAAGGATACCACATGTTTCCTTAAAATGTAAACTTGCCTGACTCGCTACTTGAACAATTTTAAAGTTCGACGTAGAAATATGTGTTGGTGTTTTGAATTTGTAAACGTCCTTATAGACATCACTTTGTAATCTGGTTTTTACCAAATCAAATGGACAAGTGACAATGGCGCCTGCCATACCACCAATACCACCAGCTACAAAATGTACCCAGGGTTTCACAGTTGGATGGCTCTCTATTTTGTTTTCAGTATCTTGCTGGTTAAGTTGTGTAGACTCTCTGAAGGACGCAGATTTTTCATCACTGGCCAAATATGGCGTAGACTCAATGGCATCATCGGTCCATTCTTCGATGGTTTTCTTTGGCATTGTAAACCTCTATAATAAAATTATCAGGTCTGAATTTTTGTTATTTATAATGAAATAATGATAACGTCAACTTTTCAACTGTGAAGATATTCAATGCTTTCAGATTTGTATATCTTAACTATATTTTGCCTTATTGATGATCAATGGTAAAAATATCTATTTACAAGGAAATTCTTATAATCTTCAGAGGACGGCCAAAGAAATATTTTCAATAAGAAATGAGAGTAAGCGGATAATATATCTTGATAGTTTGTTTTGGTGTCCAACAGATCTATGTTCTTCATCTGTTTTATGTTGGTGTCTTTTACATTGTTATATCAATATTTTCAACTCGACGTCCTCTCTTCACTTTATTTTTTTTTTATTCAGTTTTACGCTGTAAAACCTTCGAAGGGAACAATGCTATAGTAATAAAACGAAAATGAAAATGTGACATATCAGAATAATAAACGTATATCAATTAGTCTTTAAGATGATGGACTTAAATCTTTCAATGGGTTCGTTGATATCATTTAGACATTAGAAGTGCATTTCGATTGCTAGGTATCTAGGATGAAAGAGCACTATCTATTTATCTTCTACAATTTATATAAAAGAAAACTTTTAAACTTTAAAATTATTATTAATATGACTAATTATATGTATATTAGAGATATAGAACAAACCTTTGCCATTCCTATGTAAGTATACAACAATTTAACTTATAATATGTAGATAGAAAATGTGGATAGGATGCACCATGGAGAAGTTAAATATGAAAGCAAACATCGTATAATATCGATACAATTAGATGAAAGTTTCGTATGGAACTGGAGCCAAAGTTTGTGGAACGTTACCTTCGGTAGAAACAATACGAGCTTCTCTTGGTTGAGCTGGTTGTCTCTTTAGTTGGACAGCAATACCTTGAGCCTTAGCTTCAGTACGCTTAGCAGCGTTAGTCTTAACTCTTTCCAAGAATTCAGCTCTACACTTAGAGTGCTTGATATGTTCGACTCTGATGTTTAGTCTCTTTTCTAGGTATCTGTTACCGACCATCTTGTTAACGATGATACCAACAGAAGACTTGGTGACGTTGTAAACAACACCGGTCTTACCTTGGTAGAACTTGTGAGGCATACCCTTGTGGATGGAACCGTTAGCCTTGATGTCAACGATGTCACCAACCTTGTAGGTCTTCAAGTAGGTGGTCAAAGAGACAGCACCATGCTTTCTGAAGTCCCTTTGGAACATGTAACGAGTACGAGATCTGTAACCGTGACTATAACAATTTTTTTATTTCATTTCACATCTGTAACTTTTAAGATACTTATATGTATCTATGAATCAACCCCTTAGAATAATTCATAAATACATTCCAGTACATTTGGATAAAGTTATTAACGTAATAATGCAATTGTTTGTTAGTAAAATTTATTCATTAAGATCATTTAAATGGAGTTTTTGTATTAATATTAATATTGTTATCGGTATATGATATTCCTTAAAATATAAATCGGTCATTTAACAAGAGTTTTTCATCAATATCTTTGCCCTATCTTTGTTATTATATTCTCAAACAGTTCCATGTTGATATAACCTCATGTATGTGTTTATAATTAATGCTATCGTTCTTACTAAAATTGCCATTTTTGATATTTTAAAATTCATTCATCCTATAAAACAAACGTCAAGGCTAACATAGTCCACGGTTTAATGGCTTATTACATTTTTCATAATCCTATTATTAATTCAATCTCAATTATTTTCGACACAATTTAATTCTCATTACTTGCACAATATTCCATTTTAAAATTCGTCTTTATGGTACATACGATTTACCCATTTTTGCTTATCGTTCTTGCGTTTGTTGTCTTAAAGTAGATCAATACTATTAAGAATTAAATTTAAGTACAAGCCTTTTAACTAGACTTTAACATATACAATCCTTCACTACATTGGGAGAAATCATCAAGGTTCGGTTCGTTAGTAAGTGTACTGAAACTTTGGTAGTAGACATTGAACCCACATTGGCTAAACCCAATGTTCAATGAGACTACAGAATTACTAACTGTTCCCTCTTGGGTGATGTAAAACCTCTCTAAGTCAGTCAGTAAACATTAGCGAAATTATGAAAAATTTCATTATTGTTCGAAAGCGCTCCGCTACGAAGATTTAGGTGTGGTTTCGCAACTCCGTCAAAAAACAAAAGAACTCTGACGACGCAAAAATTAAAATAAAATTTTGAAGTTGAAAAAGTGATAAAAATGATAAAATGTACAGATGTTATTTGGATGTACGGGTGCAAGTCATACTCTGGAATGTTAAATTGAATGTCAGTCATGTTACTCAACAAGTGCCACAATTAGTATAGACATTCGAAATAGGATAATTTAAAAAGGTAAGAGAAGATCATCTATAATAGAAGTTAGAAATCAATTAGTTGAGTTTTAGTTATATAAAATATAGAGAAAAATAAAGGATCTTATTATACAATAATTACTAAAAATTGTCAATTAATTTATTCTTCGTCAGCTTCTTCAGCTTCAGCATCTTCAGCTGGCTTACCGGCGTGCTTTCTAGCAACTCTACCTGGTCTAGCACCACCGAATGGAGAGGTTGGAGCGAAGTCAATGTGCTTTTCAGAGTCTAATCTGACCATGAAGGAGGCAACGTTAACGATTTGCTTACCAACAGCAATGTGTCTTTGAGAAATCAAGACTCTGGCGTGGTGAACAGACTTGGCTAGACCTAGCTTGTAAACTTGGGTTTGTAGTCTTCTTTCCAAGAAATCTTCAACCTTTAGAGCTAAAACGTAATCCAGCTTCTTCTTGTCTTCGGATAGAACACCAATTCTCACTAGTCTTCTGATCAAAGCATTACCTTCGAATAATCTCTTTGGGTCCTTTTCATCTCTGGTCAATAGATCTCTAGCAGCACGACGGATCTTAGATAGTTGGAAAGAAATTCTGTAGATTTCTCTCTTGTTCTTTAGACCGAACTCACCGGCTAGCTTCATTTCAGCATCTAGACGGGAGGATTCATATGGTCTCTTTGGAGTAGAGTAGGTCTTGGAGTAAGTTCTTGGGGCTCCTAATTAATAGAAAATAGAGTATTCCAAATATTTTTGATTATGAAGAAAAATATTATCATCCATAATAATAAAAATAGAAAATACAGAATAAATTTGTTAGTATTAATGATCTAAAATGACATGTTTATTTATCAACTAAACACACAATTCTTCCGTTTCGATATGCACTGAAGTAAACATCATATGAGAGATAAGTGGAATATTCACCTTAGAGACTCAACTAGAAATTTAAGTTCTTCTTTAAAAATATAGTTACTGAAACCCTTTTCACAAAATCAAATAGATGATTCAAATTACATTTCTATCCACCAATTAAAGGAAGGGGGGTTAAGTCGTATCTTATCGTACTGTATTTCATAAAGTTATCTATCTCCTTTTTACATATGTATGTTCTTTTCAGCTCATATTATTCATTATCATTATAGTACATACTTGGCATCTTGAAATCTGGAAAACGGTCTGGTGCTCTTTAATCACTAAATGAAACAATAATAATAATATTAGTGGTTAAAAGTTTACCTTCTTTTAAATGTATCATTATTTTAGTGAAATTGATATTATGACATCTTACTATTGCTAGGCCGAGCAGCAAAAGTTTCAGAGCCATCGAGCAGCAATCCGTACTAACACCATTAAGCATTCTGGCACTTACACCATGATGATCAATACCACTCGATATTGAATATTCACTCATCTTTCCATAGTCTAAAACTGAAAAATTCATTTCGCGCAGGCGAAATGAATTGAGGAAATTAAGAAGATGAAATCCCCAAACATTTCAAAAAATTAATTTTTAAATTAGGAAATTAAAGTTTCTTAGATGTGAGGATGTTGGGCGGGTGCACGGATGTAGGTAGTCTAAAGAAAAGGGTTATTTCAATTTGTCTCACAATTTTAATCTTAATTAAGAGATATTCTTACATATCTTAGCTCATAGAAATAGAAACATTCGATTGGTATAACGAACAAGGATAGATTATCTCAAAGAAAAATACTCACCAGTAAACTCAAAGAATACGACAAGACTTTATTTTAGACGCTTCTGTTTGTATGAAAAATGTCCTTGTTAGAAACCCTATTACAACAAAGGGAAGAACGACTCATTGCATTGCATGAAAGAATCACAGTAAATCCTATAGTACGTCCACATACAGAACAATCACCTAAAAGTACTATCAGTATAAGGAATGAAATTGAAGTAGATCAAAACATTGAAGCTACCATAACGCCTGGTCAGACTTCAAAAGTGACCGAACCTACATTACCATCGACTGAAAAGACATCAATGCATGAAGATGTCACATTAGATTTGAAGAATAAAATGAAGGATAGTTTAGATGAATTACAACGAAGGACAAACATTTCCATAAAAAATATATTACGACACCGTATGATAACTGATTCATCCAATAAATTATAGTAGAATGATGTAATGACTGGCTAAATATTTTATTTTTTTTATTTTATTTTTTATTTTGAATCGAATTTAATTGAATTTATCATAGTGTATAATAATAGGAAAGGTTATGTAAATATACATGATGTGTAAAAATAAATACATATATCAAAAAAACAATTGTAAAAATATATTTGAAATTTTAATTTTTGTTCTTTTTGAACTTGTTATATTTGGGAAACCAATATAACAAGTTGAAAAAAGGTTCATCAGGATAACAAAACATCGAACATATCAACCACGTCTAATGAATATTCATCTTAATCTTGTTACTCGTGACTTTCCTTTTTTATAAAAGTATGTATTCATGAATGGCATAAAAGGTATCAACAAAAACAATTTCACGTCGTGCTTAGGGGAACGAAACTGATGTCAGTTAGCATAATATAAATAGTCTATCATGTTTAAATAGTGAATGCAACATAAACGTACATCAAAGCGAATACAAAGAAAGCTAGAGCACCACAAAGAGTTATGGTTCTTATACTAATTTTATTTGCTAGATATCTACCACCAACGACAGCCATGGCATTACATAGCACATGACCCACGACAGCACCGAAGATAACATTCCAGTAGTTACTATCCGATGCCATGGCAATAATACTAATTTGAGAGCGATCACCAAGCTCACCGACAAAGATCATTGCAAAAATTTGAATCCAAACAGGGGAAAACACGTATGATGCAAGTCTCTTTATAGAGGCACCCATTTGTTCCAATTGAGTCATACCATTCCTAGCCTTTTCACTCTTTTCTTCTACTTTACCATTTTCAACGTCATCCATGTGAGCATTCATATCTCTAACAGCAATCTCTTCTTCTACCTCTGCCATTTCTTCTTCGACACCAGCATCCTTTGACATCTCTAGACCTTCCATAGTCAGTTTGTAACCAAAGACTAAGAATAATAAACCTGCTAAGAAAGCAGTATAACGTTCAGGAATGAAAGAGACACAAGTGTGACCTAAAAGACCCGATAGAACGGTCATAATGACTAAAGATGTGGAAGAAGCAGTAAACACTAACCATCTTGGATGACGCATAGACATCAAAGCAGATATTAAGAAAGTCTTATCACCAATCTCGGAGAATATAATCATCGAAACAGACATTACAAAAGAACTAAATGCTGAATCATTCTGAACATTAGCTTGACCAGCAGAAGTGACATCACCTGTTGTACCAACTGCTACAGATTGTGCAGTTTCTGAAGCTCCTACAATTTGGGTAAGGAGCGGAAGTAATAGAGACCAATACAGGGAAGAAGATACCATTATTTTAAATTATTTTGTATATTTGATTATTGTTCAGTTGAATATGTGTAAATATCGAAAAGCAAAAACAACAGTACTAAATCTGGTGATATATAATTTTCGAAGTTTTGATCCTCTAGTTTTATATATCTAGTCTAGTAGAACAATAAATGTACTCTCTCTTCTTCTATATGTAAAACAGCGCCTTGAAAGTGTTATACAAAGGCAAGTTTACAACTTTATGTTTACCTTAAATGTCGTTGACCATTTCCTGTAGAGAATATGTCATTGATTAACTCAGAATTCTTCCTGGTTGCATTGCTTCGATAAAATTTTCAACTTTTCCATCAGAACACGGGCCTAATCTCACAGTGAAAACGCGCTGCAAGACGCGTCAGTATAATTTATTCTCTCTCTCTCTCTATGTAAGACAACGAATACCTCTGTAAATACACATGTAGAAATATCTATAGATATAGATACACACACATATATATATTGAAATAAGGGCGCAAAATCACAATACTGATACAGTGAAGGAGTGATATCTCGTAGAGGAGATTGTAGTCTTTATTGTTCTGTGTTTATATACTTATACCCTATTTAGGCTAGTAACCTTGAATAAAGTTCAAGAATTTCATTTAACTTTAAGGACTGCACATTACAGTATATTATGCTCTGCAATTGATTTGTGCCTATATTAAGATATACATCGTAAATAATACGTATCATTGCCTTAATTGTCCACCATTTTATCGCACTCTATTTTAGAGAAAATATGACAGTATTTCGGTTTTTGTTGAAAGGAAAAGGAGAGGTCGGTGAAGAATGTATACCTTAAAGGAACATAACATTACCTAAACTAATATAACGAATAATGGTGTAGAATAACTTATTTGATTACGGACGACCCAAATAGTCTAGATATCTAAACTATCTACCTATATATTTAGGTGAAACATTAGCATTGCCACTTGAATTTATTAATCATTCCATGTCTACAAATAACCATTACCTTCCTACCTTCCATTGTTATTCTTTTGAAGAAATGGAGAGCAGAAAGATACCTTTGCTTCATTCAATCATCGGGAGTTGCTATTTTTATAGTAAATAAAGGGAAGCTTGTTGTCCACTGATTACTGTTTACTGTAAAAATTTCGCGATGAGTTCCGCGTAAATCTCGAAAGCTTGTTTATAGTGAAAAATTTATGTCAGTTTATCAATACTTTCATCTTTATGCTGATTTTGACTAGTACAGGCAACAAGATCGGGTCTTATCATAGTTAAAAAGTACAGAGAATGGGAAGATAGATAACCTGTTGAGCTTCTACATCTCATAGATACTTATACAATAAGCCATATATCAATATATTTCTGTACTGATAAGATAGTATATCGTTTTCAGAAGCAAAGAATGTCAAGTACAACAAATCAAGATACTGACTTGAATTTAGATGAAGATGAAGTGATTCAAGATTGGTCAGACATTTCAAAGATTCAAAATGATAACCCCATATTATCAATACCAAAGAGAGGTGAAAAGGATTATGAACCGGATGGTACTGATATTCAAGAATTAATGTTATACAGGGCTAAGAAGGCAATGTTTGACACTCTAGAGAATTCCGTGCGAGGCTCTACAGTGAAATCTCAAGTAAAAGGTTATTACATCCCCGACAAACATGTGGCTATGTTACCACATGCAAAGGGGAATTTTGTTCAAACAATGGGGGAAACAGATAAAGATGGTACTTTATGGTTACATTTTTTTGAGTTTTTATACTTAGCTGAAAGAGGTACAATAACACCATATTGGAAAGCTTATGGTGATAACGTTGAATTACCATTAAGTATTGAAGATTTATATTCTTATTTTAAAAACCAAAAAGAAATGGACAATTTTTCTATTTATGCTCATTTGAAAAGATTAGGTTTCATCGTGAGAAGTTCAGATCAATATATTATTACAAAGTATAATATTTCGTTTTATCCACCCCTCGATTTTAAATCAAAGACGATAGGATCCATGAGAAATATCGTACACAGAATCACATCATCTTTTACGTCCACAGGTATTTCGTTATTCAATGGGATTATATTCAGTCACTGGCATTTTTATTTAAAGAGATACAAATCGTCACCAGAGATATACGAGTCCCTAAACAAACTAATTACACACCAAAAGATTCCTCATTCGATATCTGATTTACGTTACGAACATAATAATGTTAAGGAACAGTCAAGTTATTCAACTCCAACGAGTTTGAAAATTAGTTTTAATATATGGAAACCTAATCCTACATTTAAAAAAAAATACCCAGAATTACCAGATTATCAAGTAGTTACATACAATAAAAATGTATCAAACCAATCCTTCCCAACTTACAATGAACTAAGAACTTTATTTAAGTCCTTAGATTATAAATTTAATTTTATCGAAGACAGTTCAAATGTAGACTTTTGGAATAAAAATACTTATAACAATGGAATTTTACGTGAAAACATATTGGACGAGTTAACTAATCACCCCAGAAATAAAATCAAGAACACCGAACAAGTTGGAAAAAAACAATCTGTCAACAAGAAAAAAACGCCCCGTAAGGAATTACCACCACACATTCAACAACTAAAAAGATTAAAAAATGGTTACCGTAGTTTCTTATTAGCGATAATGGATAATGGTATAATAAGTTTTGCCAAAATTTCAGAAGCTGATTTCGGTTCTGAAAATGTTTGGTATGTACCTCCTCCTAATGGTATAGTAGCCAGGCCTAACCAAAACGGGAGAAATAAAAATAAGCACAGGAATACTCAAAGAAAGGAAGACAAGCAATCTAAAAAATAACACACACACACATACACCTTATATATTATATAATGCATCCTTTATAAATAAAGCCTATTTACTATATTTAGAGTAAAGATTTTCATCAAATACAGATGATTTATCATAAAATGCGGTTGGGTTTCTTTGTAATTCAGCTTCTTCTTGTGCTGTCTGTTCACGTCTTGCCATCAAACCATTCATACCAAAAGGTGCTTCTTTCGGCGGCCTCTGAGGAACCATAGGGGTCATTCCTGCAGGAGGTTGCTGGTTAATTCCGTTAGAGATAGAGTTATAAGAACCAGGCACAGGAATAGGGGGAGCCATCGAAGAATAAGGCGGAGGCTGAGGAATGCTATAGGTCCTGGATGGAATAACAGGGGAGTTTAATGACATATTATTCATTTGAGAGTCTAAAGAAATAAATCCATTACTTTCTACATTGTTATTCCCAGATTGTTCAGGTAATGGAGGAGGCAATGCGCTCGAATTACCGCCTTCATTTCCATTGTGTGCACTATTTAAAGCACTTGCCTGAACTAACTCTTTACTCATCTTCAGTAAGGAATCGTAAAATTGAAGACCCTTAATAATGTCTTTATTAAAATTAGAGAATGCAACAGAGGCTGCTTCTAATTTTTCATAAAACATTCTCCTATTCTTTTCATTTGTAGCTTCTTCAGAGGCCCTATCCTTCAGTCCAGATATAGAAAATATTTCGTCTAATTTTACCTTTATGTCGTTAATTAGTGAAGTCTGTTTAAAAACAGTAGCTTCAAGTCTTGAGCTTAAAGGCGAAAATTTCTCTAATTCTTTAGCAAATAACTCCTTAAGATCATCTGAATTGTTGGTAGTAGCTATAACCAAAGAAGTTATATCATCTTCATTAATCTTATCCTTCAACTCCGATAGAATCTCAGAACGTTCACCATTTAAAACACGCAGTGCTTCAGATCCTTGCTTTATTTCATTAATATTTGAAAGTATAGCAGTGGTTTGTGTATCATCAACATCCAGTAAGCTAGGTTGAGAGGAAGACTTCGTATTATACGTATTAAAATTACTCCATAACTTTTCAGGATTGCCCAATAATTTGATTTCATCGGCGTATGGTTTAACGACAGAAAATAATTTATCATCCGATTTGGATGCATCAATAAGAGAAGTTTTCAATTTTACACCATTTTCCTTTTGATCTGATGGTAAAGTTGCAAGTACGCCTGTTACTTCTCTCCTCTTTGCGGCAATATCATTCATAGCTTGGGATATATCCTTAAAATTACTTTTTTGAACATTGGTTGACAACTGAGATAAAGAATCTCTCATTTGCGTTACAATAGTATCGAACGCTCCAACAGTATTTCCATTTCTATATTTATTCTCAAGGTCTCTAACCAGACTATCCAAATTGGTGTAGTCAATGAATGATTTGTATTCGAAGTTTGCAGTTTCAGCAGCATCAGTTTCTCTCCTTAGTAAACTATCCTTTTGATCAGAATATATACTCTCCTTTTCATATGCTTCCATTGGTACAATACCCTTGTACAATACATTGGTTTTCTTCATTACATCATTATTAAAAGGTGCTAATTGTTCTGGCCACGTTGGCGCTTTAATTGCATCCATCGGTTTAATACTTTCCACCGAAACACTTTGAGGAATAGATTCATGATAAATATAATCATTATCCTTAATAAGTTGTTGCAATTTTAGTTCCACTGTCTCTTTGAATCCCTCAAAGTCAATAAAATCCATTAACCAGGCTTTGAATGCAAGTGAGTTGATCACAGAATTCACGGCTAATTTTAAGAAAGCAATAGCCTCCCCAGTCTTATTTTGTTGTTCCAATGCAACACCATGGTAATATGCTGCAACTGCTCTGAAAAAGTTTACTTTACAAGTAACAATAGTGCTCCATCTTGGTTCACCGTAAGGCGCTAACCCACCATCTGGTTTCTTTTGGAAAGAAATACATTTTTCATAACCATTATGTGTTGCCAAAGCTAATTTACTAATCAATGAAGCCTGTTTTTCTGCTGTTGGTCCATTTATTAACTTCATCATGAACATTTCTTGAGCTTCAGAATGGCAAAGATTAGACAAAAACTGAGTACTTTCTGCCTGTATATCAATAGATGGAGAGTTCAGAAAATTTTCTGATAGGAATTGGAAACACATTGTAGCTTTTGATAGATAACTGATGGCAGTTTTATAATCTGAATCAATTTTCTCCTTTGCTGCATTATTTAAAAGAACTGCAATGTTGTAAAGCGTGGCTGATTTTTCAAACACTAATGTATGTTGCTTATATTTTTGTGCTTCATTTGACAGTGTATATTCAGCATCATACCATACAAAATCGATCTTTAATAGGGCAGTGCTATTACCTAATCTTTGATTTAATTGTTCTAAATATGCATAATATGTATAGTTCTGCTCCAACAAAGTATCTAAAGCCAGCTCTCCATTAGAATTATTTCTAATATGGTCTAATTCAGAAGCTAATTTTTCGTCAAAAAACTGGCTCCATTGTTGCACTCCATATACTCTCTTCAAATATGATGACAGAGCTTTTTTCCACTTCAGTTCCTCGGTGTCTTTTAATTTTAATTCAACAATGCACGGTTTCATTTTGATGTTTCAAAGAAAACTACAGTATATCTAACTTTTAATATCTGGTTTTCTATAAATTATAGATGTTTACTCCTTTTATATTGATTGATGTAGCTGGTTTACCCCTTTTTTGGAAAAATATGGAATTCTTGTTATCTTATTACTTTCTTATTCATTTATAAGCATTTTCTAAAAATCGTAAAATCCACGTGACTGATTTAATTTTTTTTTGAACTACACTATTGACCTGAAGGGGACCCGGTATCAAGTACAATAATAATACAGAGAGAGCTTCGAAACCAATTCATATTTAGGGAACATGCGGTACTCACCAAAGGGCTATATACCAAGTAACTACCCCAAAAAATCCAGGAATTGAAGTAGTTGTAAGCGTTACACCTTATTATATTATATTTTGTGTCACAACATTGTTGAAAGATGCTAATGATACGCCCTGCTGTGAGGAGCAGTTATTTACCAACAAGGAGTACTCTTTATAGTCTAGGTCAAACTAGATTATTCTCTCAAAGTAGATCAATCCTCCAAGAGAGTAAAAAAGTTGAAGACGCACCAAAGAAGAAGGTAGCAAAGAAAAATGAATCTTCAAATAATTTCAATCCAAGATATTTAGGTGTTACAGCGAACATGTATATTCCAACAAGTTATAAGAACTTACCAAATGTTTTTATGAATCCCTTTGCTGTCTTCAATTCTTTAATTAGACGTTGTTATATATTTGGTTTTAATACTTTTAAAGTTGCCCTATTCCGATTTCAAACTGGGACAACTCCGAAGTTCCTATTATGGAAGAATAAAGCCATTGAGTTATATATTCAAGTGAATAAGGCATTTGCCAATAAGAATGTCAAAACAGTGACTCCAGGAGTGTCATTGTGGGTTGAGGAAGCGTTAATTAATAGGATTTCAAGACTTCCTAAGAATTTAAATCTAGATTGGCAAATTTTGAAATTTAACAATGTTCCAAAATTGATATCGATTGAACCTATCATGATGCCTGGTAAGCCCTTAGAGAATATTCAACTTGTCTATCGATTTGACACTCAGCAGGAATTGATCAAATTTGATCAAAATACTCAAAGGACAGAAAAACAAGTAAGAGATATTGTTGATTATATGGTTTTCTTATGTGATGCCACCACTGATCAAATGATTCTGATAGGTTCTGTATTTGAAAGTAAACAAAATGATAAACTACCAAAGAGTAGCGATGTCGATAGGAAACAAGTTGCTAAGAATATGAGACTAAACGGTGATATATTCAGATTACCACCAAACTGAAAAAAAAAAGAGAACAATCTCCCACACAAAAAGATAAGTTAGAACAGTGAGAGATCGAATCATAAACCATATACTCATATGATGACCTTATCATATTTCCCATCGTTTTTTGATTATTTGGAGACCCCCCCAGCAAATAAATAATAATTCTTAAATATTTTTTAGAAAACATTATAAATCTCTTGTATATACAACAAATATAAAGTTTTACTTCAATTAAACAAACAAACTTACTTTGCCAAGTATTATTTACAAAGTCCTTAAAACCTTAATAAGATTTATTAACAAGAAAAAATACACTTTAAAAATAATTATATCAAATTATTTTAAGCCTCCTCAAAGGGTTAAAATAGAGTATTATGTATGTGAATTCTACGAGAATAAAAGGCTTGACAAAACACAGTCATATATTGAAACACGATGACGTCTACAAAAGGAGATAAAATTAATAAATTTCATAATTTGATCAATGTGGGCAATTTAGTTATTCCCTCCTGCGGCCCACCTTTTTTTTTCCACAAGGAAATCATAATCTTGACCGGATTCATTGCATAAATATACTACAATATAAAGAGGCTTAAAAACAAACTTTATTATGTAGTTTCTTTATAGGATTGAATCACCCATGTTCTTAATAAATGGCTATATTGTTATAAGGCCTAGCTAGATAACCTTTTTTATGATCACCGATATTCAGACAAATTAAGTAAAAAAAATTATTACCATTGTACGTTATGCACAAAATTAATTTCTTGGCAAAATTGAAATAAATAATTGTTATTGTTATTAGTCAATGATTGTGTATCCGAATATTAACCATTTGTTTATAGTTTATATATTTATAAGCCCCATCTGTCATCTGTAAAAAACAAATTAATTTCTTGGCAAAAGAAAAAAGAAAAAAGAAGTCTAAATATTTCGATTTCTAAAAATCGCCAAGCCATTAAATTGTAGACAGTTTTGTTGAATAGTAGTATATAATAGTGATGTCACTACGTCAGAGAGTTTACTGTAGGATGGTAAAATGCCATAAATATTTAAATTTGCTACGAACAATGAACTGTACTTTCTATGTTACTATGTCATAAAGGGCAAAGCAAGTAAGAATACTGAAATATAATGTTACAAAGATAGTATAGCTTTCTCTCTACACAAGTGTATATTATGTGTATACTACTCCATGATATTAATGAAAAATCATGAAAAACAACAATAAATAACCATTATATTGGATGATGGAGAGTGTACCTCTTGATATCATTCCATTAACATTTCTTTTTATCAAGTCTAGATATGAACCTGTTTGGTTCTAGAAACACCAACCAAAAAAAGAGAAGTAAATAACGGATACACACCCGTCTATCCAATCGAGTATATTTAATAGGAAACCTCCAGTTACTACTATATATAAAACAAATATTGCCCACTTAGCAGTCTGATATTTCGTAATCTGACTGAATTGGCAATATGAATCGATCTGTAGGAAGTAACCGTCAAAACAAAGAATTTAGACAGAATCCATATTCTGACTGTAATTAATTCCTTTTGAAACTGAGAACGGAGAATTACGTTTGCACCTAAAAATTTACGTTCCACGGAGAAAGAATTTTGTTTCTCAACAAAAACCCCGAACAGCGAAGAGTGCAAAAGAGCGAACTAAAATTGTAACGCTCAGTATCCTTTGAATTTGCTTTCTCCAATTTTAGAAGTTGTCTCTTTTTCTATCCGCGGGCCGAATCATTTGAGTGCTGCAGGATTATTTTACCGTAGAAGAGTACTTGGTAGACAAAGAGAATGAGGGCTCTAAACTTCCTTTTCTTTTTTTCTTTTAATAATGTCAAAGGGAAAAGAGAGAGAGATGAGAGAGAGAGAGAGAGAGAGAGAGAGAGGAGATAGTGGAAATATCTACTTTCAATATTATATTCCTTCC